GGCCCATCTCGGCTACCAAAATCTCGGCTAGGCCCATCTCGGCTACCAAAATCTCGGCTAGGCCCATCTCGGCTACCAAAATCTCGGCTAGGCCCATCTCGGCTACCGAATCGGCTAGGCCCGTCGCGATCGCCTCCAAAACGAGAAGAGGGAGGGGGACCGTCGTCGTCCCCGCGGAAGCTGCGGATGCCGACACCTCCGCGGGTGCCAAAGCCCTCTCGTGGGGCATCGCGGCCCTTGAACGCTTCGTCGAAGCGGCGGCTCCCCGCCCGGGGCACAGTCGACCACTTGTCGCCTTGGTCTGTCTGGTCGCGGGCGATGGGGGGCGTGTACTTCTTGGGCTTGCTGGCCTCTTCTTGGCGGACACGTTCGGCCTCTTCCTCCTCTTCTTGGCGGCGGCGCGCGTCTTCCGCATCCCGCGCGGCGGCTTCCTCTCGCAGCCGTTCGGCGCGGGCCTCGAGCTCGACGCGCTTGCGTTCGGCTTCTTGTTGGCGGCGAATCTCGGCTTCGTGGTCAGCTTTGCGGGTCTGGGCGCGGTCCACCTTGGCTTCGAGCGCTTCGACTTGGCGGCGGAGCGCTTCCTGCTTGAGTTTTTCTTGAACCTTAACCCGTTGACGGGCTTCGTGGGCCGCGCGGAACGCCGTCGACAGCGGCTGGCACTGGTCATACAGAGCTTTCTGCGACACTGCATACGTGTGCGCGTGTTCTGCCGCGACGAGCGTCGCCGCCCACGTTTGCTCAAACGCGAGCTTGTCCTGGGCTTGCTTGGCTTGAAATTGCGCATGCAAAATCGGAAACTCGGCCTCCCGTGTCGCGCGCACAATATGGTCCAGTGTCCGCGCGGCGTCCTTGAGCTTTCGCTGCGCGTCTTCCTTGGCTTTCAGCGCCTTATCCTTGGCTTCCTGGAGCAACTTGTTCTTGTCCATCGTGTCAAAGTCGACGTCGGCCGTGTCTTTGCCCAACTTGGCCAAAATCGACTTGGCGTCTTTGCGCGCAATATCTTCCTTGATCTTTTGCACTTTTTCCAGCTCGCGCTTCTTGGCTTCGTGTTCTAACCGATCGGCTTCGAGTTTGGCGCGGTGCGCTTCGGCCTCGGCCTTCTTTCGAGCATCCGCCTTGGCTTTTTCCACCTGGAGCTTCTCAAACGCTTCCTTGTGCTGTTCGATGCGGACACGGCGATGCAGCATGGCGGCGCGAGTCGCGGGTAACTTTGTCTTGGCCGTCAATGTAACCGAAGAACTAGGTGGCGGCGTAACCTTGTCGAGCACGGTTTGCAGCGACTTCCCGAGCCGCGTCAAGTGCTTGGCTTGGCTTTCAAACGCCAACACGGGCGAGAAACGCATGCATTGGCTCGCGTGATCGATGCGGACGCGCACGGACGCGGTCGGGTCCTTGCGGCTGCGCACAATCAGCTGCTCAATCTCCCGCGGCGACGCCGACGACAACCCGTTCGTCATGTTGTAAAAGTGCGACAGTGTCACAGACGAGTACACGTGTGTGAGTTGCTCCAGAACGAGGTGGATCGTCAGCTCTTCCAGGAATGGCACGTACGCGTGAAGCGACGAGTGTGATGTTAGTACCGCCAGAGAGGGCTGGATCTGCGACACGATGCGAAGGGGGTCGATGGCGGACGATCGGTCCAGTTGGTCGTACAGTGCCGCCACTTCGGGCAGCGCCGTGTTTACAATGCGCAACGACGTCATGTCGTCCAGCAACTGGCGGCGGGTCGGCGGCTGCAAGCTCGTGTATCTATATGATTGTTAGAAATATATATATATATGTGGATAGAGTATATATAGTGGCAAGTCCAAACAACACGAGGTTTATCAAAGGAAAACAAAAAAGTAGATGATAAAAAATACTCGAAAAACGAGATCAAATAGGATTTCAAATATATAATACATAATCACCAGATAGAAATGTCACAAACAAAAATGTAGTCTTGTGCATTTCAGCGATCTTTGCCGATGGCCTAGGAGTATGATTGGCTACAAAGAATGAAGGTTGCAATATGATTGGCTCAAAAGGTTCGATTGATGCATTCATCTCCTGTATATGGTCACTCTATTCTTTAAAAGAATATACAATATATACAATATATATATATATATATACATCATCCAATAAAAATAAATAGGACAGTTTCAATCCAACGTACCCAAGCAACGCGGCCATGTGTTCATCCTTTTCTTCGAGCAGGCCCGCGGCGGTCTCGGCATTCTCCAGGAGGATGCTATGGTGATTCCGGATGGGGATGGACAAGGAAGCGAGGACGACCGCCGACGCCAGCTGGCGTTGCTCAGGGTCGGGCAGCACCGTGCCTTCGCGTTGCAGCAACGTGTAGTACTTGAAGAGCGCAAATGCATGAAGCAAGTGGTTCTTGGATACATAAAAGATATGCGCGAGATTCTTGTAGAACGTGGCCATGATGGCGGCTTTCGGCGGCGTCGCCCAGAACTGCATGATCGCGTGGATGTCGTCGACCGTGCGGAAGCCCTCTGTGAACAGCTCGAGGTGTGTGGCGGCGTCCAATTGGTCAAAGCGGATCGTTAGATGCAACTCGACCGACTCGGCGCTCCACCCTTCCCACCCGCGCATTTGACGGATGCTTTGGGTCGTCGGCGCGGCTTCGTGGCGCTGCATCGTGTACAAGTGCGTGCGCAGGATTTCGCACAGCCGACGGAACTCGATCTTGCGGACGTACGTGCGGCAAAACGCGAATGCGCTCAGCGCCACCTCCTTGTACAGACCTTCCAACTTGGTGTTGCAGCGAAGGATGTCGAGTACGGTGCGGTACGTTTCCCACATGAAGCGCAACCACGGAAGCACGAGCGCGCGGTCCGTGCGGTCGGCCGAGTCTTCTGCCGTGGTGGTGCTCATCATGACGGCTTCAGGGGACTGGGAAGACTCCAAATCCACCGACGCCAAGATCGACAGCTCCGTCGAGTGCTTGCGCGCCTCGGCAACACGCTTTTCCGACTCGCTCACAAAGAACAGCAGCACTTTCTCCAACGACGCAGGGTTCTGCGCCAACACAAGGTTGCGGTACTGATGCAAACCGTCCTTGGCAATACGGCCAAGCTGAAGGTCGATCGTAATGTTCAAGTAGGTCACCATCAACACTTCATGCGTCGGCTGCCACGTGCGGTTCTTCTTGGCGATCAACGCTTCATGCAAGATCTCCAACGCATTGCGCTTTTGGCGCTTGACGACGCCCGCATCCGCGTTGGGTGTGTTGAGGAGCTCATTCGCGCGCTTGAGCGCGTTCTCGGGCTTCTGGAAGAAGTGAGACATCGGCGGTGACAGCGGCGATTTTTGGGAAATGACCTACCAGCCACCAAAGGAATATGTCCGGTTACGTCCATGAAATCCGGATAGTTCGTTCGGTTTCCGACATTTATTATTATTAACGTTAGTTGAATTATATCCAATTATCAAATTTACTGTTATGATGGCAGTATAACAACTGGTTCAAAAATCAATAATTTCAACCAATCATCACGTTTGACCCAGTAATTTGGCCAATCAAAATGTGTTTCTATCAAATTGGTATTACTATCTATTAATACTATTAAAATAGTAGAAATAGTACAGTATTATTAGTACTGACAGTAGTACTACTACATTGAACAAGCTTCCCTTTTGATTCCAAACTCAACAAACGTTCATGACAAGATGGTCCCATGTTGATAGCTCTACATAATGCAGCACTTGGGCATGGACGACGGCGCGGCTTGCTGCTGGCCTGGCTCGGGCACGGCGACCATCTTGGCGAGCATGTCCTTGAGCTTGGAGTAGGCCGTGCCGACGATCGGAGGGCTGCGCGGGTGAAATGCGGCCGTGGTGACCACCCGATCCAAGTCGGCAAACGCGTTCTTGAGCTGCGGAGAAATCATGTATCGGATGCGCAGCAACTGCCAGTACACGAGCAGCAGCATAAAGTTTCGGTTCGGAGTGAGCAATTCCAAGATCAGACTCAACCCAATCGCGACTTCCAACGTCGCGACTAGAGACGGCACGCGGTGGTACACGGCCGCCCACTTGGCGTGTGTGTTGAGTATATGCCATTGGGTTTGCGCTCCCTGTGGATAGTAGTAGTAGTAGTAGGATTAGTACTAGTAGTACTAGTAGCGACAACATGTCCATGTCGATTGAAACACACAAAGTTTGATAGAGGTACTTCACCGCTAAGTGATTGTAACTTTACAGCGTAATATCAATATCAATATGATAGAGGTACGTCAAACGCAAAAAAAAGCTGAAAAAACACCCCAAAATCGATGAACACAACACCACGTAGTACTGGTATGTTTACAGTCGTTTTTCACAAACTGACTGAACATTGGCAAAACGAGACGAAAAAAACATGAAAAAAAGGTGAAAAACATGAAAAAAAGGTGAAAAAAACGACAAATGGTCGCAACGTACCACGACGAACGGCATGACGCGATCAAAGACGTGGGTTTCGAGGGTCGAGCCCAAGGATGAGTTGACGGCCAAGAGCAACGACCCGGCAAACGACGCAAAGTGCACGAGTTCGTTAGCAACGACGGGAAACAGGGCCAGTCCGTACGGCGTCGAGAACCAGAAGAGCAACGCGAACAGCAACGACTGCGTGGCGGGGTCCATGATCAGGCGCTGGGCGTACGCTTGGTTGAGCTTGGGCGTGCCGTGGTTGTACGCGAGGAACGACACGTAGTTGATCGCGGCCAGCTTGAAGAAGTTCGCAAACGAGAACGCGGCCAGGGAAGGACTGCCCCACCCGGCGGTCCAGTACAGCACAAAGCTCACGATCATCAGCGCGCGCAGGGCGAACTGGTACGTTCGGAACTTGGCATGGGTCGTGTCCCAGCACAACTGGCGCAGCGTTTGGGGGGCGCCGACCCCGGACAGCGCGGCGGTGGCGTTCTTGAGACCGTCCTTCAAGTTGGCGTCGTTCGCGTCTTTCGCGAGCCCTTTCTCGTACGCGGCTTTCGCGTCGGCGTACTTCTTTTGGTAGAACAAGGACGTCCCGAGACGGGAGTACCCCTTCGGCCACTCTGGGCGCAACTCGACCACCTTGCGGGCATCGGTCACGGCCTGCGCGGCCTTGTTGACCTTCAGGTATGCCCCCGATCGGTTCGAGTAGTACACGGCATTGGACGGGTCAATGGAGATGGCCTCCGTGAACGCATCGATGGCTTGCTGGTATTGACCTTCCTGGAAGAAGCGGTTGCCGCGCGTCTTGGCTTCGTCGGCAGCGTCCATGTTGACTGCTTCTATCCACACACAAGTTCAAAAGTTGCCACCAGCGTGGCCTCTGACATTTCATACGCGAAGGTTCTGGAAAATAAAAACCCTTCACATTTCATATCTGACAGACAGGCGGGGAAAATCACTTGGGGATCGTATGGGTATACTACATCCAAGCTAAGTATTTCATCGTATCAACCCCATCTCCTCTAACGTGCACTTTGGAAATTGCGGCCATGACAGCATCATCGTTGTTCCAAGAGTTTTTAAGCAACTTTCGGGTTGAACGCGATAGCAACGGGGGCCAATTCCTCGCGGTGGAGTTGCGAGTCCCGTTTTCACTTGGACCAAGCAACTCCACCAGCAATAACAATCGCCCACCCAACCACGACCGTCGGTCCGTGCACCCGTCTCAGCGCGGCCCCCAGCGCAACCAGCGGGCCCCTTCCCGCCATCCATCCACCAGGGGGCCATCCCAGCACCCGGGTAACCGATGTGACAACAATCGGGGCTACGGGGGGGCTTCTTCCCAGGTTTGCCGGCCCAAAACAGGGCGACGGGAGCCCTCCCAGCACCCCACCCGTGGCAAGTCCACGCATCGCGCCTCCGCCCCGTACAACCCGCGCACGCGGTCCAAATCGCATTACGGGAACAATGATGCCCCCAAAGCAACGACTTCCCCCTCCGCCACCCCCTCGAACACCTGGAATACCTCGCGACAACCGCCACTCGATCGCCGCTGGGCTCTCACCCCGACGTCCCCTGACCGCCTGTAATACCCCCTCCTCCTCCTTTCATTTTGACTAGTTTGCACGTGATATCTCGTAAGTATCATGTTTGGTCTCGATGTTGGGATAGAATCACATCACCAGCGACACCCCTCGCCGCTGGAGCGAGCGTTTGAGGCGAGGAGGGGGGGTGGCTCATCTACAGCGCTGCAGTCAGTCGAAGGGGGTGGTTAGGGCTCAGTGAAGGCCTGGATTGATATATCTGGCTGTTGTTCTCATCATATAAAGATATCTACGTATTACATCTTGGCATGCTCTCAACAAGTTCCAGTCGATTCACGGCACCATCATCTAGTTTGTGTCCACAACCCGTTGAATGCTACCATTCAGCATACTAGGAACCTACGGTAACGCTGCAAACACGGTAGTGAATTTAGTGAACTTTACTACTAAGTTAACGAGTCTAACTAGCTCATCGAGACAACTAACGAGCAATGACGCTTGAATTGTCCAGAGGACCTAACATGACCTACCCACCATCATAAGACGACATGGGTGGCTTTCGCTGGGTGAGTGTGTACTAAGGCCAACGACTCGAGCAGCCCCCCGACGTCATCAAGGCCAGCTCGCAACGCCGCTCGAATGCTTGGGCTAAAGCTCTGGACCTGATCGTCCCCGTTCGTTGGTCCCCCATGAACATATTTTGTGAGTGTGCTGGGTTGCTGGTGGGCGTCCCATGTCCAATGGGGGTGCTTTGGGGACTTGGGGCTTTTCCCCCTAGGCTTGTTGAACTCGATGCTCTCGACCATGTTGTCATCATGTTCGTCGTCGTCGTCGTCGTCGCCATCAGGTTTTAGCACCTGTTGGGCTTGCATCAACGCCGTCCGCTGTCGGGCCACTTCCACCAAGTACGGATCTGTCAGCGTCGCGCCGTTCGCTGCCTTGAACGCCCGCACCTACGTACATGTTATAACGATGCAAAAACAGACACGTTATATAATTATAGAGGTTTTCGCACCGCTTGGCGCTGCAGCCGAGACTTTGCAACCCGGTCCAACACTTTAGGCTGTTGTATGGATTCCCGCAATACAATCAAGTCGCGATTGTCGTCCCACGTTTGCACCGCTTGCTTGTCGGGGGGATTGAGGGTCACCCCCAGCGTTCCTTTGTGCACAAACCCGCACACAATGTCCCCGTACACGCTGCTTGCACGGTGGGATAATTCGGCAAAGCTCGCGGCTTCGGCGAACGTGGCGTAACTACGAGCGAGCATATGCGATTATAGAGGTCACACACTAAAATGTCCATTACCGCGACGCCGGCACCACGTCCAAACTCAGGCCGTGGTCGCCCAGCAGTGCGTTGAGAATGCTGGCCACCCACCGGCTTTCCGACACCATGGCCAGCATGCGGCTAATCTACGTGGAATTAGGTACAGGATCACGGAAAGTATAAATAGTATATTTTAGTACAAAATCGTTGGACGGAATAAAATCAGCATTGTGCGTGAGACTTTTGTTGTGTCGGAGGGTCTTTTGCGTCCTCGTGTCTAGGATTTCAGCCACGCAATGCGTCCGTCGATTCAACGGGACGCTCGTGGCCGTCCGTTTCGCCGACGCCTTGCCGTGCGTCGACGTCTAGCCACGAAATATATGAATACCTGTACAACGTTATGAATATATTCATCTCCAAACATGTCAATCACAAACCCACCAGCGACAGGCGATGCAGCGGCATTTGCGCATACTGACTCAACTCGACCGCGCGTAACCGCAACACGGTCGCGAGGACGTGCGAATCGGAGCAGAGGCTGTCGTCTTCGCGGTCGCCGTCACTCAGGACCAGCATGCAATGGAACGACCGCATCACGAGCTCTTCAATGTGCCGCTTGGATGCCGTGTTAGCCACTGTGTGCGTAAGTTTGATCCTTCGGAACTCGGCCACGTCCAGCCCTTCATCCTGCAGATCCGCGAGCCGCTTGGCCACCGGTGTGGCGTTCACCAAATGCACTTCTGTGTTGGGCGACGAGATTCCATCCAAGAGGCGTAAGATATCGCGCAGCTCCCGCCGCCACCCACACAGCAACATGCGGCTAGGAGGTGACGCTTTGGTTGGGGCCTTGACCAGAGTCACCACGGGGTTGTATTTTGCTAACGAGGCGTTGCTAGGCTTGTATGTGTCGTTGTCCTCGGCCAACACGATGATCTCATCCCCGTGTTTGACTTTTCGCGATCGCGGCGGCCGCAAGTGCACTTTGCCGTCACTATGACATGTCAACCATGTGAAATATAAACTTTGGAAGGGTTTTACCTGGATTTGACGCCAATGGGGATTGCGTCGGCAAACCGGTCGGCCAACTGACCAAACGTCAGTCCTTCCAAGTCAGGCCACGCCTGCGCATAAAATTCGTTGCCGTCAAACCCGAGCAACTCCCCATACACTACATAGCAACTTTTTGAGCAACGATTAACTGCACAATACGTTATGTACCATTCGCCAACGACGGAGACCGAGAGCACATGACGATGAGACGACCGAGCACTTGATGGGTCATGATCGTTTCCACGACCACATCCGACATGGCCGATACGACTTTCATGAGCATGTTGTTGTCCGTGTCCCCGACATCTGCGACGACGTGCCCGCGCACCTGCGTACACCACGTCAGCCACAAAAACTCGACCACTTCAGGCCACCAAGGGGGTCGTACCCCGTCGCGAAGGCTTTGGATGGTCAAGAGCGTTCGAAGCACCGCGGCGTCCGACACGTCCGTGCGCGTGTCTGTGGCCATGATCGTGATGCTTCGGGCGAGGGACGCCGACACGCGGTTCAAGTCTGCGGCCATAAGGGGGTTGCCGTGGCTCACGACGATGGTCGATTTGATCGTATCCGGCAGCGCGTCTTGGATTTGTCGCTCGACGTCGTGGCGGGGGCGGTCGCACAGCACGACGATCACGCCGCCGCCTTCGCTGGCGTTGGCAAGGCAGATTTGATGCAAAAAGCTCAAGCACATGTCGTTCCACCCGAGCACGAGCTGTGTTAACAGTTCGTTTCAGTATTAGATTTGACAGGTTGTACGACACAGCCAGTAGATGTACCGTGTGGTTGCACTCGACAATGCCCATCTTGCCTTGCTTGAGCGCGTCCATTTTGCTCAAAATCAAGTCGACGACAAACCCCACGACCACGTTCAAGTAGATAAACCCAGACATGAACTCGACGAGACCGAGGAATCGCGTCGTCCACACCACGACCTCGGATGGCCACACGGCAAAGTCGTCGCTGCTGGACTTGGGGTCCAAAATGTCCAAAATAGTCTGGTAGATCGCGCTCGAGTACGATTGTGGAGACATGTAGATGGCGATGGGAGCCATGGCCACGTCCAAGCACAGGCCCGTCAGCACCAGCAGCGCCACTTGCCCTCGCACAGTGCACAGCACCGTGTCAAATCTGTATGCAAACACTGCTCGGGCGCGGGCAACCTTGGACAGCCAGACGGACGGAACAGTCGGTGATGGACTTGGGCTGGTATTTGCTGTGCATTTTGATAGGGGTGGGGAGTCCACTGGTATGCCGTCTAGACAGGAAAACGGGGGGTGAAGGATCGGACGACTAGAACGATTAACGTTAATACTTGAGTTGGCGTCGGCCTCGGCTACGGCCAACACCGCCAAGCTTGTGCCCGCACGACGCATGTGATGCCGCCCCAGACTACAACTGGCAGTTTCACGAGGTGTAACTGATAAGTTACCCCTTGGAATCAGAGACAGCTTCACATGTCATCCCGTCCGGAATTCCTTGTGAGACGCTTTTCGAATCGCCAATTCTATCTAGTGTTAGCTGCACTTGGGAGAGAGTTAGCCTCGATTGACCAGATACTCGATCATGTGAACCGTAGCGATGACCATGTTACAGTATCATTACAAGTGCAGGTGGGAACTATTGTAACAGTTACTGGGGTATCTAGCAGGTACTGTACTGGGAGTGTGGAGTACCCCACAGTTTTGGCCAAACGGTTTCACATTAAGCATATGCTTATTTGATTGGCCGTTTCACAGGCAACGAAAGTGCTACTTTTTATTCCGTGGTGTACTGTACTTGGGTACAATTTACAGCAAAAGAACGCACTGTATACTATGATTGGATGCAAATACAATGAGGAACACAATCTGATTGGCTTATCAAATGACGAGATAATCATCCGGTCATTTGACTATTTTATCCGGATTATTTGCAACCTTCGATACAGTGTAGTGCGAAAACTTCGGCGATCAGAAGACACCCGCGGCGATGGACTTGAACGAGCCCCTTCCCTTCATTACGTTAACAGATGACGACTGCTTTGCGATCTCACCGAAAGCGTCCGAGTACCTGCGCTCTCTGGAAGGCGAGGTGAGCATCGTCGCGATTGCAGGGCTGTACCGCACGGGAAAGTCGTACTTGCTGAACCAGTTGCTCGGTCGCACAACGGAGCATACGATGTTTGGGGTCGGCGGCACTGTCAACGCCATGACAAAGGGGATTTGGATATGGGGACAGCCTGTGGGCGACGCCCATGGCAAGAAGACTATTGTGTTTATGGACACGGAAGGCCTCGGGTCGGCGCAGCGCAGCCAGACGCAGGACACGCGCATTTTCGCGCTCGCGCTGCTCCTGTCTTCGTTCTTCATCTACAATTCCCGCGGCGTGATCGACGCGAACGCGATCGACGACCTCTCCCTCGTCGTGAACCTCACCAAGTACATCCAAGTGTCGGCCAACCCGTCATCGTCGTCGTCGTCGTTGGCCGACTTTTTCCCGTCCTTTCTCTGGGTCGTGCGAGACTTTACGTTGCAATTAGAAGAAAGCGGCCGCGCCATTTCTTCGAAAGAGTACTTGGAGAACGCGCTCAAGCCCGCGCAAGGCACGTCGGACGACACGATCCATAAGAACCAAGTGCGCAACTTGCTGACCAACTTCTTCCCCGCGCGGGACTGCATCACGATGGTCCGGCCGCTCAACGACGAAGCGCTGCTGCGGGATCTCCCCAAGCAGCCGTTCGAGTCACTTCGATCCGAGTTCCGGACCCAACTGGCGGCGCTCAAGACGCGCGTATTCACGGAGCTCCAGCCCAAGACACTCATGTCCAAGCCCCTCAACGGCGCCATGCTGGTCACGCTGGCACAAAATTACGTGGACGCGTTCAACAGCGGCGCCGCGCCCGTGATTTCATCGGCATGGGACCGCGTCGTCCAAGCCCAATGTACGTCGTTTGCAAACAACTTTATCACAAACATGTGTACATAGCGGAAGAGTTGCTGGACACGGCCAAGCGCGCATTCGACACGTCGTTGCCCATGCCCTGGACATCCGTCTTGACCGACGACCAACTTGCCGAGGTATTCCGAGCCGCGGAAACGAAAGCCATCGACGCGTTGCATGCGACGGCGGTCGCGCCAGACACGGTGCCGCTCAACCTCCCGCTGCTCCACGACTGGCTCGAGGCCAAGCGCCGCGCGGCGTGGGAAGCCAATGATAAACTCGCCAAGCAACATCTCATCAAAGAGCTGCAGGAACTGTACGCGCCCATCACGGCGCAGGTGTGGACGCCCATGGACGCGTCGTCATATGACGTTGTCATCGACGCATTGCGAGCTAAACTCGATGGCTTTGACCACCTGCTCAAGCGATTCATTGCAGAGTACCTCGATCGGACCCATGGCCTGCCGTCGCAACACTTGATGCTGTGCTCGTTCTTGGCTGAAAAGGTGAATATAATGAACAAGAAGAATGAAAGCTTGGATTGTACTGGAATGGATATATATATATATATTATATGTGGAGTATGGTGGGGGTTTATTCAGTGGATGGATGAATAGGTTTCACCAACCACCACGTCCTTGGTCCTGGGTTGATTTTTCGTTGATGTATCTATATATAAATATCGAATCCAATCGATCGATGTATGTGTGTTGTTGTCGCCTTGTTTTTCGTTTTTGTCATATATATATATATATATATATATATCTACATTTAATTTCGAATTCAATGGTCATCATTTTGTCCAATTTGATTGTTGTATATATATATAAATATATATATTGTCGATTTGATACAAATTTGGGGTGCAATCGAATCGAGCCAACCAAACCGATCCACAATCGATCTGATTGGTTGAATTTCATTCAGACGGTTTTGATTGGTTAATAATTTTGAGCTAATCTGAAGTAGCCAATCAAATCGATTTAAATTCCAACGAGAAACCACGCCACAACACAATGAAATTTCACTCGAAAGCACAATACTAGTATTTCTTTCAAATCCCATGGAACGTGTTGTCCCCTTGTTTTGTTCGTATATATATATATATATATATATATATATATATATAAATTTCTAAATAATATTTCGAATCGCATTATTCCATTTCGTCTTTTTTGTTTATATACCTACTATTAGTATGCACTATATATATATATATATATATTTGTAGTAGTATTAGCCACCCTTGTGACACTTGGTCCAAATACAAAGACTCCGTTCCCTGTGTGCCATATTAAATGGGGGAATTCCACGTCGAATCATTTGAAGTCATCTTAATGAGCTGTATGTAGGTGATGGACGGAGTCGTGAATTGGGGCACGTTGGTCACGGTGCTGTTTCGCCAACAAGACAGCAATATGCAGGTATAGAAACAAATAAACAAATCCCGTCGTAAATAATAAAAATACAAATTCATCACCACGGATGGTCATAGAAATCCATCTCGAGTTCGCGGCAAAAGGTGAAAGCGGTCGAAGGCCGCGCCAAGGCGGCGCAGGAGATGCTCCAGCAGCAAAAAGACACGTTTGAGCGCGCGTTGCAAGGGGTCACGGACCGACTGGCCGAGGACAAGCTCAATCTCCGCGCAGACATGGACCACAAGGACGGCGAGATCAAGCGAACGTTGATGCAGATCGACCGGATTGGCGCTTTGCACACGGAGGTGCTGGACGGGCTCATGGACGAACTCAAGACCGCCAAGGAAGAGCTCAAGGCCGCCGACGCAATGTTGGACGCGGCGCGGCGCGAGCAGGACACGGTGGCGCAGGACTCGGCCAAGCAACGGCTGGAAAATGAGCGCCGCCAACATGCCAAGGAGCAGGCGTTGCTGGAAGGTCACCACCAGTTGCTGCAGAACGTCGTGACGTTGGAACGCGCGTTGGGCGACCAGCAAGCCGAGCACATGACGGCTGTGTTCAAGATGGAGCAGACGTGCCACGCCACCGTGCGCCGGGAAATCGACGCATGTGACCAAGCTGCCGCGGAACTCAAGGCGCACACGATCGCCGACATCCGCCACCTCAAAACCAAACAAGAAGGCGAGTTGCGCGCACTCACGACTGAATTGGACGACCGCCAGGCCGTGCTTAGCGCCATGCAGGAGCGACTGGAGATGCAACGGCGAGTCGGCATGACGCCCGCGGCCAAGCGAGGGGGTGGCAAGGACGACTGCATCGTGTCATAAGAACCCCATGACAATAATGTCCAGCTGTTTTGGGTTGGATCGTGCTTAGGATGACAGGATGAGAAAAACAAACTTTAGAGAGTTGGTTCAGTGTGTAGTAGTGTACGGTACAGTAAAAAGCGACGGCATGCGACAACGCTGGCAACAACGTCATCGCCGCGGGCTAACTACCGTACTTTATCGGGAAGTAGTCTGCCATCGTTGCGAGCATTATGTATTGGTTCCTTGCTTGGGCGTACCATATACGTTGGAGATAATATGTAGTCCACTTTGGTTAATTGGTAGCAAGTTACTAGTCCACTTTGGTTAACTGTTAGCAAGCTACTAGTACTACTTTACTGTAAAGCAGCCAACGTACTGTACAGTACACTGTACATACTGTACCCGTAGTGCAATTGTATGTTTGGTTCCAGTGAGTCGCCGCCTTCAAGTACGTACGTGGGGCGTGTATATCCATACTTACGTCGACCTCTCCCGCTCAGCGAAGATGCTCCTGGGTCGGATTTCGTCCATCATGCTTGCTGGAGGTGAAAACTGCACCCGTGCATGCGACAAGCATCCGTCAAGCAGCGGGTAACTAAGGGTGATGGGCGCGAACCAGATGGTCTTGATGGGCGTGTCTGCGCCGTTCGTCCGTCGTCCGCCGCACGCTGTGGAAACCGTTCTTGATATCGCAATGCACGAGTCAAGTGGCAGCAACAGGAGCTGTGTTGTGAAGTGGGGTGGTGGGGTGGGGACTGTAACGTGGCTGCGCTCAACAGAGAATGCAAACAAGAACCCATCAGGAGGTCCTTGGGACACATCACCGGTGCTTCAAGCATGTGCATTGCATTTTGTGATCAGAACAAATGGAATGGAGTACGGAGGTTCGCGGTTCGTGTACACGCGGCTTCCTTACTTGAGCAAACCCCAACAAATATGGACAGAACATCTCATGCGGCTTAAATATTAAATTACATCGGTTGCGGTACCTACGACTGGCATACCAAGAGGCCAGTGCGGTATGCCTTCTCTACAATCCGTCGCTGTCGGTTTTTCAGGGACTTGCGACTTGTGTCTAACATGGCTTTGTGCTTCAGGAAGATCCGCATCGCTTTCTTGCGACTGTCAAGGACGCTGTTCATCTGCTTGAGAAGGGACTCTTCCTCTTCTTTTTCTGCGAGGAGCGTCTTGACTTCCGGGTTGGACGCATACGCTTCGGGACCCTTGTCGCAGCACTCAACGTGGATGTCCCCGAGTTGATCTTCAATCTCCTCGATGCGTTCCCGGCACTCCTCAATGTCCTTCTTGCACGCCATGAGCTTTTTGGACTCGTCGAGCATCTTGCTATGGCAGTACAAGCTCTTCTTGTGCAGCAACGCGTCGTACAGGATGCTCACCGTCGCGGCTTGCTCAATGTCAATCATTGTACGGAGTCTCGGGCAAATTCGAAAATGAGCCGAGATATGCCGCCAGAATACGTGGATACGGTCGTTAAATCCTTCTTTGGCACAATAAAAACACGATGGATGATAGAAGCTTGATGTTTGTATGCCCGGCCTCTGCAACGCAATAAAATACAAATTACTCACACCAGAGTCCATTACTTGGAGTTTGTATGGTCGACCCGTCAGGGGCAGCAAGTCTAGGCATCACGGGATGGATGACATGACATACATTAACCAAGTTTACTATCACCCCGTCGGGCGGAACATCATACAAATGCCTAGTGAAGCCGTTTCACGACGACCATAAACTTGACGTTTGTATTAATCCCTATCATGTCGTCGCGTCCCTCCGTTTTTTATAGTAGTATATTTGCTGCTTGTCAATTCGACCACTCGACCTGACATGGCGTTTTATTGTTCTGTTTTTAGAACACGTTTATAACCCTCGACCACAGGTTTAAGTCTGGTCGATATACTTTAACGCAGTCTGGACAGATGCATAGGGCAGTGCGAAAGGGTGTGATGCGATGAACACCTCCGAGGACGAAAGCGTCACCTGTTGACTTGTCTTGTGTTGCCTTCTGCTGCTTGCGCCTTGAGATAATCCACGTCTGCGTCAACTTCTAGCTCTCGGTACGTCGTATCGTCATCCCAGAAAGAATATACTGTTCTATCCCAGGAATAATAATACCTACACTCCTCTTGAAGGCAAATGATTCGAATGTGACGATTAAAACGCGTTTTATTGAAATAGACCGTCGTCGTCGTTCCATGAAACTCAACGAACGGGTGACGGTTGACAGGATCCGACGTGCCGCCATATGCCGCCGGCGGATCGGACGGGTCGACTGCTCATCCGAGATGCATCAAGCATGTCGATGCCCTATGTTTCTCGTGCTGTCGTGCATCCCCGTGTACATTTGTCAACAGAATACGACAGGTCGATGTGGTTGTACACTTGTTGACAGGCTTACAACGTTGGTTGGCGCCGCTATGTCGCACTAATGCTACTGCCCTCGTCGACCAACTGTGTCACTACGAACAAGACAAAGTCCATCGAATTCCAATACCCGGTATGCGCCGTCAATGCGGCGAGCGGCGTCAACGCTTCTATCTCCGATTCCTACCATCCCACATCAATCCACCACCATCGATCGTATGCTGCTGCATTCTTCAACGTACCGGCAAGACAAAGTCCAAGCGCTTGGCGCGGGGATTCAGACGCGCGAGCATAGCTTCCAGCTGCACATTCACATCCGTCATGTCCTTGGCCGCCACCACATCCACTCCCGCCACCTCCTCGTCCGCGTCCGTCTCAGGATTGCTCTTCTTGGGGGTGAACATCTTGCCAAAGCTGTTGAACGCCGTGCCAATGTCCTTGGCAAACTGCTTTTGGCTCGACTCGAACGACTCAACAATGTCTTGCACCGCCTTCACATACATCCCACTCATTCGTCATGCATCCCCCTCCTCCTCGTCCTTCCATATATATTGGCATCATGATCGTCAGTCATCGTACATGATGGATGCGTTTCCAGCCAGAATACGTGTTCAACCGTACGGGGGGCAACACTTTGGCCTGGGGGTACACCAACGGCTCCAATCGGTACGAAATCGGGTCCGACGGCTACATCATCATGGTCATCACCATGATGCAGATAGATTACGTACATGGTTGACATTGTACATGCGCGTGACAGTCGGCAGGCCGAGCGTGTCGCCGCCGCCGCGCCCTCGCAGCGCCAGAAACATACCCACGGGGGCTCCAAATGCAATGTACGCATCGGGGTCGAACGCGAGCCGAAACAATGGGTCTTCTTGCAAAGACAAGAGCTACATACACAAGATCATGGAAATATATATATATATATATATATATATATATATATGAATATATACGTCGTAGGTGATGACACTGCCGAGACTGTGGCCCATGATTGACACCTGGCCTTGGAATGTCGGGTGTCGGAGCTTATACAAGGCGAAGATAGTGTTGATGGCGTTCGCAACGAATGACAGTACTTGTTGCTTGCGTTCCTAGGTGAGAAGGTTGATTGATTGGTATTGGCTATTATTCCAAACAAGTGAACGCTCTGATTGGCTCGTACAGAATCGACAAGTAGATATTCAGCCAATCACAATTGCACAGTTTGATTCACCACGATTACGTTGGACGTTTCACAATAATAATTCACGAAATCTGTCGACAAATAAATACAAATATATGTATATTTATAATATTCTGAATGAATTATCGATATAGATTGGACACGGTGCGACATTTCACGAAATCACTCAAGAACTTGGGACAAATATAACACTGGTATTAATATATACTTATATATATATATACGAGTAACAGAGTTTCAATATCGATAGGACAAGGTGCCGTCGTACCATGTACATGAGAATGTCTGAGAGCAGTTCGTTGCATATTTCTCTCACAAACGGCATCGCGTCAAACGATATACGATGCAGCGTCGCATGGAGGTTGTCTCCCTACATATATATATATATATATATATATATATAAATAGATCTGTCAAGATTTCTCTTGTGAAGAATCGTGACAATCCTCCCTTCATACCATATCTCCCAACACATCTGACCAGTCGACGGGGAGGTACTCGATGCCGGTGTCCACGGTGGGAAAATGCGAATTCAAAATCGAGTTGGTGGAATGCCGCATCGCGTAGCAGTAGTCGACGATCGTGCCGTCTGCCTGCCGCTTCTTGCAGTACGTTTCGCCAATGCCATGCACGACAAACACGACATGCGTGACGTCGCGGCGGCGGGATGTCGCCGACGAGGGTGACGGCGGAGACGATGATGATGGAGGCGATGTCCACCTGTGGTACCCGTGATGGATGGCCTTGCACCTTCGAGTCCGCGTGTGGCTGCATTTGAGAAAGAGGTCAGAGATCTTTTGTTCCGTGGGCGACTTGGACGGGCCAAGCTTGATCTCTTGCGACGTCAAGTGGTCTTCCACGGGCAACGAAAACGAATGCGCAGTGTCCTAGCGATAGGTAAGACATGGACGATCGTGGTCGGGAGAGTTTAGTATGTAGTGTATAGTTGTAGTAGTACGGTACAGTACCCGAGGAAGGGACGACCAGTATCGATTGATCTCGGTCGCTTCATCTTCGGGAAACGGATACACCTTGCCTCCCGAAGATTCAAACAGCCATTCCCTACATCGGAGTTGGAGGACGAAGCGATAGGTTGATGGCGGCGGATACGTCGTACGTTCGAATGACGGGGTATGGGCCTTCCTTCCAGAACACGGCCGACACGGTGCGTTCATGAACCGACACCTCCAAACGACCTTGGTCCACTACCACCGGCATGACGTTGCGGCATGCTTCGAGATTCTCTACAACGATGGATAGGATCATCGACTTCACGCGGTGGCAACGTACCACAGTCTTCTTTGGAGAAGATGAACCATTCTCCCTTGCGCATGTACGCCCACGGAATGACCTTGGACGTATCGTCTACCACGACGGTTCCTGGTGGCGACAGAGGCGGCGCGCCGACCGTGGCACCACCTTCGTCGGGTAACGCCATTGCCATCGTTCGGCTTCAATTCTTGAGTGCATCATGTGTTGGTCCTTTGTGGGTTGAAAAATGTACCATGTTGTTGACGTAATCACGAATATAACCTAAAACGCATATAAGGAAACCACGTTAAACTACACGTCACAGCGAACGGGAAATCGACGGGGCACTTTCTAAAAAGTTCGAATCTCTCGTCGTTGATTGGCTATCGTTTCGACGCATGGATAAATCGACAAAAATAGCGGCCAACCGTAATGCCGCCGTTATGGGCGGCAGTCCGATGACCGACGTGTCCAGTCTCAAGCGGACTGCCTCTCAATATCTACACGCACATGGACGGTCTGACTTTCTCTAGAGCCTGTGCATCATAACACCACTCGCTACGATCCTACGCACTGCGTAGGATTGCGTAATGCGCAATTCAAGTACCACAATCGTACATGTACCTCGATACAGCATAGTACTGAACATGTGGACTTTGTCAATGTTGTGATATGGGCCACGATGGTAGGTTGTCTCGCTGCGGTTTGAAATCTATGGACGACATTCGTGTCAAACGCATAGAAATCGATCGTTTGTTGGGCTTGCTACTTGTACTACATAGTCTACGTTCAGCGGCCTCGCCTAATTGTCTTCGTCGCCTGGCTTCATGCTGTCTGTCTTGTGCTCCATATTCTTGTTCTCCGTGTCTTCGGCCTCTTTGATCATGTTGAGGAAGTTGGCATCGACCGTGCGCAGCAATTCCTCCATCTTTTCGTCCTTGGTCGACGGCAGTTCGTCCACCTTGCCTTCGTCCATCGTCGCCTTCTTCCGCTTCTGCTCCTTCTCCCGCGCTTCCAGGTTCTTCTCTCGCTTCGTCTCGCGCTCGAACATGCCGTTGATCGCCGCTTTCTCGTTCGACTGTGGGATCGCGAGCCCGTCCGACACTTCCAGCAGCGAGATCATCCCATTCGAATCGCCCACGGCAACCAACTTGCCTCCTGATTGGCTGTTGCCCTACATACAAACATCCAAAGATATTTCCCGCGCAATTTTAGAAGTTTTCGAAAAAGTGGTCAGTTTCGAATTTGCGCGCACCTGCACACTGATCGCCGACAGCGGGACGTCCCCAACCTTGTGCGAGTACGCGGCAACGTTCTGCCGATAGAAGAAGTCCCACACGTCCACCACCCCGTCCATGCGTGTGACAAAGAAGACACCGGCGCGGGTAGGACTCCAGCACCCTGAGGTCACGTACGACTCGTGGTACGTGGTGCTCATGATGGGAGTCTTGAGATCTTCGCACCACACCCGCGCGGTCCAGTCGCCAATCGTCATGAAGAACTTGTTGTGGCTCGGGTTGCGCTGGATTGTGTAGATGGGACCGTGATGCTTCCCCGCGCCAGTGTCGTACACGACAATCCCGTTGTTTTGCTTGATGTTGCGCAAATTCACCGACAGCACCACGCCCTGTTCTGTCCCGACGAGGTACTTGGTTGGACCTGCTTCGGTGTTGTATTCCATGCTTGAGCCACCAAGCACTTGGCCGTCTTTGTCAGACAACAAGATACGATGAGTGGGTTGGGCCAAGTGCCGAATGTCCCACCAAAGCATCGACCCGTCCGTCGAGACCGAGCAGCACTGGTTCCCGGTTTTGGATGAGATCCAAAACACATCGTACACAGGGTCATGGTGTGAGTGTTCGATCATCGACGTTTCAACGGGCGAGCTCCCGGACTTGCGAATGTCAAAGAACGAGATGAGTCCGTTGTACGAGCCGCCGACAAGTTGGTCCACACTCTTTGGGTTGTAGCGCAAGCAACACAGCGGACTGAGTGGCTTGAGGACGACTTCGGGAGTGTTGGGGTTCATCACGTCCCAAATGTAACTATTGGACGGCATTCGAGAGTTGACGAACTTGGGATCTTGAAAGTTGAGGATGCAGTAGCATGCCGCCATGCGTTGCGGCGACTCTGGATGCCAATCGATCTTGGACACCGTTCGTCGAACCGACTCGGGGTCTCGAAACACGGCCAACCCTTTGGCACTAGGCTGCTCCGTCGTCGCAGGTTCGCCCATGTGCGCAAAATAATCTTGATAGATGTTGATCGTGTTGTTTTGCTTGAGGCCGCGTTCAGCGACAGGGCCAAGAAACTTGACCGCTTGCTTGTACTCGTCGTCCTTTTCCACCTTTTTTCGGAAACGTTGGACGTCGTTTTGTTCTGCCGAGTCCACATCCTTGGGCCAGCCACCCTCCACATGACGCATGCTGCTATTCTTCGTCACCAACCGCTCCGTGTTGACCTCGTGCTCGGACATGTCGGACGTCGTGTCCAAGCGTCCGATCATCGGTCGCCGTTTCACGTAGTCATGATCGAACTGGTCTGTGGAAGGAATGGACTCGATCACCTTGGCATCCACGTGCTTGAAGTCGCAGTACCGTCCAAATGTCCGCCGCGGCTTCGTGTATTGGTACGCCAATTCCATGGTACACTGTAGTAGCTCGATTGAAAATGGAAGATTGTGTCGGTTCGGTTTCGTTGTGGTTTCCGGATAACCTTTTATTATTCGACAAACCCTAGCTTCCAATGTGTATGCCATACACTCCCCCATACTAACGTTAGTATGATATAACATATTTATTCGAACACAATAACATTAGTCGAAATATTATGGCTCAAATATATATTTTAGGCGATCGCCGCCGCGGCTACCGCAAGAACACCCGCAGCGACACCAACCGAAATACAACCCGTACCAGACGCCACAGTGCGGGTCTGAAGTGGCGCGGCGGTGGTGGCCACAGGAGCAGAAGATTTCTCAGGAGCAGAAGACGTCACAGGAGCAGAAGACGTCACAGGAGCAGAAGATGTCAAAGGTGGAGCGTTGGCTGTGGTGGACGGTGCTTTGGTAGTGACGCCGTTCGATTGAGGCACCTCGGCAGCCCATTGATCTAAAGCTTGCATGAACTCGGAGATTGAGGCGTTCCACTTGGACGTGACGACTTGCGTGGCGTTGGTGACGGCAATGGAACAGGGCGGGTCAACCTTCTTGATAGCATCCTCAACCCCGACGTACCATTGTTGACACACCTTGGAGTTGTTCCAAGCATTGAGCGCCGGGGTGGTGAACTTGCCCGTGGTGAAGAAGCTCGAGGACGCGTTGAACAGTTGCTTGAAATCATCTGAGAAAGCACTCCACCACGATGGCGCCGCCACCGCGAGATCCTTGGTGCACAAGTCAAGGGCATCCGACGAAAAGATCGGCTTCAACGTGGCCGAGACTCTGCTCCAGCATTCCTTTGCCGCGTTGTTCGTGGCGCCGGTGGCTACCGCGGCACACAGGGTGACGATGGCAATGTGTCGAAGAAACATGATTGTCCCAAGTCCAATTTGAAAATGATCCAAGTGGAAGGATGATGGCTCCAGAGTGAATGCGTGTGCCACCTTGGTTTTTCATTTTTATGCCACCACAAATTACTGTGAATTGTTTTCGTAGGTGGAAATGTAGCCAATGGTTGTGTACGCGGAAGAAAATTAAACGGTACACGTCCGTCCGCTTGGATATCAGTCGTACTAGTAATAGGCTCTGGCCTAGACGGTGGGCAATGTACCGTATAGTGTATATATATTGCGACAGATTAATCTATTGCGACTCCTGTAATAACTGATAATTTTCTTGTAATAACTGATATTTACTTGTGAATATGTTGAATATACTTCAAATTTGTATAATGCAATGGATTAACAAAATTTTGAGTACGAGTGTCGGCCGGTTGTGACATATCACCTGTCGCAATACGTATACACTATACGGTAGTACTACGAAGTAGTATGTATTATGTCCATAATGGGTATATATTATGTCCATGTCGAGAAATTCGATTTTTATGAATAGAGAGTCCTAGTTAACGTTAAGGGTAGATATGTTATGACCCAAACCTTTTTTTAACGTTGTAATAATAATAGTACTAATAGTCTTAATACCTACATACATCTGATTTCTCCTGGAAACAGGGTTAACGTTAATATATTTCGTAGTATTCCTAATGTAGGGTACTTCTACCAGGTTGCTGAAAGCTTCGACTGTAGTGTACTTCGAAGTACACGCTTTCGTGAGTGCATATACAGTATATATATATATATATTATGTATCCATCCTATCATCGACGGAAGCTACAGTATCTAGTCATCGGCGTCGCAGGCGGTGAAGTTGAGGTTCATGGAACTCGGGCGACGGAATGAGAACGATCTCTTGTTGTGGCGGGGGCTACGTGGACTGAGGAAGGAGTCTGCGAACGACGACAGTTCGGACGGCGACCATTTCGACAGCACGATCAATTGTTCCTGCGAGGGGAGCCCGCCAACATGGTCAAAGTCAAACTGAAACACTGGACCAATCCTCCCATCCGGATGGGTTGCGTTGTGGAGGGTGGTGGTGTCGCCGTACACGACATGACTGCAGGCGGTGGCCACGAGGGCAATGACGTGGGTGGTGGCGGGGGTCTTCATCGCAAGTTGCCAACTGAGGCAGGTTGTACATTAATTGATGTCATGGATGCTTGTCCTGCCGTCGGTCGGCTGGCTACATCTTGTGCAACGTTGGACTGTTGACGTTTCCACCTGGACTTTGCCATCTTGACGGTTTCAAAACGTTGGGAGCGAGCAATCAACTCAACCACCTAGCAGTATGCCATGATTGTCAGCACCGCCATGTTCTGAGTCCGTGTATGCGCGAGTCATGGCGTCGCTGCCCTATTCGACGTACAGATGTACATGAGTCTTAATGGCACAATTTACAAGCGCAGGGTGGCATCCATCCAAGCGGGTTGTGCTGCGGTGTGAGAAGAGTGTATGTATCGTCGATGCCAAGAAGAGCCCCGCCAACGAACGCCATTCCCACGACAACCATATCGCACTAAACTCCTTATCGCCCAAGGCTCTGTACAATATTCGGGGACTTCAGAAACTGTCACAATGCATGTACTACTAGTATGGACTCTACCTGGGCACTTCAAAAGTGTGATTCTGTAAATGGTTAATTGAACTATTTTGTGTGATTCTGTAAATGGTTAATTGAACTATTTTGACAATATACGGTCAAAATATAATCTATCAACATTTGACTATGTTTTGTCAAAATATACTGATCCCGAATTTGGACGATACAGTATTATCCATGACGACGACTTTCCACGTGAACTTGTTCGACTCTCTCCTAGAGACTCGGGGTGCGCCTGGCGGCAACAAAGCGGGGGTAGTGCATGTGACTGATGGGTTTCCGCCCGATGATGTCATGCAAGCAGTGGCGAAAGAAGTAGGGTACTCGGAGACGGCGTTCGTTTGGCGGCAATATCTCCACGACGACAACTGCATCCACGTCCGCTTCTTCACCCCTGAAGGAGAAGTCGATCTGTGCGGACATGCGACGATCGCGGCGTTCTCCAACATGTCCCCGAACACGACGTACCTTATGCACACGACCAAATCAACGTTATGTGTGTCCACCGACGCCGCCAGCCGCGTCACGATGGACCAAGACCTTCCCGTATTCCACGCTCCTAGCGTCGACAGCACCGCATCGATCCTGGCGTCGTTGGGTTTGCATGCCGACGATATCGATACTCAGCACCATCCCATGATGGTAGTGTCCACGGGCCTACCCGACTTGTTTGTACGCGTGCGAACGCGCACCATCTTGATGGACAAGTTGCGGCCCAACATGGAATCGATCGCGGCCGTGTCCAAGACCCTCGGCACGATCGGGTATCACGTATATACCCTGGATGTCGACCCCATCGGTACTCGTCTTAATGAAGTCGATCGTCGTTCCCACAGAGATTCCCTAGACAGGATCACAGCGGAATGCCGCAATTTTGCACCGCTGTATGGCATCGACGAAGAAGCGGCCACGGGCACGTCGTCTGGTGCATTGGGGGCCTTCCTCTGCCACATGAACATACCCCATTACGAGGAAGCTCATGGGAACATGGGAAGGCATCGCATGGTGTTCTCCCAAGGCCGAGGGATGGGCCTGCCGTCACGAATTGAAGCCATCGTGACAGTCGACGGCGACACGAGTAGGATTTCCCGCGTGTCCATCGCAGGAATCGCCGAGTCCTGCGGCATGCAGATGGTGTCGGTACTTCGACCGTGACATGAGCCAACAAGTACTATAACGTCAGTTTGTGCACATCCATGTACAGCACCTGCAACCCCGTGACGTGGCAAACAGTGCTTTGAGTCGAAGTTTCTAACGCTTCTGGTTGTGTCTGCACTTATCTATTATACCGACCGTCGGGGAAGAAGCATCATCCCTGATGTATGTACGTACATAGTTGACTAGCAAGGCTTGGATAAGAATGGATACGATCTTATTAGTACAAGCGTGGGGCGACTGCCTGTTGCCTTCTCATTTCCCGAAGGTAATGCATTTCTCGGAGGAGGTGGTTGACGTGCGCATAGTTGACGTCGTGCTGTGTATTTGGGGCATCCCCATGCGTGTTGGCGAGGTGGAGTTCCATAGACGGAGGATTTGACGAGTTCATGGCATGATGATGGTTGATCTTGAGGCGTTTGAGCTGATGTTCCACCACCGCTTCATGTTCACTCAGCGTCCGTTTCCTGTCCACATCGCGACCGTCGTCCTCGTAGCAGTCCATGTCCACATCGTACATCTCCCGCGTCGAAAATGCGGAATGTTGCAACTGAACCAACACAATGATATCCGGAATTGGTGTAATATCTTGGACTTTGTATATATGATTCAGAACGAGCCGTCGCATCCGGATAATCCCACTTCAACGAGATTTCGTCGTTCTCAATATAGATCATGCCGCGGTTCCTAGGCTCATCATCGCTTGACGAACTTCCCGTGAACCCACACGCGGTCCATGTTGGTCTGTGTCCGTCGGTTCCGCAGCCGCACGGTACAGTATTCGTTCTCGACAACGCCAAAACCACCACCCTCAAACAACGATGATAGGTCTTGAATCGAAAAGAACGTGGCGAGGGTGCCGTCGCCGCGGTAGTACACATGCTTGTCGCCACCGTCTCCCCTTTTCCCATCGACATGGTCAACATGCCGAGTCGTCGCATGGACTTTCTTGGTCGATCGCATCATGGCCAGGTCGTACAGCCCGTAGTCTCGAAAGCACACGACCCCACCTGGTTTTAACGCGCGATGGACTTTCTGCATGACGTTTGCAAACGACGTGGGGGGGATCGCCGACAGGACAAACACCATCAACACCACATCCATCGACGCGTCTGGAACGCCCAGGTCGGCGTCGGCCACGAGATCGCACACGTAAGCGCAGCACCGTGCGGCATCGTACAGTGGATTCGCCTTGAGGATGCTGATGGCATGGGGACTAAAATCGACTACACGACATGTTCATGCGGTGTCCAGCACACGAACGAGACGTACACACGTGGGCATGCATGGAGGGACATTCCGCGAGCAGCGGGAAAATCGCACTACCGTAACCGCATCCGACTTCCAGCACGTTCCTTGCTGTCTACTCGACACGTGATAAGAGATGGAGATCATGAGGACCTGTAGCAGACTCACGAGGAGGTCGGGGAATTCCTTGCTTAGGTAGTTCCGTGGCTTGTAGACCTTGCCTGTCGAGCATAGTTAATAATGGACACGGTGGATGGAGCCTGTCGCTAGTAGTACCATTGTTCTTGGCGTGAAAGACATCCCAATACCCCTGGGCCAACACGCCGAGCTCGTCGCCAGTATGCACCTCCTCCTCCACCGTCGCCGCTCCGCTCGCCACGTCGGATTCGTCTTCATTCTTGGCGCTGGCATTACCAGCAGCAGCTAGTTGTGCGCGACACGTCACCGCCAACTCTTCCCATTCAAAGTCATGCGCATGGAAGCTTCCCGCCGGCCGCATCTGGCAATTTTGAATTGAAGCATTTGATTGGCTTATGCTATATTGTTTTAGCCAATCAGACGAATCTACAAGGGGTAGTAGGTGTTTTTATTTTATTTTGTCCTAGTAGCCAGTTGAGTTGGGCGGAATTAAATCAAATAAGATATTTAATAGATATGATTGGTTAAAATAAATTGCAACGACTCTATGAGTAATGGCACCAATGAGTGTGGATTGGTCGAAATCCGCTGCATATTTTTGTGTTAACCAATCAAATCGTCATATGCTTGCATTATTCGCCACTACTACGTAGTACAACTGTACTGTAACTCTGAAAAAGACACCGATGCCGCCGCCGCCGTCGGCAGCAGACGGTCCATCAGCGTCCCAGATGCAATCTCTCGGCGGAGAATTCGCCATCCGTGGAGACGATTTGCTTGCGTGGAACCCCGTATTGGTAGACAACATGGCGAAGAAAGGCAAGTCGTTCAAGAGCGGGTGGGTTGAGTACATCGTGTGCCTGCACCAGAACATGCTCTACTACTACCGAGACATGCGCGAAGTCCCCAGTGGGTGCTTGTGCTTGGACGGGTGTGTCATCGAAGCCGTCGATCGTATATTTAAGAACATGAGTCCTGGAGATTCGCATATTCTCGCGGAAGAGTGTGGTCCATGCTTCAAGGTCACGTCTCGGATGGGACGATCGCTCCTGTTCCGCACGCGGAACAAGGAGTCCCGCGTCCAGTGGATCCATATGCTCCAGGACATGTCGTACGACGCCCTGTTCAAGCGAATGCAGCATGCGACCAAGGAAAAGCGCGAGTTGCTTCAACAAGTCCACGACACCAACGCCGCCGTGACCGCGTTGCACTCGGAATTGGCCGCCTTGCGCGAGCAGTACGATGCGTTGCTGGCGCAGGAAACATCTTCGTCGAGACGTGGTGTGACCAAGTCTGTCGTGTCGTCGCCACCGATTATCGTGCTCGACTCCCCCGACGACGTACTCCCTATTGTTGTTGCTCCTCCTCCCGACGCCGACTCTAACATCCGCAGCAATCATCCCAGCACAAGCGCACTTTCAAAGGCCGAGCCGACGCCTACTAGTACACTTGCTAGTATTACTACCGTGAATCCCCCTCGTCCAGTGCCGCCGTCGACGATTGACACGGATGCGTTGACCAAGATGACGTCCGAGCTGGCTGGCATTGCGCGCAACTTGCAGCTATCTCTGTTTTCTCAACCGTCTAATATGCCAGCAACTACGTCGGCAACGACTGCGGATCTGCCGACGGCGGCCACCGAAGGTACGTCATCACGTGTGTCTGGCTGTAAGTTGTAATGCAACCATATGTAGAGAGGCACCATCCATCTCACCGCATGATGATGAGTGCGATGGAGAAGATCATTTTCGACATGGAGTTGGAGGACGAACTCCAGCGCACGCGCAATATGCTCACGGGGGGAAAGCCGTCGTCGACGTTCTCGCCCAACCCGCCCTTGTACCAGAGTTTCCTCGCAACTTCATCGGCAACGGCGGCGGTGCATCGGGATCCACTGACTACGCCCATCGTGCTCTTGGCGGAATCCCCGTCGGCATTTCGGCAGATCAAAGGCGACGATGCAGGTATCCAAGTTGTTTCTAGTAGTACTTGTAGTACTTACTAGTAGCAGTACTGACACAGTGGCTGATAGACGTGGGGTGGTCCACGCCCAGGCCGCACCAAGCAGCCAAACACGACTATTGTGTCGACGAGGTACGCTTTCTCCTAGTATTACTACTAGTAATAAGAGTAGTAACCTGTGTCTATAGCATGATGCCCGATCGGACGTGTCTTCGTTCTACCTGGGCTGTACCGATAGACGCAAGAACAGCATTCTCAGTGATGTGGAAGTCCAGCAGCGAGGGGATTCATTGGGGTCGCTCCTCGTTCGGCCAGACATGGTCGTAGTCACAGCCCTTCTCAATACATGCGAACGCAGTGACAGGGTACGTACATGCATGTCAAATGTGCTTTAGATATTCCTGCGACGATGTGACAAATCCCCCGATGTTTCAGGGTGGCAAATGTATTTTATATATATTTAAAATTGATTTCGATCTATTTCATACGATTGAATGGCTCGGTTGAGCGAATAGTATAACGAAATGAACAATATATTGTGCTTTCGAATGACATTTCATTGTGTTGGGGTTTCTCATTGGAATTGAAATCGATTTCATTGGCTACCTCAGATGAGCTCAAAATGATTAGCCAATCAAAACCTTCTCCATGAAATTCAACAACCAATCAGATCGATTGTGGATCGGTTTGGTCGGCGCGAGTATTCGATTGCACCCCCTCCCCAACTTTGTATCAAATCGACAATACTTGGGTTCTTTTTTTTATTTTTAGAGTGGTGCGTCTGTTTCCAGGTTGATGTAATATTTTGTATACTGCGTAATATTCTTTCTATGATGTGTATTCATGTTGTCCCATATATCTACATGTATTTATGCCATAAACCTCGGTCTTCCCTGTCTCTCGAGTAGTTGTCGAGCCTATATATTTGTACGACAATTGGATTGGCAGAAATTCGACACAGGTCGTGAGTTTTGATTGGCTTAGGCGGTTCCTTAATCCATTCTCATATTGTGATTTGCTCTACTCTTAATTTCCTCCTGCGATGGGTTGAATGTCCCGCCAACCAATCAAAATGCCGGACGTTGGAAATTTCATATAAAAAACAAAGTTGAAGAGGTTATCTTGTGACTGCAATACTCCAATCAATCTTTTTAGCCAATCAAATTGCAACCGTCATTCTTTGTAGCCAATCATACTCGTTTGCTCGATTAGTTGGCGATTTCATCAATAAATAGGCAAATTTGACTGAAAAGCACAATAACTATCCATTTGAGTATTCTGCGGAGGGCTCTTCGAATAATTTTGACAATAATTTTGACAATATTAAAATACTATTATTACCTAGATATACATTCTTGTTTAACGTGTGTCTTGCCTAGATGGCGCTGCTGTTTCCTCTCCTGCGTATCTTTGGCAGTCGCCATGCACTGTTTATGCTCATGCAGTGGAGCATCGATACGGAAGTCGAGAGCGCGTTGTCCCTTGCGACACTGTTCCGGTCCGACGATTACTCTAGCCGGCTGCTGTCGACGTACGCCAAGGCGGTGGGGCTCCGGTTCATCCACACGGCACTTGCCGACCACATTCGCGCTCTGTGCACAGACAAGGCCACGTACCACAGCAGCGATTTTGAGCTCAACGTGGTGAAAGACCCGACGCTGACCGACCCCGCCAAGCTCGAGCGCAACGCGGCCAACCTCATGGCCGTGTGCCAGACGATCGTGGACTCGATTCTCACGCACATGGACGACCTGCCATTGTCTTTTGTGCACGTGTGCCGGTACCTCAAGGACAAACTCATCGAGCGCTTTCTCGACACAGACGACGACTACGACGGGTCGTCCACGCCTATCAAAGCCATCATGGGCGGCTTTTTGTTTCTGCGCTTCATCTGCCCCGCGATTACGACCCCCCACTCGTACGGCCTGCTAGACCAAGTGCCCGACGCGTCCAGCCGACGCATTCTCGTGCTGGTCACGAAACTGCTCTTCAATTGCTCCACGGACGTCGAGTTTGGGGTGAAAGAAGCGTACATGCGGTACTGTTACAATGTACTTGCGACATTCGATTCAAGTGTCCTGGATATATATATATATATATCATTATACATGGACGTGTTTTGGTTCAGAGTTATGTATATATATAATAATATTAGGTTGTTTGTGCAGGACCTTTGGTTGTAGATATATACATAAATATGACGTTGTTTGTTCTGGACCTTTGGTTCCGATTTATTTATGTATATAAATATATATTATTAGTAGATTATTTATTCTGGACCTTTGGTTGTTCAGATATATATATATATATAGATATATAAATATGAGGTTGCTTATTCGGGACCTTGGTTTGAGATATATATTATATATATATAAATAAACGTTAGATATTGTTTCGGAATTATATATATATATATAAATGTATGGTGTTTGTTTTTGCCGCGTGGTAGTTTAAGCTGGAGCCTGTTGAAATGGAATCAAATCTTGATATGTTTTTTCCGGTACTTTTATCATCTATCCAACCTAATAACCCGCTGTGATGTATATTTTTGTGTCTGTCGTAAATATATATATAAATATTTATATAGGGTTGTGAATGGATTCATTGTCGAGAATGCGCCGCGCATGGCGTTTCTATACACACGCCTCACGGCCAAGCGCGACGGCGAGGTGGAGCAATGCTTCACGGCGGACTCGGACGGCATCTTTGCGCGCGTTGCCCCTGACCAGCTCGCTCAAGACCTACACGATGTACTAACTATATATTGCTATGTAATATAACCTGATAATGTCATATATATACGCTAGGTGGTCACGGCGCTAGGCAAACATGTCGACGACGTCCAAGCCAAGGTGGCGGTGGCGTCCGCGCCACTGGCGGCGCAACTGCATGCGCTCGTGTGTCCATCATCCTCAGCATTGGAGGACGAGGTCGTGCTGCCCGTACCCGAAGAAAAGCTCAAACCCAAAGGAGCAGGCATGATCCTCAACTTCTTTAAAAAGTCCAGCGGCGGCGGCGGCAGTTTTACCGCGTCTCAGCAACCACCGCCACCAACCAACTAAGTGGGGACCCTGTTTTGAATATTCCATGTGTTGTCGTCGTGTAATATGTCTTTCGCACCAGGATGTAGTAGTAGTTTGTAAAGTACTGTGAGAAGTGTTACAGTATATTACAAGGCATACAATGTTTGGCGTTGGACGCGCGTGCATATAAACGCGCTGTCTTGCCATGTGATAAGTGCTGTGAGAAGTGTTACAGTATATTACAAGGCAAACAATGTTTGGCGTTGGACGCGCGTGCATATAAACGCGCTGTCTTGCCATGTGATTGTCGAGCCTTCGTCGACGGACTCGAGCTCCAACGTGTCGGGGGTTGACTCGAGTCGGTGGCTGCAAACGGCGCTTGGGGACGACACGTCGCCCTTGTCGTTGTGTTCGTGGTTGTGGGTGAGGACGGACAGATGTGACACACGGGTGCAGACCACCCACGTCGAGTGCACCGTCGCCGCAGGAATGTGCACGGCGATATGGGACGAGCCGTCGATCGTAATGGTCCCACATGTCCCCGTGTACGTGAGCTGAACGCGGCAACACCGCATGACGTCTACGGCGGCCACGACCGACACAAACACAACCCGCACATCTTCGCAGTTTTCCATCGTGATCTGGGCCACACGGCGGCCGACGCACTCGATGTCGCATCGTGCCACGTTGCGGAGGTGTAGCCCAGCCGTCGTGGCCTCAGCATCCAGCACCAGGCGCTGGTCGCATGCATTGTCCACGCACAGAGGGGGTCGCCTCGTTTGCATGGCGCGCAAAAGCGTCGGCATCGACTGGACTCCCATGACAAAGCCGACGACGTCGACCAGATTTTTCTGTTCGGGGTTGTGGCGACAATTATCCGGACATACATTATCCGGTTAACAGATTGATTTGCACTCTGTGAAGTACGTCCAAGCAGCCACATCACACATGGGTCCCATGATACATGCCTGGCATTGTACCAATATGAGGAACTGAGTACTAAGAGTTGCTCGAGGTTCAAGGCAGGCAAGGACCAGTCGCTTTGGTTGTCGCACCGAAACAGAAGCGGAATGCGTGGGGCTTGGTATCGTCCAACTGTAGCGGCATACAAATCCCAAGATACTACGGGTTCAACGATTTCAAGAGGTTCATATCCGGATACAGACTCGTTCCATGGTGCCTTCACTGGTGTACGTAGTACACGGTAAATCCACGGAAGTTGCGGCAGCGGTAGCGCTCGATTGGGGTCGCGAGAAGGAAAATCGGGTCATGATACATAAGCGTCATGGAGAACTGGTGATTTCTGTACCTCAAAGTGTGCATCGATGCAACGCGTTCGTCGCGTGTGTTGAAGTGATAGGGGTAAGAATCCGGATACATCATCCGGACGCGTATATCCGGATGACCGCCCAAGTTTTTGTTGCTGTGGATGTTGATTTGCGTCATTCCGGATTTTGGGGCTACGACGCACGTACGATGGCGCGCGGACGAGGACAAGGCGGTATCACGCCGCCGCAGCGGAGCAGTGTCCTGCTGCTACTCGCTACACTGGCGCTAGGTCAGGACGATCTGTCCAAATGGATCGACCCGGACACTCCCCTGGAAGACCACCACTTTGACGTCCCGGATGGTCCGTATCGAATGGGGTTGACGTCACCAGCCAACAACTCGTACCATTTGATCTTCTCGGACGAATTCAACACGACCAAGCGTCTGTTCGAGGCCGGGAACGACCCCAAGTGGACCGCGCTCGAGAACTTGGATCTGACGAACATGGGACAGCACTACTTTTCTCCCCAGGCGGTGCAGACCGACGGCGGCAACTTGATCATCACCACGTCCAAGCCGAAAAAGGAATACAAAGGCGCAAAGTACGTCAGTGGGAGTGTGCAGACGTGGAACAAGTTTTGCTTCACCGGTGGGTTTGTGATCATGCGCGCAATCTTACCGGGAAAGTGGGGAATTCCCGGCACGTGGCCCGCGTTCTGGTTGATGGGCAACATCGGCCGCGCAACGTACCTCGGGTCGCAGGACGGTATGTGGCCGTGGTCGATGGACACGTGTGCGCCGTGGGTGAACGACTACTTGGACCAGCCGCAGAAGGTCAATGCATGCGGGAACCTCACGGACGAAGACGACCCGACGTCGCTGCCGGAGCGATTCGGGTTGCATCCGCGGCAAGGGCGCGGCGCGACGGAAATCGACGTGTTTGAAGTGCAGATCAAGAAGAAGGACGACCCCGCGTTCATCTCGACGTCGCTGCAGATCGCGCCCAGTCTGCACGACAACATGCGACCGGACGCGAGCACGCTTCCCCGCCCTGGCATGTGGTACACCAACTTGACGTATGGCAACTACACCAAGATCAACAGCGACTATTACGGCGACGCCAACCTCGATTCGATCTCTGCACTGACGCAGTTGGACTCGAACTCGTTCAAGAACTACCACTTGTACGCTCTCGAGTGGCTTCCCGGGAACGAAGGGTACATTCGATGGTGGCTCGATGGCAACTTTCTGTACGAGATCCAGGGCGCGGCGCTCAACAAGTGGGTCGATGGCATCCCCCCCCGCAAGATCCCCGTCGAGCCGAGCTACCTCATCATCTCCACCGCCGTCTCGGAGAAGTTTTCACCGCCTTGCGATGGCCAAATGTGCGACTCTCTATGGCCAGCCAACTTTACCATCGACTACGTTCGCGTCTACCAAGGTCCGTCCAACAACTACACGAGCATCGGGTGCGATCCGCCTGCGTTTCCCACTAAGGAGTGGATCTACCAGCACCCTGTCGCATACGGATTGCCCTACTACACGCCGCTGCCAGTGGCCAAGTACGTGTTGAACGTTGTCGCAGTTGTGGGCGTCGTGTTCTCTGCCGTCATGGCCGGGTTTGGGACGAGGAACCACCACTTGGCCGCGTGCGTAGGTAGTACCCTTGCCGCGACCTGTGTGTTTCACACGCTATTCAACGTCGGGTTTACCACGTGGACGATATTCCCCATGGCTGTGGGGTCGCTATGCGGCGCCGTGTTTGGCCTGCTCAGCTGCTTATTGCCTGTGCATAGCTTGGCGGGTACAACTGCGCTGCTGCTGATGCTGGTATTGCATCCGTTCGTGGATTTGCTACTCCATCAAGTGCTCACTTTAGCCGCGACGGTGGCTGCGTTCATGGCGCTGTTCGTGTTGCCAGTGGTGTATCACGACAAGGTCACGGCAGTCGCAACGTCCATATTGGGGGCCTGGGGCGTCGTAGCCAGCGGGTCTCGGTTCATCCATGATGGGCAGTTTCTACTCGGGTTATGGCACACGCTATCATTGCTCGTGTCGGGGCCGTCGACGCCGCCGGCGTTGCTGTGCAACTTGTACTGTGGCGAATTGTATTCGACGTGGGGCGTGCTCGCGGCGCTGGCCATGGCGCTGCAACTGTCGCGTATAAGCCTCCATCATCATGCAAGCAAAGGGCGCATGCCGCCATCCAATGCGTTCGTCGCGGGCACGGACGGCCGCGCATGGCCGCCATCCGAATCGCACACGAATCACTTCCATCTGCAGGACCTGCCCACCAACATGCAGCCATTCGCGGCCATGTCGAGCGTGGCCTCGCATGTGGCGCGGACGTTTGGATTCCAGCCAGCGAATGTGAAGAACCAGACCGAGCACCTCTTGGTGTTACTGGCCAACCAATCCCGCGGCGGCCACAACCCGTTCGTGGCTCTCCATGCGACGATGTTTGAAAACTACCACCACTGGTGCCGCAAGCTCCAGATCACGCCCATGACATCGTCTGCCGTGTCGTCGTCGCTCGAAAGCCTCGCGGCCGACTTGTGTCTGCTCTTCTTTGTATGGGGCGAAGCCAGCAACCTCCGCCACGCCCCCGAGTTTCTCAACTTCTTGTTCCACAAGATGAAGCAAGAGTTTGGACGACCACTATCCCGCGACCCTGGCTTCTTTCTCGACGCTGTCATTACCCCCGTGTACGCGCTACTAAAAGTGGAAATGCACAAGGCACTAGATCACGAAGGGCGCCGCAACTATGACGACTTTAACGAGTTCTTCTGGACGCGAGCATGCCTGCAGTACGAGTACAAGAGCCCAGAGTTTGACAGTGTCGACAATCATCACTCGTCGGACGCGGCGGCATCGGTATCGCCGCCGTGCATTGCGCAAGCATGGGCCGCAACCTCCAAAACGTACTTTGAGAAGCGCCATTGGATCACGCCGCTTCGGGCGTTTCGCCGCGTGTTTGAGTTTCACCTAGTGACATTTCACTTGCTTGTGACAGTGGCATTTGCCGACCAGCTCGCGCTCGACAGTGTCACAGCCATCCATTTGGTCTCTAGCGTGTTGTTGACGCCGCTGGTGCTCAACATTGTGTGGGCTGGCATCGACCTCATGCTCATGTACTCACCCAACACGATGCCATTCCCGACCTTGATCCGCATGGTGATTCGTGTCATCTTCCACCTCGGTACAACCACCATCTGCGCCCTTCTCTACTGGTACGCCCTCGCGAGCCCGCCGCAGCAATCGGCATTTTACTGGACCCAGTTTTACACCCTCACACTGCTTGTGCATATCCCGTTTGCATTCAACAGCATCCTCCAAGTCTGTCCTGGGCTCACGCGGTGGATTCGCCAGACTACCATCGCCCCAGTGCAAACCTTTCGCGATCTTATTAGCCCCATCAATCGGCTGTACGTCGGCGACAACGTGCTCGATTCGGCCTGCGACAGCGTCGGGTACCAGCTCTTTTGGCTGTCACTTCTCACGTGGAAAATGCTCTTCTCGTACAAGTTTGAGATTGCCCCACTGGTCAAGCCCACATTGTTGCTCTGGGCCGACCACGTTGAGAACCAAGTGGACATTGTGCTCACTCTGGCCCTCGTGTACGTCCAGTGGTTTCCGTTTTTTATGATCTTTTGCATCGACGTGACCATCTGGAACGCGCTGTGGGTTGCGTTCACGGGTACATTTGTGGGATTTGGGCTTAAAATTGGCGAAGTGCGCAATTTTGAACGCACACGCCAAGCATTTGTCTCGGCTGCGCTCCAGTTTAATGCCAAACTCATCGCAGCCACGTCTAAAACGGGCGTTGAACTGGCAGCGCACCAACATGATACATCCGCCTCGGCCACGTACGGCGCCGCCACCACCACCCGGTCGAAATCTATGCATGAAGTGCTCAATGTCGTCGAATCGCCTGTCCACACAACCAACAAGAAGCACGACAAGCAAGAGCTCACGCCCCTGCTCAGCTTTACCCGCCGCATCCCGAGCCGCCGCGAAAAGCAGGATGCGCGCCGCCGCGTATGGACGTCCTTTGGCACGGCATGGGATACCGTGATTGATAGCTTGAGGGCAGACGATTTGATCAGCAACGCTGAGATGGGACTGCTCAAGTTCCAGCGCATCCCATCGTACGAGCGGCAGCTGTTTGTGCCGCTGTTCCAGCTCGCCGGGTGCTTTGAGCAGTTTTGCCTCCATTTGAACCAAAATCAAGGCAATGTCAACAGTATGATCGTTCACGACTTGCTCGGTGCCAACCCCATGATGGAAGAAAGTATCGGCGAAGTGTGGGAACTCACAGTGTACATATTGACCAACCTCCTCGGGCCATGTCATTCCAACGACGTTCGATTCATTTGCGCCATCTTGACATCGTGGCTTGAGCGAGGTATGTCTTTCTATATATATATATATATATATATATATATATATTTATATATATATGTGTGTGTATGCGATGATTGGATGAGTTTGGTTGGTTGATGGTGGAAATTGTATGCGATCTAGATAGTGAATTACAGCATCGTACAATCGATTGATTGTTAATACATAAGTAGTAGTTTTAACGTCTTCCAATTGTTATTCCATCAAATATATATAAATATATATAGTAGTTTTGTCTTCCAACCTTTAATATATATATTATACACCTATATATAATATATATATGATTCTATTCAACCTATTATAGAATATACACCTATATATATATATATATATATATATATACACCTACAAGCATTCGTATATCTATATGAACGACATGGGTCTTATATATATATGTAGGCATGTACCATGGTATCAAATGGGATAAACTGTCGGCGGCGGCAGACGCGTGGTCGGATGTCCTCCATCTGCTCAAGACCAACATGCCAGCATGGAAAGCCCAAGCCAAGCACGTACCCACACGCAAACAACCGAGCGATTACACCCAGTACACGCAGCAACACCAGCAGCAACCATCTCCCAACCCCATCAAACCCATGCACAAGTCGGCTTCCACCACTGGTCTCAACACGCTGTCGGCCACCAACGTACCGCGGCGGTCGCGGGGGTCGGGGGTCGCGCGCATCGCGGCCATGCAGCAGATCCAGCCGCCGCCGCCGCTGCCGCACCTCAAAACGTCCATCCCCGCCGTGCACATCATGCAAGTGCGAGATAAACTGCGCACGTTTCTAAACGTGGTCAAGACGATGCTGAGCGGCGGGTTGGATGACCCGACCGATGTCCTCGTGGGCGAAACCAAAGCCATGAACGACCGACTTACGTGGATGCTGACTCAAGAGCGCGGGTTCATGTGGGATGACGAGTACACGGGGGAACAGCTGACGTTGTTTGTGTTTGATTTGTACGCGGGCACGGCGGTGCGGCACGTGCGCGGCCTCCTCACGCTGCAAAAGACGGACGCCGAGCCGCGGAGCTACGATGCGCGGCGGCGGCTGCTCTTCTTTGTGAACTCGCTCTTTATGGACATGCCCGCGGCGCCGATGCTCGAGGACATGCAGAGCTATTCCGTCATGACGCCATTTTACGCTGAAGACATTATGTACTCTAAAGCTGACTTGGAATCCAAGCAAGATGGGCTGGATGTACACACTCTCTTGTACTTGCAAACGCTGTACCCGACCGACTGGCAAAACTTTCTCGAGCGAGTTCAGCCCAAGAAGAACAGCAACCTGTGGAAAGACCCAAATACAGTGCAAGAGCTGCGGCTGTGGGCGTCGATGCGCGGCCAAACGCTGGCGCGGACGGTGCAGGGGCTCATGTACGGGGAAGCCGCGATCCGCCTTCTCGCCGAGCTAGAAAACGTTCCGAGGCATGGGATTGAAGACTTGGTCAAGGCCAAGTTTACATATGTCGTGGCGTGCCAAGTGTATGGTCGGCAGAAGCGAAACAACGACGCAAAGGCCAAAGATATTGAGTTTCTACTGCACCGATTTCCCAATCTCCGCGTGAGCTACATTGACGAAGTGCGCGTGAACTACCAGAAAGAGCTCAGTTACTTTTCCGTGCTGATCAAAGGCACGGAAACGCCGAGTGAAGTCGTCGAGTGCTATCGGATCCGCCTACCAGGTAACCCCATTCTCGGCGAAGGCAAGCCGGAAAATCAAAACTCGGCCGTGATCTTTACCCGCGGCGAACACCTCCAGACGATCGATATGAACCAAGACGGGTACCTCGAAGAAGCGCTCAAGATGCGCAACCTCCTCGAAGAGTTCTCGGCTGGCAATCGACCGTGTACGATTGTGGGCTTGCCAGAACATATCTTTACAGGTACCAATATATATATATGTGAGAGTTGATGGTATTTTGTCCATTGGCCTAACATTTGGCAGACTTTTGTGCTGATGATGTCGCCAAATATATCGATTTTTGGATGTAAAACTCGTCCAGTGTTACTCGAATTCAATGTTGAATCGGTCGACGAGTGGATTGGATATGATTCATGTGCTGGATTTTGATTGGTTGATCGATTATTACTATTATTATTATTGCTGCTGTTTGTATATAGCCATGCAGACAATATATTAATAATTGATTGTAGGAAGCATCAGTTCGCTGGCGAATTACATGGCGCTGCAGGAAACCTCCTTTGTGACACTGGGCCAGCGCACCCTCACGCGGCCGCTGCGCGTGCGCATGCATTACGGCCATCCGGATGTGTTCAACAAGCTCTTCTTTATGACCCGCGGTGGCTTTAGCAAGGCGAGCAAAGGCATCAACTTGAGCGAAGACATCTTTGCCGGATACAACAACTGTTTGCGAGGTACGGTATCGCATATATATATATATATATACAAAAGTCGCCTGTGCTGGTTTTGGACGTCTATTTGCCATGTTGGGTGGTGGGGTGTGATTATATATCGCATCGTTTGTAGATTTATATATATATATATTTCTACATATAATACGAAGTATATATGTGTGTGTTTATTGATGTACACATGTTTGATGTATATAACACATGCGAGGTAAGTCTTGTTTTGGAGCGATTAGTTTCCAATGGATGGTATTATCGCATCGTTTATATATACATGTATTAAATAAATATACATAAAATAACTCGTTTGGTTATATGTATACATATATATATATATATATATCGAACAACAATGCGTTTGGTTAATATATACTGTATATTTCAAAAGGATGAATATATATATATATTGTAACATTGTACTATATATATATATATATATATAGGCGGGACGGTGGCGTTCCCAGAGTATGTCAAGTGTGGCAAAGGGCGAGATGTGGGCATGCAGCAGATTTACAAGTTTGAAGCCAAGCTGGCCCAAGGCGCAGCGGAGCAGTCGCTCAGTCGTGACGTGTACCGTCTAGCGCATCGACTAGACTTTTTCAAGTTGCTGAGCTTCTACTACAACCACGTGGGGTTTTACTTGAGCATGAGCTTTGTGATCTGGACTGTGCACGTGTTGGTGTACATCAACGTCTTACGTGCGTTGCTCGGGGTCGAAGGCACTGGTAACCAATCGCCACCTTTCTCTCTATATATATTATATATATATAATATGTATGATTGTAGGCGGACGCGAAGCTGTGATCTTATCCGAGCTCCAAGTAATGCTGGGCAGCGTAGCCTTCCTTACAACGGCGCCGATGCTGGCGACGATTTCCGTCGAGCGGGGGTTCAAAGCGGCCTTGTCCGAGGTGTTTATGGTTGTCGTGACTGGCGGGCCCATGTACTTTTTGTTTCACATTGGCACGAAATGGTTTTACTTTGGCCAGACGATCCTCGCGGGCGGCGCCAAGTACCGCGCCACCGGGCGGGGCTTTGTGACCAAGCATAGTCGATTCGACGACTTGTTTCGGTTCTACGCGTCGAGCCATTTGTACGCTGGCTTTGAAATCGCCGCCGCCCTCGCCTTGTACTACGTGTACACGCAGACCACGCAGTACGTGGCGCTTACGTGGAGCTTGTGGCTGGTGGTATTTTCGTGGACGTGCTCGCCGTTCTGGTTCAACCCGCTGGCATTTGAATGGTCAGACGTGCTTGAAGATATCAAGATTTGGGTCCAATGGATGCGTGGCCAAGGCGGCAACGCCAACCAGTCGTGGCTAGCGTGGTTCAAAGATGAAAACTCGTACTTTCTCAAGCTGCGTCCGTGGGCCAAAGCGTTTGTGTTTCTCAAGGGGTTTCTGCACTTTATCACAGGGCTGGCCCTGCTCACGTCAGACGACGCGTACCACTCGATCACAGCTGCGACATCATACACGCCGCTGCTCGTGATGCTGGCGATGGTCGTGGTCAACTTGGTGCTGTTTTTCCTGCTGTTTGCGCCCCGTCATCACGGCGGCGGCGGCGGCGGCAATGAGAGCGGCACCGTGCGGTTTCTCAAGCTCGTGTTTGTGCTCGGCAACACGGCGGCGCTCGTCGCGGGATGGTCGCTCCTCCCCGGGATGGTACCATGTTCGGTGAGCTTTTACTTTTTCAGCGCCGCCGTGGCCACATGGATGCTGCTGTTCTTTGGCAGTGACAACAAGCTCGCGATTCAACTCTTCTTTCTGCACGACTGCGTCCTCGGCGCACTCTGCCTCAGCGTGATTGTCGTGCTCAGCGCCGTGGTCGTGCCTGGCAAAGTGCAGACGTGGCTCCTGTACAACAATGCGCTCAGCCGCGGCGTGGTGATTGAAGACATCCTCAGATCCAACTCGTCAGCTAACGACCCCGACGATGACCTAACTTTGACCCATATGAAGAAGATCATCCTTGAGCAGCAGCGCGTGATCGCCGCGCTGACCACCCCTGGCGGCGGCGGCGGCTCGGATAGTGGTGACACGGCCGACAAGATGGCAACTGCCAAGGACAACTTTAGCCGCGCCCATGTGAGCGACTCGGACCTGTTGGACTTGAAGGACGCATCGTTCAAGCTAACGCAGATGCTCCATGGTGACTACCACCAGCAGAACCACCAGCACCAGCAGCAGCCACCCAAGGACACGACGGTGCAAGTGCCGTTTCAGCGCGTCCGCCGCGCCAACTCGACCGACTTTCACGCAGCTAAATTGGTCCCCCAACACCAGCAGCCACTCACTCATCCCCCCAAGCATTAGGAACACGGCAGGATCAAACCCAACTTATTGATTGGGCCATGTGAACGATTCATATAATAGTACATGATATAGACTAACTACTTCATAATGTGTGATAGATGATACACTACTTACTGTAACTTTGATCTTTGAAGGGTGGTACTTACTACAAGAATAGTACTACTAATACATAATACTAGTACTATTAATAGGACTAACTGTAAAATGCTAGTAACGTTACTGTATCAATACTAGGATTAACTGTAATTTGCTACTATTAATACTGGGATTAACTGTAATATGCTACTATTAATACTATTATACTAGGATTACTGTAATATGCTACTATTACTACTCCTATTAATCATAATAGTACCTAGTACTAACTACTACGTTGATAATATGAATACTACTATTAATACGTACTACGTGGTGATTAACGTTACTAGGTCGCCCACTCGTGGAGGCAGCCTTGATGCTTTGCGGTAGCCATCACACATTCAGTAGATACTTTGCTCCCATACAGCACCACCCCCCAGATGACTGCTTTGCACTTGCTCGAAGGACCAATGAAGCCAGGTAGGTAGGTAGAACGATAGGTTTGAACGATGAGATATCACGGGGTGAGTGTGTTAGAAAGTGGATCGATTAGGCAGCAGGTGGCTTGGTGGCGGCGGCGTTGGCTGGGACGTCGGGCTGCTGGTTGCTGCTGTCTTCGGGTTGCTCGTCGTCGAGGTTCTGATCCCACACGGCGCGGTTCCCCTGGGTGCGCTCGTTGTTCTGGGACTTGGCAATGTTCACCTTGAGCACTTTGCCGTACAGTTCCGAGTCTACCCTCACGCAAATGTCAGGAATGTCGACGTCGTCAAGTGCAAAGCGACGTTACCGTCCATGTTGTCCAGCGCTTCTTTTGCGTCTTCTTCCAGGTCATACTCGACAAAGCCAAAGCCCTTGTTTTGCTCTATCCACATGCAACCAAGCCCATAAGAGGGAGGGGGTCTTCAAGCATGGATTCACGGTGGAACATATGCACGTACGATTGGTGCCGGTGAAGTCCATGGGAATCTGCACATCCTTGAGAGGGCCGAATGGAACGAATGCCGCGCGAAGGATGTCTTCCGTCACGGTCTTATCCAGGCCACCGACCCACAGGCATCGTTTGTGGTTTGCCTTGGTCACGAAGCTCATCGCACGACGAGGGTATTTTATTGCAAAAATCAATCCGAATAAAAATACTGTACAGTGTTTAGGCAGGTTTTTATACTTTTAAAATGATGAAACGCACTGAATTTCTGGGTTAAATATATTAAAAACCTAGCAATATACGTCAAAAAGGATGTTTCAAAAGCATTTCAAACGCATATAACGTTTATATACTGTTTTGAACACTACTTTAATCCTTCAACAATTTACCCGGGCGGAAGCATGGTGCTGTCGACGGCGTCCATGTCGCCTGGATGATGCCGGTCGAATGCGAAGTTCAGCGTCCGGTCTGTGACCGCCTGTTCCTTGTCCATGGCGACAACGCCACTTCGATGGACTTCCAGGACGCCAAGCGGACCGAGGGCGTGCAAGAAGGCGTCCACGTCTGTCGGTGACGCGGTGAGTTGCACCATCGTTTGAGTGGTAGACGTGTCCACAACGGTGGCATTAAACTGTGCGACGAGTCGATCGACGGTCAACAAAGCCTGGGGGTATGCCTGCAACGACACCTTGGCCAGCAGCAAGTCGCGCTCGACAAGGGCGTGCGCTCGGTCTGGTGTCGTGAGAATTTTCACGGCCGCGACTTGCACAACGTCATGGAGCTGTTGCTGCATCATGCTCACGTTGTGGTCCGACCCATGCACGACAACACTCAACCGAATGAGGTCGGGCACGCTCGTGCGGCCGACGACGATGCTGTCCACGTTGTACCCGCGGGCGCAAAGGAGGTTGGTGATCTCTGCGACGGTGGTTGCCGTGTTCGCGACGAGGGCGGCGACGACATGTCGACTTACACCGTTGACAAGGGGAACAGCTGGGGATGTCATGGCGGCGAGGGCGAAGAAGGCGCGGGGGCGGCACCGACCGAGTGCTTGCATCGTCGGACTTGGAAGCAAGCAGAGAAATGGATGCTTCTTGATGATCATGACCCCATTTGACACATGTCAATCATCCAACCTCGAAAGAAACTGGAAATAAATTCTCGAATGCGCAAACAAAAACAGGCACTCAATTGAAACATGACAAAACAAGAACCCATGGTTGCACGCCCATTTCAGGCAATAAATCGATGAAAGGCTTTGCTTTTTGGCTACTAACGTTTCTAGTACATACTATTAGTACTACCGGCAAAGTTAGTTCATACTACTGCTTAGTAATACTATTAATAGTACTACAGTGTGGACCGCTCGAGTTTCCTGAATTATTCACAATGGTTATCCTGGAGGCAACATGGTCGAGTCGACATCTGGGTTTTCAACGGGATGTCGGTCGAACGCGATTTCCACCGTCGGGTCGGTCACGCAGAGCGTGCGGTCGATGGCGATGACCCCGCTTCGATGGATTTCGACAATGCCCATCGGCTTCAACAGCTCTAAGAACGACTCGATTCGGGCGGGGGTGCCGGCGAGCTGGACCATGACCTGCGTGGGGGTCACGTCCAGCACCTTGGCGTCAAACAAGCTGGCGAGTTCCGCGATTTCGGCGCGGGACCCCGGCTGCCGTGTCGATACCTTGGCCAGCATCAGGTCCCGCTCAATAAGGTTCTCCCCCGCATCGTCCTGCGATGACAGAATCTTCACGGCCGCGACCTGCACGACATCATCGAGCTGTTTCTTCATGTTCCACACATTCGCGTCGGTGGCGTGCACCACCACACTCATGCGACTTAGTTCGGGCACGTCTGTGCGTCCCACCACGAGGCTGTCAATGTTGTATCCGCGGGCCGCAAACAGGTTGGCGATCTCGGCCAACGTGCCCGCTTGATTCACCACCAGTGCTGCGATCACGTGGCGATGGATCCGAGTGGAAGCCACGTCCGAGTTGAACAGCCGCCGCCCGCCCGTCGTCTTTACGGCTCTCGAAGCCGACAGCACCAAGCGCTGGATCATCGTGATGAATCCAACGTGGAAGATTTGCAATTGCACTTTGGCACGATACTGAATAACCGGATAAACCCTATTATCCGGATATTTCCCCAACACTGGAGCACATGAACGTTCCTGTGGCAGCATGGTCAACCAGAATGCGCAATCGATCGAGTGGATGACTACAGGGAATACACGTGGAGGGAGCGCGAAGGAAGTATGGTCCGTCCAGTCATGTGGCGGCGACTATGGATGCGTCGAGCCTCGCCGGAGCTGCTTGCCGACTATGTATTCATATTCCGCAGACCACAGGCACAAATATAGCATGTCCTGTACTGTAGGTACAGGACATGCTTTAAGACATACTATTAATAGTACTAATATTATTAATAGTAAAGTAGTACCACCGTAGTTTCTACTGTAGTAAGTGAAATTCCGGATAAATGTTGCAAATCAGGCCGAATTCCGGATAACACGAATTGGCGCGAGAATTTTTGCTGTGTATATTCCAGTAGGCTTCACACCGCCACACAAAGTAGTACAAGAATGGAGGTGTGTGGGCATCCATTGTGCGTCGAAGCGGGGACAAAGACATGCAGTCGGTGCCACGTGAGACGCTACTGCAGCCGCGAGTGCCAAGCGAGTGATTGGAAAGCGCACAAGCCGGTGTGTGCCGCGCGCCAGCCTCGGTGGCACGAGCGCATCCCGCGGACGCGCGTGTACGAACGCTTCGTGGTGAGTTTTCAGCTGCGTGTCGAAGACGAGTACGTGTTTGGGGGTGAAATGGTCGGCACGTATGGCGAGCAGACCGGAGGTGAGCCCTGCGCGCCACAGTTTATGGCGTATGTGCAACTTGCCAAGGCCAAGAGCGTGCTACCAAGCGACTGGACTGACGAAGACGACCGGCAATTGATGCAGCTGGCGAGCGGCGCCATCCACTCGGCCATCGAACAAAGCGATGTCGTCACACGGTTCGGGTATGGCGAGCAGTTGGTCTTGAGGGCGCTGGCAGAGACCATCGTTGGTCCCCTTGGGCAGTGGGTTGACAAGTACTAGCTAGCTAGCTAGTAGTACTATTAATACTTCGTAGTACTACGTAGAAATTGTAGCTCACGTACTTCTATCAGGATTGGCGGGTAATGCAAACTGGTCGATTAGTATGCCAGGGTATGTCCTTTGAGAGAGAATCAGTATGTACGGTGACGACAGTGTCGACAAATGTACCGAGTCCTGTACGCCTGACACATGCACCACACGTAGCATTTCAGACAGCCCATTCCTGTCAAGGTCTGGCGATCCCCCTCTCTCCCTGCATGGCCATCTTATGTGTTAGCCTAGTGCCAGTAGCAGTAAATCTCACCAATTGTAGACCATTGTCTGTCATCGATGACCCCCAAGTGTCATGTACATGGCCAATTGGACCCGCTATATTACAAGCTATATATCGTCTACAGATACATCGACACGACAGAGAGGGCGACCACACTGGCGGACATGGCAGCCGTGATGGTACTCGACTTGCCCGGCGCAGGGGTAGCGTTCGAGCTGTTGCTGGCGGCACCGGGTGCCCCTGCGGCGGTGGTGGCAGTGGCGTTTTGAATGGTCAGCTTGGGGGCGGGGTGCGCTGCATCCGCCAACTTTCCGGCGTCGTCAGGCACAGACGTCCACGCGAGGGTGCCGTTGGGGGTGGTTTCTTGGGTCACGGGGAAGTACAGCGTTGTGTTGAGCGGGAGGTCGCCGACCTTGAATTGCAAGCCAAAGTCCTGGTACAGTTCGTCGGGCAGCGATCCGTCGTACCACGTCACCTTGGACACGACGTCGGTGCCGTTGACGGTCTTGGTGGTGGTCGCCACCTTCCAGCCGCCCACTTGTTGGGGCTTGACGGACGCGACCCCCACGGGGATGTCCACGCTGACGTTTTTGGTCACGGCGCCCGGGAACGAGTGCGGCACGCGGACGATCGTCACAAAGTACGCGTTGGGGGCAGCGACCGCGGGGTTGAGTGAGACGTGCGCCGAGGCGGACGCGGCCAGCGCGGCGAGGGTCCCAAAGACAGTGGTGAAGTGCATCGTGGTGGTTGGCGGTGAATTAAAATGTGACGTTTAGATCTCCAGTACAAAAAGGATATTTGAAAAAGTCGAACATGTGCCACCTACGTAGGCAATTGTTGATACGTCGACGACTCTTTTACCAGTATAGAATACCCAAGTGAAAATGGCTACCCGAACCCTAACATGTGTCAGTTTAATGCCATATCTTTGTCCATAATTGCGTCATGTGGCCATTGAAATGCTGTCCACACTTTGCTGCATTATGGACTTCATCCATTCAACTGGGGCTCAAACGTTGAAGATCAATGAACCTTATTGATCGTGGTCAGCGAGTTTCCCATGTACGAACTGACCAGGATGTGGCACCTAACTTCGTGGCGCGCCTGGGTCCCGTAGAATCTTAGCAGGGAGAGAAAACGTTTCCAATAGTCTCCCAAAATGAAACGACGTCGTCTATATCATTGGTACACTACACTACTGTACAACACGTGTATGTGTAGATTTTACAGGCACCTACAGCCATCAGGTACTGTAGTGAAGACACAAATGCACAGGGTATTGTGACACCCCCCTCTACCTCGTGGTAGTTTTTGAATGGTAAGTTATGTCAAGTTGCAACGGTTGAAGTGACAATGGTGGACGGACTGAGGGGGCGGCGCCGGAATGACATTGATGTCGTTACTGGATCCATTGGTCGGCTGACGAATTGAAGTGGCAGGCGATAGACTACGTCTTCATGAGTCGAAGAATTAGAAATGAATCCGTTTAGCGCCACTTTCGTACCTCGTTGCTATTGATCTTTACTAATGATCGTGCACTGGGATTTACATGTTTCATAGCATCTCGACATAAGTGCGTACATTCAGTTTGCACGTGTATCCGTACGGTCGTCTTCGTGGACTGAAAGTGCCGGCGTCCTATTCCACCTGCCGGCGTCCTATTCCACCTGTGCTGAATCATCTGATTTGTGCCACATTCTTCTCCGATTGTCAGCAAAATCGAACAGTAATCCGATATCCCTTGTCAACAATTGCGTACGAAAACATGCACCCAATGGTTGTCTGACCACAATCCACCTTAAACCATAGTACGGTATGGAAACACAAGGGTACAATCTGGTCATTTTTCTTTTGCATCTGCTCTTCAAACAACCATGCACCTTTACCACGCCGTTGTCGCCCTCGCAGTGTTTGCCGCCTCGTCTGTGTCTGGCCATGCCACTTTGAACCCCCCCGTGGGGGCCCCCAACGCGTACCTCGTCACGTCTGTCCGCATCGGCCACTCGTACCCTGGTGCCAGCACCAAGAACGTCACGGTGGGCATTCCCACGGGCATCACCACCGTCAAGCCCAAACAAATCGACACGTGGAAGGTCGATTTTGAGTACGCCGAGGTCAACGGCACCAAGGCGGTCACCCAAGTCACATGGTACGGCGGCGACTTGCCCGACGACTTGTTTCAAGACTTTGGGTTGCAGCTCAAGCTCGCCGACCTGCCCAACGGCACCGTGTTGTACTTTCCAGTTACCCAGTTCACAGTCCCGAACGGCACACTAGCGTGGACATCGATCCCCGACGCGGCGGGCAAACTCGCCGATGCCGCCCACCCAGCCCCGAAACTCACCGTAATCAAGGCGTAAACGCATCAAAAAAGTGAAGTGGTAGATTATAAATTCCTTCAAGCCGTAACTATATTTGTTGCTCAAGTCGTGTTTGGTGTCTATGTACAGGTGTAGTTGGTTGTAGGTGTTTCACATCCTTACCATAATGATCAGCCACACTTGGCATTCGAATACGAACGATTAAGAGTGTAGTTTTGGGAGAGCGGGCGTGTTTGAAGGCTCACACCTGCAATAAAAAAATCCATCCAATGGCTTTTTAAAGTCCGAACGACCAAGGTACTATGACGTATTGTCAACCCTACCGTACACACCAACTAAGGGGGGCTCTGACCACTTCAAGTTTGAAGTCCAAAGTGCATTCATGGCTGCAGTGGCTGCATCATTGAACCTGATTAGGATCGCCCGTCCGAGGGGGGGTCACCACTTCGCTACGTAGCATCGGCACCGGTCACGAACGTCAGCCCTAGATATGCCACTGTTCAATCATCCTCGCACCAGTAAAGCAAATGTACGATAGATAGCAGGGGGGGTGTTAGAGTTAGAAGGATGTGTGCTCATCTGTCGGGTACTTCTAAACTTCAAAGTACCATACAGTACGTACATACTCGACATCGTCATCATCGGCTCAAACACATCCCCGCTCCCACTGTAGCCATCTACGTCCGTTAACAATTGCCCCACGGAAGTAGCTGACAACATGACCGGCCAAACCAACTTCCCCTTCAGTTAAGTTGGCCGCCCCATCCCAATCACTTGACACATTGACACACCTTTCACATTGGGCAGGTGCGAATTTTAGCAAATCTGACTCCCTCGGCGGATGACCCATGTCACACCGAGGGTGATGTGTTTGGTGGTACTTCCAATTAGTCTTAATACCGAATTACAAGGCATACCGAACAGTTTCCCAAATCGTGTATCCTGAGCCTAGGGAATCCAAGATTGGGGCAAGTTCTCACGAATCCCCACGGCCGTGACGCCAATCTGTGGGAATCTCCTGTGGCCGCTCCAGGCGTTTTATGGTATGCAGAGTGTTGCTCGCAACTCAAATCGCTAGAAGGATATATCGTGGAAGATGGTTTGAGGACGTTGAAAATGATAGAAAGATAGAAACAACAGCTTCTGGTAGGTGACAAACTAATTACTCAACTTAACGCTTGGCCTCCAACTCCTCTTCTGGACTTTGAATTCAACGCTTGGTCGCACCCCACCTACAGTATCCAACGATATTTTACGGGAAAACCCCGACTGGGTCACATTTCAATTTGCATTTCCCCCATTCGACCCATGACCAATTTACCGTTAGATCGAAAGTTTAAGATACATTTGAAAACTTGAGATACATTTCTAAAGATGAGTGTTCTAATGAATTAGTCGAGTCCTATGCAGCTCAAAATTGCCGCTCAAAGTCTGGAAGGGATCTTTCAAGCTGTAAATCGGAGGCATCCCAATAAAAGGTCGACGGGGATATAGATGTACAGGATAACATTAAGCGGATTATTGACACCAAATACTCTTGACGCATTGCTTAAGGGCCACTCACGGCCAACGCAAGGGACGCGAAAGCAGCGACAAGGCAGCCCGACGCAACTGCGTGGCGTTCGCTAGAGGACGACTTGGCTGCGGCGGCCGGGGTGTTGGCTTGGTTGGACGAGGCATTTGTCGCCGAAGGCGCGGTGGTGGTGGCATTTACAATGGTCAGCTTGGCCGCAGGGTACCCAGCGTTGGGAATTTTCCCACTGGCGTCGGGGACAGACGTCCACGGCAACGTGCCGTTGGTGGTTTCCTGGACGACGGGGAAGTAGAGGACCGTGCCCACGGGAAGATCCCCCACGCGCACTTGGAGCCCAAAGTCTTGGTACAGTTCGTCGGGCAAATTCCCTCCATACCAGGTCACGGCCTCAACCACTGACGCGTTGGTGGTGGTGTTGAGCTTGGACTGAAGTTTCACTTGCCATCCGGCCATTTGCTGGGGCTTGACGGACAAGATACCCTTGGGGATCAACACGGTGACGTTGGTCGTGTTGTGGCCCTTGTACGCATGCGGCACTCGCACGGCGGTCACGGCGTTTTTGTTGCCCACGGCGGTGGGGGGCTGGATGGACACATGGGCCGACACGAACACCGTCAGAAGGGTGGCAGCCAGAGCAAAGACAGCGCGCATCGTGGAAGTTGGGGAGTGGGTTGTGAGAAGGACAAGTCAAAATGGACAATGGAGAATGCTGGGATGGTTTTCGTGGTGGTGTAGTGCCAGGCTTGGCGGCCTGTGACTTGTCCGGCATCAACATGCAAAGTATGTATTCCATTGATACTTATCATTGACATGTGACATCACTGTCGTTGAATCCGCATCCACTATGATGTCGATATGTTGTGGACTGTTGGTGTGTGGTTGGTTCTGTAGAGATGTGCAGTAGAAACCAATGTTAGCTGAAGGAATGCGGGCTGAACTTGGTCAAGCAACCTCAAGTATCGATGAAGTCGCCACAAAAGAACGGGTGCGATTGATACGCCGGAGTACTCACGTAAGAACGTGGAGCATTGCGAGTAGATGGTCTTGAATAGACTTGAACCAGCGATACAGTAACACCCTTGTACAGTACATGAACATCGAGTTCACTTCAACATCACGGCCCACGACATTATTGATGTGCGGCTACGGTGGAAAGTGTGCCCACAGGTTATTCAACGCAAACAACTTTTTGTACCGCGAAACGTCGTGCATCGTGGACCTTAATTCCAGAGGGTACGTCGGGCTTCATGTCTAAGGCTACCTACAACTACGATATCTGGTAGATATGCGTCGGCTTGTGTTATTAGTACTGTACTGGAACACCGATGCAATTAACAGGTGCAATTTGGGAAGGTTTCGTTGACAATGTGGGCTCAGAATTTAGTACAATTGTTGATTCGGGTGGTCAACAATTGCGTCATCGAGGCGCAACTGTTGAATTTGTATCCAACAATTGTGGACGCAAGATTTCAACAGGTAATGTTAGTACTACTACTAGTATGTACTAAGTACTACTAGTATTAATAGTAATAACGGTAGCTTTTCACCTTTTAGGAAGTACCACGGTACTACGTAGTACAGTCGTAGAACATCCAACTTCGAGTCGTTTTGGGAACTTCTCAATACCGATAAGCTTATATGTAGTTGTGAGCGATCAACAACCCCATGCAGTGTAGTATACCCCCCATCACACTCATAATTGGGACCAATTCGTAGTGCATACAGTGGGATTGCTGTGATGATATGGCGTGTTTTCTACAACCCTTGTCACCAGACACACACACTTTAGATGCCCTGGACATAAATTTGAAGTCGAAGCTCCACACCTCATAAACTATTGCCATTCACCAGTGAGGCAGTCACTTTCACTTTCGCCCGCCATGGTCAAGACTTCATTTCTAGCAATCTTCGCCTCAGTCGCCGTAGCCCAGCACAAAATAATCAACGGGACTGAAGCCCCTATCGGCAAGTACTTGTACGTGACCGGATTGCGTGAAAAGCCGACGAGCAACAACCGCTGCGGGGGGATTTTGATTGCCCCCAAGTACGTGCTCACGGGGACGTTCTGCTCGGACGCGTTGGCTGCCTACACTTCCGTGGGGTCGCACTACTTGTCGGGCGATCGCGACGGCGAGCGGCTCAAAGTTGTTAAGCGCATTGTGCACCCCCACTTCAACCGCACCACGAACGAGTATGACTTTGCCATTTTAGAGTTGGAATCTGCCAGCAAGGTGACTCCGGTTAACGTTGCCTTCAGCGACAACGATGTCGTCAACGCCACACAGGGGACTGTTCGTGGCTGGGGCAAGTTCTCCAATTCTGGCCAACTCTCGCCCGTGCTGCGTGAAGGCAACGTCAAGATCTGGTCCAACATTGACTGTGAAAAGGCAGTCAAGCATATCGGCCCCGTCTTTAGCTCCATGATTTGTGCTGGGGGGGGCGACAAAGACTGGTGCAATGGAGACCACGGAGCCCCCTTGACTGTTTCCAAGGGCGGGGACGAGTACGTCGTTGGGGTGGCGAGCTGGGGCGGGTTCTGCGCGTCCAAAAATGTCCCCAGTGTATACGCTCGCGTGACCAGTGCCCGTGATTTTATCCAGCCGTACTTGCCAACCCAGCCTACTACGACCAAACCCACTTGTTAAAATAACACTGTAATATGTCCAAGTTTGTGTTGTTCAGTTCATGCTGCAACTTACTTTTCTGTACGTGTCGGGGCGTAACAATCACTGGGGATACACGCTGTATTTCTATGGTGTAATGTGCGCTCGACCCACTTTTCCTTGCCAAGAAATGTCATCACTGGCCACATTTTTGTGGGGTGTACGTAGTACCCGGTGGTACGAGGTGTTTGCTCAGATTTCCCTGACATTCGTCTACCTTAATCAGGTCGGCAATGCTACTACGTAGCACTAACTTCGGTACGTAGAACTACTAAATTTAGTACTTGGACTCCTACGTACAGTATCCACCTGCAAAAGTGAACAATAAAATAATGCCCTTCCACACCAACCTTACGCATTCCAACACACAACACTATATTACGAACGTCGAATGTCCATTTACTTCTACTAATTGTCGTCCTGGAACAGCACGGCCACGCCCCGAAGCACCCACTTTTCCCGTCCGCAATCCGTTGGCAGCGTCGCGAGCAAGACGTACGTAGGTCCTCGAAACCGAGTCAGGTACACTGGGCACTCGTACATGAGGGGGTCATGCCGGAGGTAGCCCACGCTCGTGGGTTCCCACAGGGGTTTGGTCTCGACGGCCTTAACGTACACGACGGGCATCATCCACAGCAGCTCCTTCGGGTTGGAGTCCATGATTACCCCCCCGCACTCGGTCGTGGGGGACGCTCCGACCTTGTATCGGTTCGTGATCTCGTCCAGCGTTGACCACCGCGCCCCTTCGATGAACAGTCCGTACACAAACACTCCGTCGTCGGGGTAGTAATTGGCCGCTTCGACACCTGCAAATGTCGTCATGTGGGTTTCCACCGTCATCTTGTTCAGTGGCATCCTACAAAACACAGCAAACAACGTCAGACGACTATTTCCATAGAGAGAGACACACACGTACATTTTCCGCCGAGACGTGACTTGTAAACAAGCTGTCGTGTACGCCGTGGGATTGAACAACCCTGGGAGCCACAGCGCAAACGGCGTGACAAAATCCACAGACCACGTTTGCAGTTGCTGGTGCCGCTTGATCATGTCCACAAACCACCCGCTGAGTGTCTTCTTGGACGGCCACGCTTTTCGCTCCCACTTGCACTGGGAAAACGGATTCCGGCCGGGCACTTCGTTCAGTCCGATCGCGGTTGCCAAATCCTCCATCGATTGACTCATGTTGAGCTGGCCATTGAGCCCCTTCTTCAAATCGGCCAGCGATTTCCGCAGTTCGTCCAACAAGACGTTCATGCGATCGCATTCTTGCATGGCCACGACGACAAACGGTCCGTGGTCGGCGGTTAGCCGCGGCGCGGCAATGTCCTGCAGGTCCAGCATCGAAAAGAACTCGGGGGTGCGGGCTTCAAAGTCATCGATCGATGCCTTCAGCATGGACGTCTTATCCATGCCACCACCGCCACTGCCACCCCCGCCACCGCCAATCGACACGATCGCATAACACAACGTCTCGCACGTGGACGTGAGGTACCCGATTTCAGCGTTCGGATGGAGCCCAAACAGCATCGGGTTTTCCGCGACCATGTTCTTTTCAATGTACTGCGCGTAATCTTGAAACGAAAACTCGGCGGGGTTGGGGCTTTTGAATCCTGGCCCGAGCTCCATGCCAGACAGTAATCCCGGGTTTAACAACACTGTCAAGTACGTATTGTTCGTCCGGCGATCCCACGAGTCGGTGATGTGGCCGCCGTACATGATTTCCCCGAAAATATACCGAAGGTCGTCCCATGGCACTTGGTCGTTGTTGTCCAAGTAACTCATGAGCACATTTCCGCAAATGGTCAAGTCGCCCGTGTTGAAACTGTACGCACGACTCCATCCTTGCTGCCCAAATCGCCGGCGCCCCAACACAATCGCATGAAACCAGCACAGCGAAAACAAGCACGCTTTAAACTCGGTGGGTTTGGTGCTGGCTTGGACCTTGTCGTCTCCGAACGTGGCCCACGCGCGGCGCAAGTTGGACTGGATGTCGGACGGCGCCTCGTTAGCTACCTTGATGCACGACTGCATGAGCGACTCGGGTACATTGAGCTCCAACGGCAGCAGAATTGGCGGCGGCTCGGCGGAAATGAAGCACCGAAACATCTCATGTGGCCCTTCCCCCACGATTTCTTCCAGTTGTCGCTCCAGCTGCGGCAGCCAGCTCTGCATCAAATGCACGTTTTGCAAGATAATCCACCCGCCCTTGATTGCGAGTTTCTTGAGGCAGTCGCCGGCATGCTGCTCCTGGCCTTGGCCCATGGAGATGTTGATAAAGTTGTCATTTTCGACACTCACGCCTTTGGTTCGGCCGAGATTTTCTACCCACGGGGTCGGGTCCACCCCCGGAAACAGAACAAAGAAGATTGGAATTGCTGGGTTTGTCTCCTCAAACGTTTTCACCATGTCGAACGGGGGCTGGGACACGTATTGCTCGCCCAGTGACTCTAGAATGAACGTCCGCAACGCGTTCGTGACGCGATCGGGGCGCAATGCGCGCAGCAAAATGATCTTGGAGAACGACGACAGTTTGCTGAAGTCGCCAGGCAACTTCGCGATTTCGGCGTCTTCGGCTGCAAACCACTTGCGCCACTCGTCCGGCTCATTCTGCATGATATCCCCTAGGTTGTGGAACACTTTCATGGATTCCAGCGCCTTGAGCTTGGCGTAGCACGCCACGGGTAGCCACTCGGCCAACACCCCCATGTTGCCCACGTCCGCCACCGCCTTGCCAAGCAAAAACGTTTCAATCTCCACGTCTGTCAGGACTTGGTCTCGCACGAGAATCTTCAGACACAACATCGTGGCCACCGTGAGCTTGTCCCGCTCGAACAACCCCCGGCGAATGTAATCAAACACACACGTCGTGATGGAAATGATGAGCGCTACTCGAATAAACGAGATGAGCAACCAACAGAATGTGAAAAAGGCTGGACACACCTTTGCAACGGTTTGTAATGTCTTCGTCCGTGAGGTCGTTGGACGGGTCGTCGCTTGGGGGAGGAGCCCCCCCTTCGGGGGCAGGGGCCTCTGCGGGCACTTCGCCGTCGGCGGGGGGAGCGTCGTCGACATCTTTGACCACGGGGAGGTTATAAATGCCTTGCAAAAACACCTTTTGGAACGCCGCGAGCGAGTAAATGTAGTACGAATGCACTTTGGAGAGGTCGTTCATGAGGAAGAACAGCAGCGACCCCCGCGCGGCAATACTCCTGTATTTTTCGCTCGTCACATTGACGCTATCCTGCGTCTTCTTGGCCGCCTCCATGTTGGTCTGGGTCATCTGGGCCTTGTACTTAGTGTCGCTGAGAATGGCAATCAACGGCTGGTTGCTCGTGATGTCGTCGTCCGCTTCGGCAAGGTACTGTAGAATGATATCCTCGAGTTTCTTGAGCTCGATCTTGCCTTGGTTTTGCTGCTGGATGAGCTTTTCACGCTTGATGGCCAAGTCCGACCGCTCCTTGCTCACAACCAAGTTGAGCAGCTGGTCTTCGAGCCCCAAGTTAGTCACGGTAAAGTTGACCATGGTACATTCAGCTTGAATTTCCGGCGGGTAGTGCGGATTCCCTAACTTGGTGTGCAAATACAGTCGGAACTCTTCGCAGTACGGCACGGATGCGTCCCCAATGACAATCTCCACGCGGTTGCCTCGCTTGGACGTGCTTCGTTGGATCACCGGCGCCAGAATCGCATCGATCTTTTCGCCCAAGTTTTCAATCAAGAACGCCGTCTTGGTGCCAATTGCAGACTTGAGCTTTTCGATCCAGAATTTCTGGCCCATGCGCACGATCTGGAGGTTGAACGGCGCTTCCTTTTCTCGAATCCACGCAATTGCTTGGAGTTGCGGGTCAATGATCAACGGCCGGCGCCCTACACCCAACATGTTAGTATAGATCCTTCAAGCCATACGATATGAAACAAAACTGCTAGAAATAATATCACAGAGAGCTCATTCTACGGACCCATGGCCACCGTGTTGACGACAATCGCGCCGTTCTCGGTAGACACGCGATCGGCAGGCAGTTTCTGAGTGTTCCACTCTGCGATTTCGGCGTCGTTGGTCAAAATGTACACGGGGTTGCTCTCTTCACTCATGGCGATGCTGTTGCCGTTGGCCGCTTTTCGAAGGTACGGCACCCAATGCTTGTTGATGAGTTCGTCGCGGAAGGGTTTCGTGAACGGGCCAATGTACGAGATAAACGCGGACGCAAGGAGACAGTCGCCGACAAGCAAATCCTTTTCCTTTTGAAGTTGCAACACGTTGATGCCCCATCGGACGTTCTCCGAGCCCAAGTCTTTGGTTAGAGTCCCCGCCAGCTTCATCTTTCGATTGCCTTGCTCGACGGAATTCACCGCGTCTTCCTTTTCTTTCTCGGCGGCCGCGGCTTCCTCCATCAACTTGTCCAGCTTTGACTGCAAGTCTGCATATATATACATATAGGCGTAAGTGTCGGAGTTCTGGGCTGTAAATACAAATGTCCAGAATCCACACAAACACAGACGTACCAGCCACTAACGACGTGACTTCACCCAGCCGTTTGTTGGCTGACTCGAGCTCCAAGTTGGCAGCTGCCAGCGCCATACTATAGCACATAACCAAGCCCTTTCAATTCACTGTACAACCTGAGATAAGCTTGATCGAATATATCGTTACCGTTTGGGTTCGACCGTGATCAAGATATCATAATACATGACGATGTTGACCACCCAACTGCACAACCCGGCGGCGGCCTTGTTCTTGGTGGCAATGATGTCAGGTTTAAAGTGCTCCTTCTCAAGGAACTCGCGCACTTCTTTCCAATTCGTGGTCGGGACTTGGCCGGCGTCGACAATATCCTTGAACTTTTGCAGGTACTCTATGTACTCTGGGATGTTCCCCAGCACTTGCTTCTTGCACGCGTCCCACTTGAAGTCTTTGACTTTGCCTTGCTTCGTGATGACAATGTTGGGGTGGACGCCAGCTAGGAGCACCATTGTTGCCCCAAACACGTCGTCGACGCCCGTCGGCGGCTTGCTCATGGTTTTACACTCGCCCAGATCCTTCTTGTTGAGCGAGTCTAGCGCCTCCATGGCCTGCTGCACGGCGGGCTCGGCTTTGGCCAAGTCTTCCAGCGTCGATCGCTGCTTCTCGGTGACTTCGGCTTGAATCACAGCGCACTTGGCAGCCTCCTCGGACGCCTTCTTGGACTCGACCTCGACCTTGGCTTTTTCTTTGTTGACCGTTTCGGCGATGCCCGACGCGACCGCCTTTTTGTCTTCAGCTTGCTCCAACTTGACCTTGAGTTCGACTTCAAGGCGGGCGACGGTATCCCCCGTGTCTTTGAGTTTCTGGAGCCCCTTCTCCAAGCGCTCGATCGCCCCCGCGTACTCTTTGACCTTTTTCTTGAGAATGTTCTTGTACAATTGCAGCAACTCCAGGTACGATTTGGGCGTCGTGTACACATACCTACAACAAGACGACGACCCAACGACATCATGAATCGTTGCTCTAGAACGACTGGGGCAAGTATATAGACATACCGTCGTTCGACTTGAAAAAACCGCTCGGCGCATTGGTTCACAGACACAAACGAGAACGGCATAAAGTTTTCAATGCCAGTTCGCGAGTCGTCCGATCCAAGGAGGTCGCTGATCTCTTTGAGCTTTTCCTTGCCCACCGACAACAGCGCTTCCTTTGGCCACGGTTGGAACCAGTCGATGACGGTGCAGTTCACTAGCGCTGGAAACTTGCGCGCACGACTTCGAAAGTCGTCCCCCACAGGGCTAAAGCACAGACACAAATGCAACCGTTTACGAATCTCGCCTTGGAAGAACTTGATGATTTCCTTCCGGTCCTTGGACCCGGCCATGACGCACACCTATCCAGCAACTTGCTTAGCCACGGCCGACTTCAAACTATGTACGGTAGGTACCATGTTGACAATGTTGTCCATGTCCTCCATCGCAAACAAGTCGGGAATGTCCCCCGACGCCAGCAAGTCGTTGAGGTAAATCAGAAACTTTTCGTTGGTGATCTGCGAGTCGGTGAGCAAAAAGACCACGCCGCCCTTGTCTTCGCTACGACTCAACTGGTCCACAATCACAAAGTACATCTTGCGCAAGTCTTCCTTGAACTCGTTTTCGCCATATTTCGACGAAATCGAAATCTGCTTGACCGTGTATTCGCAAATGTGCGACGCCAGCCGCGCCAGCGACCGCTTCCCCGACCCGCCCACACCCACGAGCAACGCGTGCCTATGCCACCCACGTTGTGCAGCAACTACTACACGAATAAACTAGTATGTTCGTACCCGGATTCATTGCGCAAGATGCGCACGATTCGCGCCACGTGCTTGATGGCGTCGTCAAACAAGTCTAGAAACATGGCCGTGTTGTTTTCGTTGTTGTTAAAGTCGCGGAGTTGGATTTCCAGGTTCTTTTTCAGGTCTTCGAGATTTGTGCCCATTACTTGGTCGTACTCGGGGTCGCCGTCCTTGGTAAAGTGGCAAAATATGAGAGGCCACGCGTTCTCGAGCGCGTAGTACCGCGACGTATTGCAGGTAGGAAAGCTCCGTTTGACTTGGAGTTGCACCAGTTGGTTGTACTTTTCAATGTCGGCTTTGCACACGAGGCGGTCGCCGTACACACGCTCGCTTTCGTGGAGCCACAGCAGCACAAACTTTTCCGCGCTCGAGAACCGATCTTTTTTGGATGCGATCAACCCCTGAAACACATTCGACAAGTGCCGGACGTTGAATTCGTAGTGAAAGTTGGCTGCTGTCTTGCGAAACGTTTGCACCACCGACGTATGCAATGTCAAGGCGGCTTTGATGAGCGAGTTCCAGAACGCCGATGCACTCAACTCGCCCGAGAATGTGCTCAAGTGACCGCCCAGGAACGTTTCGTAGATGGTCACTAGCGACGGCGCTTCGGGCATCCCCATCGCAAATGTGGTAAAGTGGCGCTGGAGGCGTGGGTCCACTAGAAATGACCCCGCTGTGGGGTTCATACCCGCGACAATTTGCGTGTTGAGGATGTTTTGGACTTGCAGCTTCGCCCGGTCAAACCTACAATTCATATCGACTTGTCATGCTAGACACATGACAGCAACACGAGTGGGGGGGGGCGTGTACCAGTGCTTGTATTCCATTTGCTGGCGAAGCAACGAGATGGCCGACTGAGTGTTGTACGGGTCCACTTCTGGAAGATTCAAATCGTCCAAAAAGTAGATCAGACGGTACTTGCCGGGGGGGCCAAAGTTGGACCCAGTTTTCTTTTCCAAGTGCGAAAACATGGTCGACTGGAGGATCGTGGAGGTTGTGTAAAAGTTGAAGTTGATCGTCGCGTAGCGAAAGATGGACGTGCCGTCTTCTTTCGACAACTTCTTGAGCACCCCGTTCACGTTTTGCGTCTTCCCAGTGCCTGCGGGCCCACACACCAGAATCGGGTGCGATTTGTTGATCAAGTTCTCGAGCCAAAAGCTGATCGAACACGTTTCAGTGGTCGGCACCTACGCATAGACCATTGATATGAGCCCCCCATACCCCCCCAAGATATTCCATCGAAACAACAGCCCCCCGTCCAACACCCCAACGGCCCCCTGCAACCCCCATAGAAATAAAGCATGATGGAAATATACCGTGATCTGGTTGATCGGGTCAGGGCTCTTGTACGTGGCCGTGTAAAAGTATGGCGACTTGCTCCACGGGTTAAACTTGGACGTTTCTGGGTCGAGCCAAAAGTCAAATACAGTGTTGTTGGCACTCGCAACGATCTTGACGTCTTTCCATGTGGTTTTCCACCACGTGCTAAACTCAGCGGCGTAGTCGGTGCCGTCGTCGCTGATTGTAAGGATCGACCCAAACGACCACACGCAGCAAAAGCAAAAGTTGTTTTGCATGACGTCGTAGTCGGCCAGAATCGTGGGCGTCAGCAGGCAGTCGAGCATGTTCAAGAGGTTGCCAATCAGTGTCACTTCCTCGACGGGGATCACGGGCTGCAGCCGCTTTTTGAAAAACTTGAGCGTGGGCTCGCAGTACTGGTTGAACAACCCCTGAAAGTTGTCGCGCACTTCGTTCGTAAACAGCATCGTTTGCTGGTTGGCTTTCTTGGTCGGGTCTGGCGTGCAGTGTCGCAGCAGCCACGAGTCGATCAGACACCGCCACTGGTACCCTTCCGTCGCGGAAATGTACAGAATCCCCGCGCGGGACACGGTCGCTGGTGTCGCGTACACCAAGTCTCGGATTTCAAATATCATGCGCATGTGCGATTTCAACGGCACGCGCTCGTTGGAGGCCAGCGTGAGCATTCGGTTGTCGTCCATGACGGAGTTCATCGATTCGATCCAGTTGGCATCCAGGTCGCCGTCCAGCAGAATCCACTTGGGGGACGTGTCGTCTTCGCCGTTGTCTTTGGTGCGGGACCCCAAGTCGCGCATGATTTTACTCAGCAACCCGTCCTTCCATTCGCGGGTCTTGAGCACGATATACCCGTACAGTTCGTTGGTCGAGACCGACTTGGGGTTCAAGTCTTGCACTTCCATGGAAATTCCCATGATTTCCCTGGCCTTTCGAAGCGTCTTCCACGTCTCTGTCTTGCCCGACGCCGGCGGTCCCATCACAAACACGCAATGGCGAATCGCCAGCAGTTCCGACAATTGCACCACCTTGAGCATGAATTCTTCGCGAGGACTACAATGATAATCATGTAAATATTATGCAATTTGGTTGGAAATATCTATCCAACGACGTTGTTTCCAGGCAAGTATATATATATGTATATTCCAATGTTGTTCATTCAAAACTGGAGCGGTATGCCGATGCACAAGACAAATAGCACATGAATAGGCAGATAGCTTTTGAAGACACGAATCAACATCTCAACCAAAATCTCAAGGGGCCTATCCCAACTGAATAATTCCCTATACACAACACGAGCCACTACAAATTGATAGATGATATATATTTGGACAAACACAAGTCTAGATTTAAATCAAAAGAAAATGTACCTGTTGTTGATGGCTTCACATGCCCCTTGCACCATCGACTCGAGTTCTTGGTCGCGCTTTCGGGGGGGGTCATTCCGGACGTCAATGTTGGGGTCGTTTCTCGGAAATAAGTCCCCCAGCAGCCCAAAAAAGATGACGTTATCCTCGACGACAATCTTGGGGATGTTGAAGTCACGCAGCGCGCGCATGAGAAGATCGGGTTCGGGGATGTCTGGCTCGGCGCGCTTGAATGCCCCCGCAACACACAAGACCGACTTGACTGCGCGGAGCCCCCAATCGTAGTGTAACTGCTTCGACAGCAACTGGCCGAGCAACGAGTACAACCCGTAGAATTTCGACGCAAGGATCTTGGCTTGCGTGAACCCTTCGGCCATGAGCATGTTTTCACAAATGAGCACCAGGTCCGGCACCATGACCGTCATGGGGCGGAAGAGGGCTTTGAGCCCCTCGGGCAGTTCCGACCGGCCAAGGTACCCCGGGTTCATCGTGATGAATGCCCCCACGGTGGGGTCGAGCATCACTGGTTCGTTTTCGAGAATGAACCGCTCGTCATCTGCCTTGCATGCGTCGCACACAGCTTTGAACTGGACAGAGCACACCGAGAGCACTTCGGGGACAAGCCGGTTGAATTCGTCAAAGCATCCCCACGACCCAGACGATGCCAGTCCCTTGAAGATGTTGCCCAGTGATTTGTAGTCCATTTCCGGCGAACAATTGAACACATAACAGGCTTTCCCGAGTGCATTCGCCAAATCTTTGGTAGTTTCGGTCTTGCCAGTCCCAGCAGGTCCCGCGGGCGCGCAGCCCATCTTCAAATTCAACGCTTGGGTGGCAGTCACGTAGATACGATCCGTGAGGGGCGTGATCACCAGACGCGGTCCGTTCCCAAGGTACTCGTAGTCGTACGGAATGCCGGCATCGCAAATGAGAATCTGTGCCCGCGAATTGTTGGCCCCTCGAAAGTTCTGGTCGCGGTTCAAAAAGCTACCTTGGGTCGGGCTAAAGTAGTGTTTGAGCTGCGACTGCCACATGAAATGCGACGCCACGTCGACGCCCGCACGGACCATGTTGGCCACAATGTCTCGACCGTGGGCGTCCATCGTGATGAGGCACATGACGCGCTGTCGTTCGGCGTTGGAGATCTTGCTTTGCGTGAGCTTGATCAAGTCTTCGAGCTGAATCTCCTGCTTCTTGTTGTACCGCATCAGCGACTCCTTGTCCCCCCCGGCCATGGCGGCAAACGACGCCTCGACTTCGGCCACGTAGTGCACGCCCGCGGCCAGTAGAATGATCTGGGCCGCGTCCATCGGCTTGCCGCTCGCGTCCTGGTGGTTGATCCACTCAACCCGCGGTTCTTGGGTGTACAGCACCAGGCTGCGCTCAATGTGTTTGAACAGCGTAAACTTCATGGCTTTCAGGAGGGCCTCGAGGTAGATTTCCGCCTCGCCTTCCAGCAGCACTGGCTCAACAAAGTCGACCACTTCTTGCCCCACCCCCGACACGAACGCCGACGCGGTGGGGCGCCCCCCCGGGTTTGTCACTAGGGACATGGTCTTGCATGCCAAGTAGATTTTCGACGCATGGGGCATGATCTTGGCCGGATTGGACCCGTTCGACAAGATGTCGAGCAAATCGGCTTCCGACATGAAGTAAAAGCGGGGAAACTGGCGGCGGCGGCCGTCGAGAAACTCCTTGAGTCGATGTTTGCACAACTCTAGCTTTTCCACAATGCCTTCGAGGAACTTGAACAGGCCCGGCTTTGTGCACGCCTTCTTGACGTTCTTGGTGATCCACGCCTCGCGCAAGTTCTTGCGCACTTCGACGTCAATGTCCTCAAAGTCTGCCGTTAACGCCGGCAGTTGGTTTTTCACTTCTTCCGACTGGATGAACAGCGGTTCCAGGTAACTCCAGCTGCGCTGGATTTCGCCAAATATGACCACCACTTCGTTCACACTGGCCAGTCCTTCGTGCATTTCCGTCACGCGGCCTTCAAATTCTGACTGGTACGGCGACGACGTCATGGTCTGGACGTCGATCTGGTTGGTTTCGAGCAGCTCAAAGTTGTCTTCAGAGATTTTCAGCAGCGGCACTTGGTCGTCTTCGGGGGCGGTCGGGTTGTACGGCACCATTTCCCACTCGACTTGGGCCCAGATTTCCTCGAGTTCGACCAGTTTCGTTTCCAGTTCCTGCTCCTTTTCCGCTTCGTAGCAGATTTCACCAATCTCGCCGGCGTATTCATGCAGCCGCTTGCTCAACAAGAAGCCCAACTTTTGGTCGGGGTTAACGTCCGGGGGCGTAAACTCCCCCGTTAGCGCTTGGATCCGTTTCCAGTGGCGAGACCGCATGTACAGCGAGCTCAAGCACCGCAGCAACGGATGCGTCTTGTCAAATGCTTGGCACTCCTTGAGAATCCACTTGTACGCGTCGCACCTAACTCAGAGCTGTCAGTTGGAGTTGCTTTGACAGCAATTTCAATGGATTATTCTTCGTAATAATCACCGACCATTGAATTTCTTTGGGAATTTTCTTGAGTTCTTTCAACGTGGCCGAAATTTCCATGGCCAACGCGTTGCAATCAATTGACAGCCACGGAATTTCGTGCGTCGCGACGAAGAACGCCTTGGTGCGCTTGATGATGGCCCACACGGTTTTCGATCCTACAAAGATGTATAAAGATATTTATAAATATATATTTGATAGAATATATAAATATATTTTCGATGTATCTTATATGTATTATGATGTATATATTTATATATATTCATTCAACTATTCCCATGGAAGAAAAATACCCCGTTTGTCAGGTAGATAGATATTCAATCAATCATCTCGCACAGAAAAATATAGGATTGGTTGGTTCAAGAACGTACCTTCAATGTCGGTGCGGAGCGCCGTCATCATCTTGTGCGTGTCAGTCATGAGGTGGGGGAACCCAAAGATGAGGCTCAAGTCGCTCTTCTCGGCGCATCGTTTCTTTTCGTTATCCCATTCGACCAGTTGCATTTCAATCTTCTCGAGCGCCTTATCCGGTTCGAGCTTGGAGTCCCAAAAGTCGAGCGTTTTGATCGTGTCGCCCCATTTTTTGATCTTCTTCTCGTACTCGACGATCGTGGCCTCGGTCTTTTCCGAGAACACACGCGTGGGCTCTGTGATCCGCGCCTCCGTATCGGGGCATTGCACTTGGACATCGTGGAACAACTTGGCCAGATTCTCCACGTCCACTGTCTCCTTGTCCACGTGGGCGCCGATCTTCTTCATGTAATGAAACAAGTTGGACGTTTGCTCTTGTAACAATTGGTTGGCCGCACGGTCGTTGTCTAGCTTGCGCATCAGGTCTTTGATCTTCTTGAGCGCTTCCAACCCGTCCACGTCGTTGCTGGGAATGTCCGCCTACACCAAAGCCATATATATATGTATATATACTTGAGATGATAAACAATGAACAGTGTTGTGTGTTGTACCTTGAGTTCTTTTAGCACGCGCTTGAAATCGCCCGCACGTTTGGTCGTGTCTGTATATAGCTTTCGAATCAAATCGCTCGAGTTGAAGTCATCTTCCCGAGCAATCGACGGCACACATCGGATTGTCATTTCGTCGCTGGGTGGCTGGAACGTACACGCGAACGGTGACCCGCGAATGGGTCCGGCAATACCGTCAAATGTCCCTTCGAACGTGATTGTGAGGATAAACTTGCCCGCGGCGGGGGGGACGAACGTGACGATGTAGCGCCCATCGCCCTTGTCGTTGATGGTCGAAATATCCATCTGGATGCCGCCATCTGGGGCGTCGGTCACTTCGGTCAACCGGATGGTAAACACGTCCCCGCCACAGTCTCGCTGGACGCCTTCCTTGTCCACCGCTTGAATCACAAACGACGTGGGTTCTTGCGCCATGACCAAATGCGCCAGTGACAACATCAAGCACGGCCCAAACCCGAGACTCTTGGACGCATTCGTGACGCTATGAAACTGCGCGACTTGTGATATATATCATTGTTCACTTTGTGATATATATATTACTTTTCATTGTGATATATATCATTCTGCATCGTTGAAACGATTGGGTGAGAAAGTGCACATGATATACCTTGTACGACGTGCTGATATTGGTAAACGATTCTCCTGGAAGCGCCACGCGCACCTCCGTTTGCAGCGGTCCATATTTGTCAAAGTTTGGCGTGGTGACTTGAATCGTGGTGGGAGATAACACTTGCCCCTGCACGTCCAGGTACCCTTTGGAGACTGCGAATCGGACATTCGCCGACCCCCCCGTAAAGTTGTACCCTTCGACTTTGACTTTGGTGCTGCCTGTGATCGGCCCCGACGCTGGCACGATCGACGACACCGAGTACGGGGGACCCACAATTTCGCTCACGTGAAGACAATGCAAGTCGCCAAACCATCGGTTGGCCCACCCCCCAAACAACAGCACTTTGTAGCTCACGGGGTCGTACACTAATGCCGTGTCGGCTCGGGGAAGGGGCGAGTCCCCTTTTAAAGGCGGCTGGCGCCATTCCATCAACCCCGTGTCGAGAACTGACACATTGTTCAAGTACGTTCCCTGTCGAAATCAGTTAGTAAAGTCAAACCACAAACATTTACTTGGGAATTGCCCGATTCGTTCAAGTCGCCTGAATTGCCGCCAAACATAAAGATCTTCCAGTTCGGCACGGCTTGCACTCTACAGAGTGGATATGTATGACATCATTGTGCGAACATCATCCGATCATTTTCAGCAGGTTTGTCGTACCCGACACACGAATGATTCCACGTTGGCACGGGTAACTTGGCGTCAGGTGCACTCCATGTATTCGTGGTCAAGTCCAGAACAAACAAGTCTTGGAATTGCTTGACCGAGTTCCACCCGCCAATCACAAACAGCTTGTTCAGTATCAAGCATGTTTGGTGGCTCGATCGCGCTTCGGGCTTTTCGCCTTCGGTGAGAATTTCTTCCCATTTCCACGTGCGCAGGTCCAGCGCATGGACGTCGTTGAAGTCAGTGCGGCCGTAGCCGTTGCCTCCGTAGCCCCCAAAGATGTACATCTTGTGGTCGACCAACGTAGCTGAGTGCGATCCACGGCATTGGGGCAAACCTTCCCAAAAGTTCTGGGGGTGTTGCTGCTCCCACAATTTTGTGTCACAGTCAAATACCCACAGGTCGTTCATGCGTTTTTCCGCGGCGAACCCGCCAAAGATGATGAGTTTCTTGTCGCTGTACAACAGCGCCGAATGGCGCCAACGGGCTGGGGGGGTGTCTTCTGGGGCAGACGATACTGGAACGATGCGAGCCCAGTTGAATCCGCCGTTCATTTCTAGCTTGAGGAGGTCGTTGCTTGGCCCGGGGGGGATCTTGTGGTCGCATCCTGCAGCAAGAATGAACCAGCTACACTAAAGACAATAAAATTGTACCCCCAAAGAGGTAGAGCGCGTTCTCCGACCCTCGCAGAGTCAGCGTATGCCCTGACCGTTTGTTGGGCACTTCGCCAGAGCACTTGGGGCTAGCCCAAGACATTTCTGGCTCGGCACCATACCCGATCGGCTACGACATGGATGGATTCATTAACGACACAGTCATACAGATCGGTTGACTCTACCATGTTGGCGCGAGTCGGTGCGGTTGCTCAATGGAGCGAAACCTTCGAAAGGTCGCGGTGAAGGGGCGTCCGAGAAACGCCCACCAAAATTGAGCCAATCACAACGTCGTTGGAAAAACAATCGGATGCGACAGGTTTCAGTCCGAATTGTCCAATGTGACCCTGGATAGTGAAATAAGAACCGCTACATTGCCTTGTCTTAAGATATTGGCCGTGTTAACTGTATAGTGTTACTCAAAGTACTCCCCAATAAAATCTCTGAGTGGTGTTGGAGATTCAGTACACCCCGTTCAATCGACCGAAATCTCTCCCACTAGTCAATCCGAATTTACTTGTCGCTGATTGGCTGCAATCCATTTCAATTTTCTGGCAACGTGGATAATAGCCAATCAGTTGTCTCGACGCGGTTGTGAGAATTGTCCAAAATCGATGTTAGTACTTCTTGTAGCAGTGTGTACTTGTCCTCGTTTCAATCCACCGCCTCGTCACTACTTTACAGTTGAGTCAGTGGACGCTCAGAAAGCCATGCCCGCCACTATGCCTGCAGAAAAGAAAGCGGAGGGGGGGGGTATTATGACGAGGCAGTGGGACTGTGGCGACGATATTGACGGCAACAAAACCCGCAAGTTTATCCAGCAATTAATTGGCCTCCAGCGCTGTACTATTCAATGTTTAGCGATGGCCAGCTCTTGGCGTTTAGAGGTTGAGGCAGTGGTTCTCGCTCGAACGTGGACGGTCAGTAACGTGGCAACGCGGCTGCTCTTCATTACTCGGACATCTGCATGTCGACGCCTAGGCGGAACATTCCGTATGAGGAGTTCGTGGCCACAGAATTTTGCCTCAACTTGCATCCGCGGGCTGTAGCCACGTGTAGTTGTATGGATTCTGCTCTAGTATGTTCGTGTGCTGGCGTGCCCCCCACTTGTTACAATCGTCATACCTTGGTGGAATGTTCGGATTGGGTAGGTTCAACATTCACATTTCGTGAATGATTGTCCTTCCATGTTGTTTCAACGAACATTCGTAGAAAACTCGACAGCACGATGCAATGCCCCGCCTTGACTCGCGCGCCACAGACAGCGATCACATGCTTTGACGACCTCGTTCTCTTTCTTGAGCCCGACCATGAACCCAGCAGCCATCCCCTCGATCGACCCCCCTTTCCTGCACTTCAGCACGCCATCCATGGTTACCAAGACCACTTTCACGCCGATTTCTATACCACATTGTGGCCACGGATTCTGGAATGGGCATGGACTGTTCCAGGCACCTATGCTCCCACAGGTCTGAGTTTTACCTCGCCGCAAGTGTCATCGTGTGGCACATACACCTCCGCAAAATGCAACTACGACACGGATGTGGCGCGGTACATTCTGGCCAACATGTTTGTCCTCAACAAGCCTCAGCCCGCCCCAGAATGCGGCAATTTGGACCTGTACCGGCTGATGAATTCCCAAGCGCGGTGTCGCGAAGAGGACGTGGGGGCTGCGCGACTGGAGTGTCTCCTGGCGTACTTCCACACAATTGCCGAGGAAGAACAAGGTCGAACCATCACGATCGAGCGGCGTCAGTGGCTAGGGCAGGCCCATGAACTCGATGCGTCGGGCCATACATTAGCTGGTGTCAACTTGATGGAAACGTCGATGGAATCGGCGGCTGACGCCACACGGTTCGTGAACTTTGCCAACCAGGACCTGCACATCCACCGAATCATCCCGTCCGGGACCCAAGAAGAAGTGCTGTTTTCGTGTGCGCCGGAAGCCTTTGTGGCCATTGGACTGTGCCCCCGCATGACGTCAGACCAAGTCATTATGATCCGAAACGTGCGGCGATTTGTCGAGTACACGGGGTACTTGTCCTCGTTCAAGTTCCTTCGCCTCGTCGGTACTCGTCGGGTGTTTGACATCTTGTCGATCGATGCAGTGACCAGAAGCCACTATACAGTGGCATCTGTCGACCGCGACGTCCGGAAAGCGACGTTGGCCATGCTGCCGACAGACGAGAAACACGGACGGGGGGGGGTCGTGACGGGACATTGGGGCTGCGGCGTCTTTGGTGGCAACAAAACCCACAAGTTCATCCAGCAATGGGTCGCTGCCTCGCGAGCGAATGTCCCCATGCTGCACTACTCGGTGTTTGGGGATGTCCAGCTCATGAATTTTCTGCGACAGGTTGAGGCGGCCATTCGCGCTCGAGAATGGACGATCGATGACGTGGCAACGCGGCTGCTCTCAAATTACTCGGCCATGTGCGCGGCGGCCGATAAGGCCAAGGCAGACGGATACATTTGGACGCTGCTGTCAACCATGTCAACGCCAAGCCGAAAGGTTTCGTACGAGGAGTTTATCGCTACCGAATTTGGCCTGGAGGCCGTGGGTTGTAGTAACCTGCTTTTGTGGTAATAATGTTTTTAACAATGACGATCGTCCGTTTGTATTTCCGCACGGGTACCTCCGATTTAGAATGAAATTCATGGATTGGATACTTGGACCAGTATGCATGCGTTCGCCGATCGCATTTTCAAACTCATATTGCCATGCAACGTACGTACTACCGGCACTGTAGTATGGTCTCCCGGGCATCGTCTGCAACGTAAGTGAAGCAAGTGAAGCATGAGGATTGGTATAGTTATATTGGCAGGTCTGGTGACACGCCAACCCTATGGTGGTTTTGTGTAATTCTATCTTTAGCTTGGGAGAGAGGTAGAACGAGCGTCTCGATATTCGGTCGCATTGTTCTTGGCGGCGACGACAACAAACCATGCCAACACCCCACCACAAGGGTCAGCCGGAATCATTGGGGCTGCCGAAACTTCGGCCTCCGTCTCCGAAAACAGACACTGCCGACGTCCCCCATGACGACGACGCGGACATGCAGACGGTTCGAGTGAGCGAATCGCATCCTCGAGATGACACGGATACTAGTACCTCAAATGAGTCCGAGTCGGCCGCGAATTTGCCTTGCTTGGCTAACGTTACACCGATGGACACTTCCCCACGGTACATTTGTTGTTTGTACCCAGATTTTGCATAAATCGTTGATTTCGGTCGTTGATGGGGGGGGGTGTCGCTAGAGAGGGTTTAGGTAGCGGGGAGATCCAGTATCAAACTCTGCCTCGCCGCCAAAGTTCGAGCTTGAAGGTGTTGCGGCCAGCGTTGCCATCGACACCCATGGTGATGCTGCAGCGCACGAAAACGCTGGGGAGTCTCCATGCGGACAAAATGCTCACTCGTCTGGGCGTGACGTTTGAGACGATGCGATTGGAAAAAGGCATGAAGAAGCTTGGGATTTGCGACCACGACATTGAAGCCAGCATTGAGAGTACGATATACGCCCCTGCATGGCTTACTTGTGATTGCATATTCCAAATGTGGTGTTTTGTGATGATGTACACGTATGTATATATGTTGCAGTTCGCCGACACTGCGGCGTGGTTCTGAACGACTTAATGTCCAAAGAAGAATTACTGCTCGGGTTTTCAGGCAAACAATTGAAACGCATCAAGGCCGTCAAGACCATGGGGACTTCGGAAAACGAAATCCTAGATGTCTATTGCAAGCAAATCTCAAACCTCGGCTTTCCCCAGGAAGCAGCGGCCTTACTTAAATAACTGCATGGAATTTTGAACAATAATCTACTAGTATCTGGAAACCATCCTTCATGTGAAGTGTCTTGGCGGGATGAAGTCAAATCGGGTAGAAATACTTTATGAAACTAGGACCTTACTACGTTTAGGTTTCACGAACTGTATCGGTAGAAAATGATAGTGAATCGAGACGTACCGAAGGAATCACAACCATTAACGTTATGTTTACCACCAAAACACGCGTGGTTTTTTAAATGTGTCAATATTGATTCACGATGGAAACCAAGGATTGGCTGCATACACTTGTCCCACTGTAAGAGCCAATCAGATCCACTCAAAACTAAATTAGTCAATAGCGTCGATTCGTGTTTATTCGGCATCGAGGGGTCTGGAATTTTTTACCAAACTCAACTATACTTACTACCTTGGAGCCATGCCAATGCAATCGAAAGAAATTCTGACCGTGAGGAAACACTTGATGGCGCAATATCGTACAACGTGTGTGACATATATGTACCGACCAGTTATTAAAAGTGCAGAACTTCTGGACCAAAAAATGCTGCGCTCTTGAAATCAATTGCCAATGCTTCGTCCAGAAGATTGGAGGTGTTTTCAATGGCTACCTTACTGTCTTGCTAGATGTTACTCGAGTAGGGGAACTGCGTGCGCAAATCGTGCTGGCACAGGTAGCTTCAACTGCTCGTCGACAAAAGTAGGACGAGGGATGACATGTCGCCTCCAGGTCTTGACGTCCAGAATGTGGTCGTTGTCTTTTCTGGAGCCAAACACAACTAGTCCGGAGAGCAACGCCGACGCTCGGTCGACGAATTGGACGCCATTTAACGTCCACTTTGCCTTTCGTGTGAAGACATGATTGGCCGAGCTTGACAGTAAGCGCGACGTGGTGGCGGGTTCGACGCGGCCGCGGTGAAACGTCTGAAGGAAGTAGCTCAAACATATGCTTCCGACGACAATCCCCATCAATGTAATGGCGCGGTTAAAGCTGTTAATGGCCAACACGCCACTCGGACAGGGCAGTTGATAATGCACAACGGTTGCATCATACACACCCGCGCGACGAGTCTGCGAGGATCACGGCCATTCGCACCGGCCGAGCCATCGACAAAAGTGAGTCCAAGTACGAGCACACTGGCATTGCTCGCATACACGTACGTAAACTGATGCGACCACAGCGTCAGCACGTCCTGCGTGACAAACACGAACCAACAAACGAGTTCTGGTGACGACGAAGACGAAAGCAAGATTTCGACGCCGTGTCGCGATGAGTCGTCCATGGATGCCGAGCTCAAAAGCGCTATGGCCACAGTTCCGCGAAGATACAGCAGGGGGCAACCTACCCGCACCAAGCCCGCGACTCGGTTGAATTGAACAGATTGCCAGTGTCGACGGCATACCGATTAGCCGCCACCATTGCCCACGTGCTAAAGCCAATCAAGGCCAAAACGCCCGAGCTATACGCGATGGCATACCTGGCATAGTACGTTAACCGTGCCCATGTTCCCCAACGTGACTTTTAAGGCGTGGTGTACTCGGACATGACTTGCCATTTCACGTTGGCGTCGCCAGCAAAGGCCACCACTTCCCGGACACCCACGACCCACTCGTACAAGAGCATCCAACCCGTGTTAGCAATAGACTTGGAACCAAACAGTGTCAATAGCAGCAGTTGTCGGGACTTAGCTTCAAACTGAATCATGGACACGTTCCCTGCAGTAACCACGACGTCTTGCACAGCCGATTGCAAGGTCATAAATATATCACCATCATTACCTGTCTCAGCGGTCGCCCATAACAAGGTGTTCGTCAAATCATCCACACACGCATTGGCATTCAGAGCGCAAATAAACTGGATGTCCAACGCTTCGTGGGGCCATTGAATGTGCCACGCGAGGGCAGCAAACAGAATCTGCATTCGACTGGCGTAAATGACATTCGACTTGACCCCCACACAGTCGCCGTCGCTCGTAAATGACCCTTTGACCGTACGGTCGGTCGAGCCTGGACTGGAGGTGTAGTCGCAGATGATATTTCCAGCAGAAAAATGCCTCGAACTATTCGACCATGTGGACATAAATTCCGCGCTTTGGACCGAGTGGATCAGTTCGACAAGGGGTTTGTCGGATATAGTCAGGGCGTTGGCTGTGAGAATCGTTTGCACTTTCCATAGGAGAGTCACGAGGGGCAAAGAGAACGGGACATGATACGCGTCGATCGATCCAAAGGGTCCTAATGCAATCTTGACGGTGGCAAACCAGTGACTTCGTGGAGAACCCACGACCCTTCTTTTTGTCAAGACAGTGGCCATACTGATGTTTTGGAAGGCAAAGTGAGGCTTTGTCGAAGCAAACTGTGCCCGGCGATGCTACAGACGTTGGACCTCACAGCCACGAAATCGTTGGCCAGGCCCCAGTACAATTTGAACGACGCGCTTTTGTCTACATGGATTGAAATTGAAATTGCAATTACGCGGTATTTACAAGCTCTCTATCGCCCGAGCGCGCGCATATTTGTCTACATGGATTGCCCCCGTCGACGATTTGAGCGTGAACGAGTACGACATCTGGAACGGCGTCGTGATTTCAAATGTCTCCACCAGCCCACGCTGAAATTCTGCCATTGGGTCGAAAACCGCGAAATGCCATAGTTACTCCAATACGCCGCTTCCTGGCTCGGGGTCACGTGAACGTTAGTTTGCAATCGCGTGAGCCACAGTTACCCATCAACTGTTTGCCAGAGCTCCGCTTTGAACCCAAGGTTGAACGCGTCGCCCCAACAATGCGTCCATTGCTCCGCATTCACATTCCGCAACAACGCTACTAGATACACTGCCCCGTTGGATCCTTCAAGGGCATCGCAGCGGGCTTGGCGGGTGCCATTGACCAGTGTTTGCTAAAGTCTAGCCAGCAGTAGGCGGAAAACATCCACTCGGCGTCGCAGCCATCCATGCGACGCAGGCCGTCGATTGTCGCCACGAGTGTCGTCACGACTTCGTACTTGATTTTGGCCGGGTACAGAGCACTGGACACAGAACCAACGTCCGTCTCGTTGAAACTGCCTAAGTCTAGGACCCCGAGGGTGGAAGTTGACATGATATATTGGAGGACATCTGCAGATGTTAGTGAAACCAGTTGTAGACCACGGCACGAGTGTTTGAGCGTTGGTAGCTGGACCAGAGCAAGTCGTTGCCCAGCATATAGCCCGAGCCTGAAATGTACACCAACCCTCCAGTCACGGCGCCAAGAATGTACAAGCAGCCCACTGCAATGTGAACATGCGGAGGTCAAACGACCTCCAATACGTGGCTTCGTCGGGGATATTTTGCAACGACTCATGCTAGTCACTGCACCACCAAAGGTCCCCGTCCGTCGATTCCTGAAGCGTCGTGTCGATTACGGTGGCCAACGTCGATTCATACGCAAGGGCAAACTCGGTCCAAATGACATTCCGAAGGATCGATTCCAAGTACACAGCCGCATTGTGGATGTCACGCATCGCACATCCGTTTCGTCGTGTGTGCCATGTGCCAACGTTTGGAAAATTCTAGCCAGTAATATTGCGTCGTTATGATCCAATTTTGAACGGGAGTTAGCAGCTGCAAGATCTGAATTGCCAGCTCTAACGTCAGGACTTCGTTTGCTACGAGATTGGTATAGCTTGGGGCCAATGCTAGGGGAATGCCCATGTTGTGATGAACCCTCAGTAGTGATATGTTGCTGGAATCGACAGACTTCAGACGCGCCAGTTGAGTGTTGAACACCGTCGCGAGAAACGTTTGAGTGTTGTTGTTGAATTGAGGTCACCACAGGTCGTTGGAATAGTATGGTTTGGCCGTGTGGAGGTACTGCAATACACGCTCGAGGCCACGGTCGCAATCAGGCAAGCATTCAAATGCCTGCCACTTCGAAGTCATGTTGTCCTGTACCAAATGACAATTACGTCGTTTTTCACCGGCCGTTTCATCTTGTAACTATTAATATCGTAAAACACGAAATTACTACGTAGTAATACTATTAATAGCGTCAGAATTGTGTTTCCACCCCTTTTTTGTCAATTCCATGATTAACTGTAAATCCATTGTTTAAAGTGCTCTCAGACTAAATAACGAATAAACCAAGTAACGTTAACTTGAATACTCCGGAGTAGCACTTCATATAAAGCGATGATTGGTTTGTTGCTGGTGGATTTACAGGCACTTACTGTTAGTAAGCCAAGTTTCATTGATTTACTGTTAGTTCAATGTTATACCAATCCTGCAACAACGTAATTTGTACTGTACAAGTGCGCGCTACATCGACACGATCACCAGACAACATTCTGGGTCTACGAGTACGGTCTTCCATTTCACATCCTAAACTTCGTTCGGTTCGGAAAGTTAGAGACCAGAATGAAAAAGCATTCTTTTAGGCAGAACCTGGGGTTAACTTCACTGTCAATCGGGTTTATTTTGTCCTTTTCACCCAAATTTGGACTGGGCAGTTTATTGGAGAAAAGAACAATTTAATACCACCAAATGAGGACAAGTACTCCACAAATATTAGTATTGCAAATCAAATCAACTGGGACAAATACTGGGGCCAAACGATCCTGAACTATGATTGGTTGAAATTTAGGATTATTGGAATTTCATTGGCTAGCCGATTGGGCTGCTACCCACTTCAACTTCGAATCGAATGCATAATACTATTTTTATAGTATAATACTTCGTACTTCGTATTATACTCCGAGTAACGTTTGAAGTATTTTGAGCTTCGGTTGTTCAAAGTTATTAATAACGCAGTTAACAGTAAACAACGGTCATATTACGCAAAAATAAATTCTAAATTGACTTAGTAACAATAGTACTCTTACTAGCTGCTTCCTGTAGTTCGAATGAGTGTTTGTCGTTGGAGTCCAAAGCAAAAGTATCATAACCTTTGCCAGTGCGAAGTGCGTACGATTTGCTTGTTGAAGCCAAAATGTCACTCGTATTGTCTTAGGGTTTCTAGCTTGCCAACATATTGTTGGAATTGCCACACAATATTTATAATAATATTTGTCTCACAGATTACAAATTGGAGGATATTTTAATGCGATCTATTGTCGGTGCATCCAGCGATGTGATTGGCTTAAATGTTGCCACTCCACCAGACACATCATCCCACCCGTTCGTGTCCAAGGGCCGCAGGTGTTGCTGTCACATGAGCCACTTCGCACAACGAGCGATGCTGCTGGCCCAGAACACCGCCAAGCAGGCTGCCAATCTCGCGGCAAATCCGTCCCCTTCCATCGCGGCGCCGTCGGACGATGCTGACGAGTTCAAGTGGATTGGTCTGGCAATCGTCGTCGGGTCGGCAATCCTGTCCAACCTTGGCGTGAACGTCCAGAAGCTGTCCCACGTCAAGGAAGAGAAGCGATCGTTGTTTCTCCGTCGACCGTACTACGTCCGTCCTCTGTGGATCATCGGCATGACGTTCGTCGTTCTTGGGTCGATCGGCGACTTTGAGGCCCTCGCATTCGCGCCGCAAGCGCTCGTCGCGTCCGTCGGCGGCGGCTGCACGGTGCTAGCCAACATGGGTTTCGCGCACCTGTGGCTTGGCCAGCGTCTCACATGGTACGACGTCTTTGGAACGTTCTTCATCCTCGTGGGCGTCGTGCTGAGTACCCTCGCCAACACCCCCGACGCGCAACTCGACCTGAACGAGCTCGAGCTTCATTTCCGCCACCTCGAGTTCCTCGTCTACTTCTCCGTGATGGTATGTAGAGTATTGTTGGGGCCAGCCGTCCTCAACCGTGGCTATCTTCTATGGTAGTGCTTGATTTTGTTCATCCTTTTTGGCGAAATCCGGTCCATCGCTCGGCATTCTCGGCCGACCCACGACCATTTGCATCGCCGGTTGGCGTACTTGTATGCGACAGCGTCTGGGATCTTTGGGTCGTTTTCGGTCTTATTGGCCAAAGTAAGACACTACACAAATAATTCATGGATATGTTTGTTTTCAATATATATATATGTGTATCCATTCTATCTCTCTTGAAGGGTCTATAGAATTAACCTTTGTACGGATATGTAGTGCACGTCCATGTTGTTGCTGTTAACGTTTCAAGGCGACAACCAGTTTGTATACCCCATCACATACCTCTTTGTGGGTGGTAAGCAGCCTCTACCTTGTCCAGAATGATAAACCATTCTAGTTATAACATCAATATGACATGGAAATACGTATAGGCATGGTGGCGACGTTGGTGCTGCAGACAGACTTGCTGAATCGAGCTATTATGTCTGGGGACACACTGTCGGTATTTCCTGTGTTTCAGTGCTTTTGGATTGGGGTACGTACGTACGTAGTTCATATGTATTATTATTTATTATATATATATATTCCAAATATCCCATATAAATTGTTCTAATGAAAATGTTGTTGATCAGTCGAGCGTCGTGGGCGGCGTCGTGTTTTACCAAAAGTTTAACACATTTACCTTGTTTGAATGGATTTCGCTCCCGGTTGCGTTGGCGTGTACGTAAACCAATATATATATATATATATATATATATATATATATATATTCACGTGTTTTTTTGCTTTGTGTTTAGCAATCATTCTCGGCATTTACTTGCTCACGCAAGTGGGCAACGACGATGTTGCGTACACTGCGTCTGTGGCAGCCACTGGAAGGTTTGGCTCCCTCATGCCGCTGAGTCCCCCGCCGTTGTCGTCGGCGTTGCGCACGCCCATATTTAGACACGGGTCGTTTCGCAGCAACGACTCGTACGGGTCTGTCAAAGCGAAAGAAACGACCTCGGCCAAGGCACCCCCCGCAGAAGTATAACCACCACTAACTCAACTAGTTCAAAGCAGCCCTGGAAGCACAGACTTTTCACAAAATACGTGACTGTTGGGATAGTATTATTAATCATTGGTAGTATTATTATGCGAGATTGTTGGTTGTGTTAGTAGTAATAGACAAGAGTACTTTCAAGTACTAGCAGCAAGTTAGTAGGTAATAAATTACTGTGTTGTACGTCTAGTTGGGCTGGGTGCTACAGACAGACAGTACGGGTGTGAGGATATTCTCTGCTACCGGTAGTTCCTCTCGAACCACTACTCCATATATTCCCTCCGTACGGAATTGATTGGTAGTTTTTACCTCTTACGAACCTTTTTTATCCGTCAATAAAGTAGTACTAGTAGTACATAAAGTAGTACTAGTAGTACTTACCTATTGATTGGTAGTTTTTACCTCTTACGAACCTTTTTTATCCGTCTATAAAGTAGTAGTACTTACCTAGTATTGAATATTTTACTGTACTGTATATGTTTATCTAAACCTCTGTAAACGGACAATTCGGCTTTTGTCAAATCAGTTATAATATCAAAATTATGAGGAAATGATCATCATTCCTGGCATTTTTTGTCTAAAAGTAAATAGAGCAGCTCTCTAAAGAGTGAAATATCATGTTTCAAATGAAATTCTCTCTTTGGAAGTGCTCCGGACTAACTAGTTATACCTGAAATTGAGGCATATAACCTATTTTGGCCAAAGCACGACAAAGACAAATCAATCTAACGTTTTATCATACATAGATAGCACTAGTACATAAGTAGTTGTGTGCTTTGTTTACAGTTAACAAGGGCACGATTGACTGCCACAGAAAAAAACTACAATACTACGGTACTATTATTAGTTAACGTAAAAAGTACCTTAAGTATTATTTAATGCTAGCTACGTCGTGGCGAAATAATCGAGCAAAACACTGGCGAGGATCAAAAAGAACGAATTCCCTACGACGTCTTGGATTGCAGTCTCCATGGGACCTGCAAACGTGGCGGGGTCGAAGTGCAGCCACTTGCCAATCAAAGGCGCGGCGCTTCCCGTGAGCGCGGCCGTGAGGATGGACAAAAACTGCGCAATACCCACGACCAGGCCAAACACTAGCCAGTTCTGCCACATCCCGGCGACGATGCCAGTCAGGAGACCCAGCGCTAGCCCAAGCACGAGCGCCGACGCTAGATCTCGTCCGATCGCTCGCGACGAGTCTTTGGTTGAGACGAGGCCCACTGCCAACGCCCTCGTCATGATGCTCGACGACTGGAGGCCGACATTGCCCGAGATGGCCGATATCACGGGCATGAACGACATGAGCAACGGATACGTCCGCAAAGTCGCTGTGTACCGTGATATGACAAACGCCACCATCATTTCGATCGTGAACGTGATCACAAGCGACAACAGCCGCCTCCTCGCGCGCTCGACCGACGACAGTTGGTGCATCACGATGGCGTCGTACGCAGGATCCCGTTCTGAGAGCGGGAAAGGTCCATTGTCCTGCAGCTCGGTCCAGCCTTCCTCAAGGAGGCTACATCATCACCCAAAACAAGTTAGACCTACAAGACACCGAACAGGTGGATGGCACGCTACATTGGTTCGCACGGCTTGCGCATGAGTGGCGAACCGACATGCGATCTTTCGAAATCGGGTGATACGGAAATCCTCTCAAAGTCGATAATATATCGATATTGCATTTGACCGTTTCACAGTCAACTTTCCCCATCATAAGATGATTTTACACTAATTATTATTACGTAGTACTATTTTAATAGCAATACTAGTAATAATTAACTGTAAAAGTAAATACGAATATGTAATAGTAATACCTATATTAGTAATACCTTCCTGGTAGTCTGCACCATGAAATATATAACGTGAAAATAAAAATTAACATACTGTACTAACGTTAGTACATCAATATAATCTCAAACCGATTACTATTAATAGTACAGTAGTACTGTTACGAAGTACTAGTACTACTTATGGCCTGTTCCAAGTAGATATTTTGAGCAAATGAAAAAGTGGTCCAAGTACAGTGTCTTACTTTTTACCTCTTTTTCTGCGATTTTTTACGCAACTCACTGTACCAAAGGTAGAAAAAGAGGTCCTTGACGACTTTTTCCAAAATCGTGGGAAAAAAAGAGGTAAATTGATTTTGATTAACTCATGGTATTTCGGAAAACTACTTGGAACTAACTTCCCCTAATACTTACTTCGAAGTACTGATCTCCACCCTTAAACGAAACGGAGCAAATTATGCAATTCACACAGTAAATTAACTCTTACAGGTATTTGCAGGCTGTCTGAACCAACCATTTATACATGCATTCAAGCGCTGGGCGTCTCCAAGTCAGAGCTGAGTATGCCAGTGCGTCTCCAGCAGTTTCTCACAGTGGAAATGATGTCATCCATTTCAATGCCAAACGATTCAAGTGTTCGAATTTTGAAAAAGTCATCACCTTCCGATATGGTTGGATAATATAAAGTTTCAAAAATTATCAAGTTTACCCCGTTTCGTTTAAGGGGGGGGATCAGTAGTACATATACAATAATAGGAATATTGCAACAAATTGTTCAAATCAAATTACAAGGTGACGGTAGTGCCTGCAGACCATTTTTTATGACCCTTCGAACAAGTTAATTGCACCAGTCAGGGGTGGCCGTCGGCATAATTACAATATCTTTCGAGTTGCCAATCAGACTGGTCTCTATATACATACATACACCAACACCACGATGTTGTATTGAGCAAACATCTACTCGTCCTCCTCATCATCCTCGTCATCCTCCTCGTCGTCAGACGACTCTGTCAACTCTCCAGCGACAATGGCCGAGTCCTTGTGCAAGTGCACACAATCCACGGTCGTTTCCGTTGCGCAGCCTTTGAGCTGTTCCGGCAATGTCAATTGAATGATGTAGTCGTCGCCGCCGCTGTTGATGGCAAATCGATGGGTCACGTGCTTGACGCTCTTGGCATCGTACACTTCGACGTCGGGCGTTGGCTCGGCGTCGGTTGTGATCAGGGCCAGCGACTCGACATGTTTGGCTTCGAGTTTCAACGTGGACGCCACGGTTGGCTCTAGCCGTTGCGACTGAATCGGGACGTGGTTGAGCCAAATGTTCACCAGAAATGTTACGCGGACACTGGTGTCGTCGTCCTCGTTCACATGGGGGAAGGCCAAGTCGGACGGCGCGCCATGCAAAAGCTCGCCGTCAAACGTTATGTGTTTACCCGGTGTTGGTCGGCTTACAATGCACTGACGAAGGGGTCCGCTGATGTCGGCGCCATACTGGAACGTGCCACGCTTGTCGAGTATCACCGTCGGCCCTGCATTCACACACAGGTACGTGACGGAGCCAAGGAAGGGATGCACATGCACTTGGTCGTCCTCCTCTTTGCCGTAGTCGCGGTCCCAGTGGAACCCAATATTGTCGCGGTGGTCAATGTGCTGCGTCCACCACTCGGCGCCCGACGTCGCCGGGTCGTACGTCATGCCCTGCGTGTGCAAATCAAAGATCTTCTTGGCCAACACCTCCATGCCGCACACGGACGCTTCGTTCGCCTTGATGAAGAACGTCGACCCGAGGCTGTAGTTGTCGCCGTCCTCAACTTCCCGACACGAGAAGCATGATTTGCAATCTTGGATCAGCAACTCTCTGTGTTCAGACGAAATACCACCAAACAAGTTGACATAGCTTTTGAACTTGAAGGCAGTGCCTATGTCCTGCTGCTTCAACGCGGACTTGCCTTTCTTTGCCTTGGACTGCCCTGGCACCGCCGCCGCATCGCGTGCATGTTTGACCATGTTTTTGTACTGATCGATGGCCAAAATCTAACCATCCGCAAATTCTCGAAATTGATTGGTTCAGTCCTAGCCAATGGAAACGATGTAATTGAAATCAAGTCCTCTTTCAAGTGTCCATCATATAAAAACTACTAACATGTACTATAATACGTAGTAAGCTAACTGTAAGTTAACGTTACTCTATTATTAATAATCGTACTAGTATGTACATATGAAGTGCACATGCAACAGTGTCATCTGTAACGAGTCCAAGTAAATTATTGCTTAGTACAGTCAAGTAAATTATTCCTAGCACAAGGGTACTGCGCTATATTTCGTCAAATTGACATTTTTGTGTGATTACGTCGGCAACTCCTTTTGGTTCTAGCATAATATATGCGAGGAAAATCATGTATTTCTTCGTCGTTACGAGTGGTTGGTCGATTGGAGCTACACCGCGGTGTCTTCGACGAGGTACTTCTCGTAGGCACTTTCAGCCCGCTGCACGCGATATCTTGTGCAATGTCGTACGAGGCGGGATTCCCATACAAACGCAACGATGCTACAGAAGGCCGAGAGTGCGACGCAGGTGGCCACTAGAACGTATGGGCGGTTCGGGCTGGCAACGAACCACAACACAATAGCGGTCGGGTATTGAAACATGCATTGGGCATTCAGTAGTGCAAGGAGGAACCAGAGTTTGCGCAGGGGAATGTTCACTCCGGACGGGTTGGTTTGGTCGTGAAATTCGACCACCAGCGCTGGAAACGCCGCTCGAATGGCCTCGGCTCGCTGTTGGTCACCGTCGCCTTGCTCTTGGTCGAATGTAGAAGTGGCCAGGTATCGGGAAACATGCACGAACGTGCGAATGCGGGGCACTTGCGTCGCCACCGCTGCCACTGTCAAGACAAGGTTGACACTTTGAAGGCACAGCTCAATGTACAAGGCCCGATCTGTTGATGGCAAGAAGTTCACCACCCCTGACGCGATCACAAGGAGCAAACCCGACGCCCCCAGCACCACGATAACTCCAACTGCAAGTACAAATGTCTGAAAACATTTCCAGGCAGCATTCGGGACGGCGTCAGTAGTGACTGACGTCGTCGTTCGAGTAAACTTCATCCAGGAGGAAGTTGAATGCATAAGTCAAAGGTCGCAGAGGGTCGTTTATGGAAAGATAACGGAGCACTCCCAAATTTTAACTATGTAAGTGGCACCAACCGTCACACGTACATTCGTCGGTCAATTGTAGTATTAAGCAGAGCTTCGTGGCTCAATTTACTCGTCAACGTACTCATTCCTTCCCTACCTCGCAGCTCATTTACAAGCACCTATGAAGCGGAAGCATCGTATAACTGCGTGGCTTGTCGCTCCAATCGTTCCCCTCTCCCATTCCAAACGAGATCGAACGTATACTACAGTACTTTGTGCACACCAGTGTGAACTGTGAATCGCACACATGTGGCAGGCGGATGGTGGCTGGCTGGCTCTATGATGCTTGACGTGAATTCAACATGTGATGTCGCACCAACCAAACTTCAACTTCGACATCCAAGGAACTTCCTACTGTCTTCGAATCTTTCTACGACGACTATACATAGGATATTTGCTACATCTCGCTAGTTTAACGCTTGTCGTATAACATATTCCACGTAAGTACTACAACATATTTCCTGATTGGTAATCTTTGCTTTTGTATATCATTTTCCTCGCCCCCACGTGATTACAAAAATCTACCACCAGTGCTTGTGATTACAAATCCAAATTGCCAGACACCACCAGCCTCATTCCTACTTTGGACATCTCATCACCATGAGCAGCAGCGACTCCGCCGTGTGGCACACCATGTACCCGTCCGAACTGGCCAACACAACGTCCAACCCTATCCGTAAGATCGTGGACAACATCAAAATGCCGCAGAACCCCGTCAAGCCCATCATCCGGCTGTCGTTGGGCGACCCGACGGTGTTTGGCAACTTGTCGTGCCCGGACGTCCTCACCGACGCCATCATCCGCAACGTCAAGTCCCACAACCACAACGGATACATCCACTCGGCCGGCACGGAAGCCGCGCGCGCCGCCATCGCCGCGCGGTACGGCTCGGTGGACGCGCCATTGACCAAGGACGACGTGATCATCGCGAGCGGCGGGTCTGGCGCGTTGGACATGGCCATCACGGGCATTTGCAACCCCGGCGACAACATCTTGATCCCTCGTCCAGCATTCTCGTTGTACCAAGTGATCGCGGACGCGCACAACATCCACGTGCGGTACTACGACCTGCTCCCGGAAAAGAATTGGGAGGCCGACCTAGTCGGCATGGCGTCTCAAATCGACAGCCGGACGCAGGCCATCGTAATCAACAACCCGTCCAACCCGTGTGGGTCTGTGTTCTCCAAGGAACACTTGCGCGGGATTCTCAAAGTCGCCGAGACCCATCGCGTGCCCATCATTGCCGACGAAATCTACGGAGACATGACGTACGGCGGCACCACGTTCTTCCCCATCGCGTCGCTGACCACGACCGTGCCCGTGGTATCTGTGAGCGGTTTGGCCAAGCAGTTCTGCATCCCCGGGTGGCGCGTCGGCTGGATCGCTGTGCATGACCGCCACGACATTCTCAAGGACATCCGCACGGCATACTTTAAGCTGTCGACGATTGTACTTGGTGCCAACTCGCTCGTGCAAAGTGCCATTCCGGACATCCTGACGCCGGCCCCCGGCAGCGAAGAGGAAAAATCGCTCGCGGCGTTCAAAACCAAATACTACTCGACGTTGGAGGCCAACGCCCAGTTCACGCTGGACACGCTCCAGACGATCCCGGGACTTCACGTCGTGGTGCCCCAAGGCGCCATGTACGTCATGTGTGGCATCGACAGGACGTTGCTCGCCGACATTGCTGACGACCTCGACTTTACCCAGAAATTGCTCCTCGAAGAAGGAGTGTTTGTCCTGCCAGGCCAATGCTTCAACATCCCCAACTTTTTCCGCGTCGTGTTCTCGGCGCCCCAAGACAAGTTGGCCGAAGCCTACGAACGCATTCGTGTGTTTTGCCAACGTCACTCGAAATAAACCAGCCTTCCCGTTTAATCCAATAAATCTAACAATAAATCTAATCGTGACCAACCACTTCTTGGTCCACTGCACCTTGTCAACTCCATCGTTATTGGAAGCCGTTAGAGAATGGACTGGTCAAGTGGTTGGTTCAAAGGACATTATTCTAAGAGGCCGGGTTCACGTGAAGGAAATCATAGCCGAACGGGCGACCCTTCTTGGATACCGGTACTACCGTCGAGCCAGGTTCAGGGACCAAAGTTGATGCGATAATTGCCCAAGTGACCCTTGTGAGACCGAGATTTTGACTGTGTGATTGGCGATTGATATTGTCTCAAATGGCTCCATGAAACCTTGTTTTTGCATAGTACAGGCTCACTGTACTATCGTCAGCCGACGCTGTCTGTGGACAACGCGACCACTGGCCAGCGTGGCCGCCATATAGGCAAAGCTCTCGGTGACTTTACTTGATGCAGCCATCGACGACGTAGGCCGGAAGGTCGAGAAGCCGCGCCGACAATGCACTCCACTAGTGACCTGTCACGTGGGGGGGGTGCTTTGACCGTCGGTAAAGTGGGTCGACCGTAAACCATTCACGGGGGCAAACATCGGGCTTCGCACGCGAATCAGTTGTTTGGTGGTCATTTCACAAGGCACAAAGCATCATAACTTGACGTCAAACACGAACGAGTGGCTTTTATTCACGAGCGAAAACAACCCCGCCATCGTGATGAGTTGGCCGCCAGTTTTGGTATGGGCACGTCCAAGAACGCACGCTTCGACACTGACAGACAGCAATAGCTACTCCATGGGGGGGGTTGGCACCATCAGGTTTGTCGACCACGAAGTCCGCCGTTTGGCCATGAAAAGACTGGCTACCATCGCCGTAGCCATGATGCCGAGGGTCGATGGTGGCAGCTGGCGTAGATCGTTCCAATCATAAACGTCTGTCCTTCTGTCGACTGGCAACCGATATGGACGGCACCCACACCTTCACACATAGGGGAAAAAGCACAAGTCAGACTGCTTGCCAACGACTCCACGACGTGGACTTTTGCATGTTCCCAACCAAAATCAAATGTGAAGGACGTACAACACCACGACGCTTCGTCGGTCAGGACCATCGAATCAATCCAAGTTCGCGACCGCGGGGCGAGCCAAGTGACCCCATTGAGAAGGGGGACAGAGGCCCCACATCAGGAGCAACGGGTGACCAATCCACATCAAGCCAGCCACCTGATTGCAGCGAAACAGATTACGTCCAATGATAGAAAACCGGTTTAGGTTGCTGTAAATCGCCACAAGGGAGGCAATCCCTGATAACTCCACCGCCGAATACATGAGTAAATATAGACCACAGCGTCACGCTGGTGGTGGTGGAAATGTCGCTCAGGTTGGGTTCGAACTCTATGGGATCGTAGCGTTTTTTACAAAAATGTCAACGAAACCATGCTACGTTTGAGGGTCCCCAGAGAATTCTGCAGTACTGTAGATCAATTCGCGCCAGTCGTACAAAATTGTAGCCCTGGAGTACTCGTGCGACGCCCCAGCCGTTCCACAAGCTCCCATTGGTCAGTCACGACGACCACCGGTCGGTCGTCCCCTTGTGACACGAATTTCGTTGGTTAAACACACGTACCAATTCGTCCAGTCCTTCGTCTTGTTAGTAGTTTTGCCACTTGCATGGTATACCAAACTTCGGTGACGCCAGTACCGGTATGCGTTTTGGCCGGCGACATTCACGACGGTTGACGCCCGCACATGTCCAATGGCTGAAGCCCCGGGACAATCACGGCACCGAACAGCGGCCCCATTTGCACCTGCCATCGCGCCCAGTCTACGAGTCGTAAGATTGCTTTCAGATACACGGCGCCGTTGTCGACATCCGTTCCTTGGCATCGCGCTAGTCGTGCGAGACGTGTACACCAGCTCCCAAAGCCGATTGAAGTCGACCCAGCAATGCTTCGTGGGGATTCTCACGAGCTGGTTCACGGTGGCATCGCAGTTTCAATGCGGGTGTCGTCGTATGCCAGTGGCATACCCTGGCTAAACGATCAAGAGGGGGTTGCAGCCACTGTTGTCCTTGACCAACCCCACGTTGGTGACATCCCACGACATGACATCGTCCTGGGACAACAAAGCCAGCTGGTACATCATCTGTAACCATGTTTTCTTTCGACTTTGTCGTTTTCATGGGGGGGGGAAGGGGTGTCCCCACTGCAGGTTGACCATTCGCTGTAAATTCAATCGCTCCTACTAGTATACCCTATGCCTCGTGTAACTCGCTCACGTGTTACCGCACTCAAGTACTACACATATCCGCCTGGATTGCGTTGCACAGTTGGTGGCATCACGGGTTATTATTGTGGCCGTTATCGTGGGTATGAACCGCTTGGATTGTACACTGATAACTGGACCAAGCGTTGTACCGGTAGATCCGTACTACTAACAACGAAGTATTCCTTATCACTCGGTCAAGCAAAAGCTATGGCGGAACCGATCGGGGACCTTTTGTGTCAGGTGAAAAGGCGGCGCGTCCACTGCAAACGACCGCCACGTCTTGATGTCCAGAACGTAAAACGTCCGTTTCCATGGGAAAATCACCAGTCCGTTCAGAACCGCCGACGCCATGTCTAGGTACACCACTTGATCTAACGTCCAATGGTCCTTGTTTCGGAACAGCGTTTTGGCCCCGTTGCACAAGAACAGCGACGTTGCGTACGATGGCATTGCATTAGACTTTTCTTTGGAGCACAACATATTGTAGCCCCGCACAGAGGACGACACTGCCGACAACAATCAGCACGAGCAGTACCAAACGCTCGTAGTCGCCGATGGCAATGGTACCGCTGTGGCATATCAATTGAAGGTCCACGACTGCGTACTCTCAGTCTCGCGCGACAGTCACTTTGGGTTGGACCGGGTACACGCAGCTCAACACGGCCGACACAACCCACACGAGAATGCTGGCTCGACTGGCATTCACTTGGGTTCGGTCTCTTGTGAAAATCGTGAGGATGTATTGGAGCACATACACGAGCCAACAGGCTTCGCTCGAGCTGAGCACCGTGCGCATGTAATACAATGCATTCGACTCTGGCAACTGCATCGCGTTGAAGTGTCCATCCACACGGACCAGCTGGGCCTTGGACGTACTGAGGATGGTCAGAGCCACCACACTTCGCGCAAACAGGAGTGGCCTTCCCACGCACACAAACCCCGCAATTCGATTGAAGTGCAGAATGTTGCGGGGCTCAATGTGGCCACGATTCGCAAGCGTATACACCAGGAAAAGCGACGCTACAAACGCGAGTATCGTGGTCACGTATGCGATGCCCGCCCTCAAAAAGTACACAATGTGGCGAGGGATTTCTGCCTCGTTGGTGTGCCACGTCATGTCAGGGTATTTGGCTGACATGACGCTCAAGTTGCCCCGGTCGCCTTGAAAGTTGACCTCTTCGCGGTACCCGAGCATCCACTCGTAGAGGAGACACCACGCAAACAAGTCAAACTGGGGTCGCCTTGGGTTGAGCATTGGCATAAACAAGAATTGCCGCGCCTTGCCCACAAGGATAAACTGGGTAGGCCCCACAACGAGTTCCTGGACGTCGTGATACGCTTCGACGGACGACACATTCATGCTACTCGACAGAGCCATCACGGTGGCCATGGCGTCCGGACAGGTGGGGTCGGTATCTCGACCGCTGCACACGTAGGACACGTTGACGGAGCCTGTGGGGTACGCAGAAGTCCACGAAAGGAACGCAAAGAGAAGCATCTGGCGGTCGACGTCCAACGTGGCCCTTTGGACATAACACCCCATCGTTAGCCCGAACGATTCCAAGCATCCGCCGACGGCAGGTAAGCCAGTTTCCATGCTCGAGCCGCACATCAAGTCCCCGCCTTCGATGAGAATTCTGGCGCGTTCCCACGCTTCGTATCCTTTGAGGGACCATTTCATGGACGGAATGGACATGAACATTGCGTTGGATTGAGGGAATTGCATGACAGCGGACATGGTGGCGAGTCCGACGCGGCGATACAGCGCCATCAACGTCGGCGGACGAGGCACGTGCCTGGAATCAACCGACCCAATCGGCCCAATAAAGTTGTTCATCACGGCCGACAAATAAGCAGTCGGCGACAGCGCCATGACGTGGGAAACCGTCACGTTGCGGTAGGCAAAGTTGGCGCTTTGTCGAAGCAAACTCGTTCTGAACGTTCGGCTCGAGTTGACCACGAGCGCCCGCAAGTCCACGACAAGGGGCAATGTGGATTTTAGAGACGTCTGGTACGCTGCACGGTATGACCCGTTGGACAACTTGAGCGTGAGCGCGTACGAGAGGCACATGGCGTTCTGCACAGCGAACGAGTCGTCGATGCCGATAGTCTTGTAGTTTTGCCACTGGGTCGTGTACGCGACTATGCCATGGTCGTGCCACCATCGCACTTCGTCGTGCACGGAAAGGGACGCCCGTTGCACTTGCGCCCACCACGACTGCCCTTGCATCGTCATGTTGAGCTCTGCCACAAACGCCATATCAAACGCATACAGCCATCGATACGGGTCTCTGGCCACGCCGCGCCAGACGTTCCACGGAACATTGCGCAGAATCGACTCCAAATACACGGCGCCATTCGTCCGCATGCGATCGCACCGCGCTTGGCGCAAGGCAGAGTTGGCCATGGTCCATTTTCGGTGAAAGTCGAGCCAGCAGTATTGCGTTGAGATCCACAGCGCGTCGATGGCCCCCATTCGACGGAGCCCTTGGACCGCCCGTGTAACGTTTCGCCCTTCTTCGTACTGGATCCAGTTGGCATACAACGGCGACATGTGGATTATTGAGTCGGTAGAGTTGTACATGGCAGTGTCAATATAGTCGACCGCGAGGACGTTGGCGGTACCAGGCGCCAGCAGTTCTAAATTCAGCCAGTTGGCCAATAACGTGTGCGTACCACTGCTGTTGAAGTCGTCCCAGAACAGGTCGTTGCCGACACTTGCCGTAGACAGCTGGACGAACGATACACTGGTCCACAATGTGATGGCCATGTAGGCAAAGCTACAAGCGACTTGGAAACGATGCAACCACGCGGCGCGGCGCGACTTGGTGGCCACTCTCACCAAGGCCGCATGTGGCCCAAGATTCGCTACACCGTTGACCTGGTTGGCATGTTTCATGAGATCTGTATTCACCGGGGCAAACGTCGGACTTCGGACGTGAATCAATTGCGACACCATGTCACATGGCACAAAGCGCCGCAGCTTGACATCAAACAAGGACGTGTGCCCCGTTCGCACGAGCGGAAACAGCCCCGCCAACACGCATGTGATGGTGTCCATCGTTTGGGCGCCAGCACTCACTTGCTCGGGGACATCCATGAACGCTCCGATGGCGGCGGGGAGCAACAAGGTCGCGACGGGGGCCTCCACCGGAGGGTTCTTGGACCAAGCCGTCCACAATTTTCCGGCACAGACGCTCCCAACAATGGCCAGAAACATCACGCCGAGCGTGAGACAGACTCGATACACACTGCTGGCGTATATTGTGCCCATGGTGCACGAGTGCCCGCCGGCGGTCGCGATGCAGTGGCGACTTGCCACAGCAGACAAATCGTACGGCGTCCACACGTCGACCATCACCAGCACGATCCACGTGACGATGCTGGCAACAGGACCCGTCCACTGGGCTTCGTGCAGCACCACGACGATAAAGTCCTGCACGACGTAGACCAGCCACAGCGCTTCCCCAGATACAACCATCGACTCCACCCACGTCCGGCCCCGGGGGGCGAGCGTTGTGACCCCGGTGTCAGGTAAGAGGTCGAAATTCGACGCGCTCAGTAGGAGGACCGCCGAAACCCCCCGAGTGAGCAGCAAGGGCCGGCCAATCCAGACACACCCGGCCACCCGATTGAACCGAAAGAGGTTGCGACCGATGACAGAAAACCGGTTCAAGAGGCTGTACGCGACGACGAGGGACACGATCCCAGTCAACGCTAGCGACACGTACTGCAGCAAACACCACAGGGTGAACCCCGTGCTGGTAGGGATGTCGTTCGGGTCGACTTCAAACGTGATGAGATCGTACCGCCCAGAGATCAGCGTCAGGGTGGACAGGTCCCCCTCCAGCGACACCACTTCGCGGTGGCCACGAATCCAGTCGTATATCATGACCCAGCCAAAGAACGACCATGACGCCCAAGCGTCGTCATCGTCGGCGACCGCATGCCGGACGAGAGATATGGTCGAGGCATTTCGAGGCTGCTTGACCAACTGAACGATCTCGACGTGTTGGATGGACTCGAGCGCTGCCGATCGTCGAAGCGAAAGCGTGTTGGTCTGGAGAAACGGGAGCAGCAACGCCATCACTCTGGTGGCATCTTGCACGAACGACACACATTCGTCGACTGTGTCCTCGCACAACGCACACAAGTTGCTGGCGTGGGCATCATGCTGCTTGGTTAGGGCGAGTGCAAACAAGACACTGGTGCGGTCGACCTGCAGCGCGTACCGGTGCACTTCGTCACACGACGTGTCAAAGCCAAAGTTTAGTTGAAAGTACGCCGGGGATTCGACACAAAAGGGATTCCCTCCAAAGTACGCAGTCGACTTGGCCGTCCACGCTATATGAATCGGGTCGAGTTTGATGTCGGCCAGGGTCAGATACGCGGGAAGGCGCCACACTGGGTGCACCGTGGACAGGAACTCGTCATATACGGCTACCAAGGCTTCTGGCAGCGGCACTTATCGCATATCAATCGACAGGAATGTACCGAGAATGGACTGAATCAACCGCGGAGTCGGGGTATTCAATGGCCGCTGAATCCAGCAAACTCGACAAAGTTTCTGTCTTGCACGTTCGTCGTCACGTTCTAGGTGCCAAGCGTGACGTTTTGATCGACGAGCACGCCTTTGGCAAGGGCCCAGTCGTTGAAGAGGCCCCAATACGCAACCTAGGACGACCACCAGACATCGCGTTGCAGGGAAAACGGAATTCGTTTCACACGAACCGAGTGCGCGGAAAACATGTTGCTCACGACCACAAATTCGTCTAACCCGTCTTGCTGGTAGTTTTGCCATTGGAGGGTATACCGCGTGAGGCCATGCTGTCGCCAGTACGTGCTTTCAATGTGCTTGTTGACCACAACTGCGCTGGATACTGAACGTAGCCACGCTTGGCCTTGCTCCACTGGTTGTAGCCCTGACACGATCGCATCGTGAAACAACGGCCCGACTTGCAACTGCCACCGCGCCCAATCTGCCAGACGAAGCGTCGCTTCGAGATACACGTCGGCGTTGTCTATGTCGCGGAGCCGACACCGCGCTTGTCGTCGCTTTGTATGGGCTAGCTCCCAAACTTGTTTAAAGTCGACCCAACAGTACTGCGTCGGGAGGTTCATGAGGCTGTCGATTGATGCCCGCATCATGCGACCAATTGCCGCTTCGACGCGGGTGTCTTCAAGGAGCATTCGCCTTGTGTACGCTGGCTGGTTGGTTAGCCGCGTCGCGTCGGAACTGTAGTCTCTCACAAACGCAGTGTGGGTGATGTCCCACGCCGTAGCGTTCAAGGTCGGCAGCACCCAGTGCGAGTTGGCCAAGTCCACAAGGAACGACAAGCCGCCCGACTGATTGAACTCGCGCAGACGCATGTCGTTGGCCAAGTACGGCGTCACAATGTGCATGTAGTAGAAGCTGCAACCAAGCGACAGCAACATGTAGCTGTAGCCGAGGAGGATTTCAACGTACACACGAAAGGACGACGCATCGGATGATGGCTGGTCGGTGGTTGTGTTGTGTGGCTGCTCGAGGACGTCAGTGTACACACTTCGCCTCGGGGCGACACGAGGTGGCGATATGAAATGGAAGTGAGTCGTTTCACTGAAGGTGGACGTGAATAACCGACACGGTTACAAGTAAACGTTTTGAACTGGAAGTTACGCGTATTGACACATACATATTGTGTAACGTAGAGTTCCAATTTATGTTACTGTATTTATGTCATTTGTACTAATCTCCCCCTTAAACGAAAACTTGATATTTTTGAAACTTTATATTATCCAACCATATCGGAAGGTGATGACTTTTCAAAATTCGAACACTTCAATCGTTTGGCATTGAAATGGATGACATCATTTCCACTGTGAGAAACTGCTGGAGATGCCCAGCGCTTGAATGCATGTATAAATGGTTGGTCCAGACAGCCTGCAAATACCTGTAAGAGTTAATTTACTGTGTGAATTGCATAATTTTCTCCGTTTCGTTTTAAGGGTGGAGATCAGTAATACCTCTTTAAATAAATGCTCACCTTGATCCCAGGTGTGTTATAGTACTAACATTAGTATATACTTCGAAGCACTATATGGTATCAATTGACGAATTGGCTCTATAAATACATAGCCTGTTGGGGTTGCATACAGTATGTCCCTGACAGAATACTATACCCTAATAACCACAAAAAAATACTATTAATAGTACTACGTAGTACAGTGTAGTAGTATGCAAGGATCAATACTGTAGTACGATCAAGCTTAAGGTATGTCCCTTAAATTGTCGCCTACTTTTAAGGTGTAATGTTTGGAAAATGAGGATTTGATAGATAACGTTACTGTGAAAATCGGTGTTTCAGTGCTTCCGGAAGAATAATTCCCCAACAGCAGGTATACCTTACCTTCAAAACACCCAAACTATACCTTTAACGTTAGTGGGAGAATTCCTTAGATAAGACTCCGCACACATATACTAGTACTTCGAAGTACAATATGTATGCGGGTTTTACTTATTTCTTGGCAATTTCATTTTTCTAGCGATTGGATTGGCTACTCCAAAAATCAAGCGATTCCATTGGCCAATTTGAGTGCATCTTAAACTGTCCCGTACACCATAAATTGGCCATCTACTCGAAGTACGGTAGTGGATTCGATTAGTAGGCGGGGTCCGGATATTCTTACTGACTGTGAATCTACAGTACAATCCAGTATCTGGATGGCACACGAATTATAGTTGATGATTGTTGATTGGTTCACCAAAAGTCGTTTCTACAAGGTGATTGGCTCCAGAATGATCTAAATCACTTTGTTTTGGCGGGGATTTTTACTTGCAGGATCACCGGATAAATGGACACAATCCGGATACGATCCATTTGAATTTTGAAACAGTTCCCCTTTCAAACTCCACGAGCGACCATGCCGAAGTTCGCCGTCCTGAGTGAAAGTCCGCAGTTCCATCAAGCGAAGACAACCAAGCGAGCTTGCCAATCCCCAATCTCGTCAGAAGATGAGTTCGACTTTGAGCCCCGCAAGCGATCTAAGAACGCCCAGCAAAAGCCACGAGTGATCAAGAAGGTAGGGCTGGCACCTTCCCGACCCATCATGTGACAATGCTGCAGGTGATCACGGCAAAAGTGGCCAAGTCCAAATCCAAGCGCCTGACATCGAGTAGCACTGGAGCAAACACACGAAGGGCGGATGCGCAACCGTCGTCGTCGCCCAAGTTTGTGTGGTACCTCATGCATTGCCTCAAGGAAAGCGTGCAGTCCACGATGAGTTTCGAGTATGGCTTTGGCCAAGGCAGCATCGTTCCGTTGCCTACTTCTTCAGAGTGGACCAGTGAACAGACGAGTCAATTTCGCGAGTGGCTGGAGGCCTTGGGCTTTGTGTCGCGACCTACCGTGAACTCGACGGTCTTTCGCATTGCAAACAAAGACGCGCTGAGCATTGTACAGCGGTTTTCCAGTCAAATATCGTACGCTATATCTATATATAATAGTCATAAAACTATCTGCATAGGTCCAACCCATCCAACACGCAAGCATTGCTCGCTCAAATGAAAGCTCCCATCGAGGACGACAACTTGACGTTTGCTACAGCGACCGAAACACCCAAGAAACAGCGCAGCGGGTTCGACAACTACACCCGGCGGGCGCCACCATCCTCCAGCATTATCACGACCTTGCATCCAATCAGTCGACGTCCGCCGCCGCCGTCGTCGTTGATGTGGGGCTCTCCCATCCCAACTGTCAGCTCTCGTCCGACGTACAACCACTCGCGGCTATCATCCTCATCGATCGATTCAATCGACTTGAACAACTTGCCAAGCTCCACGCGTCGCCTCAGCATCTGTTCCATCGCAGAAGAAGAGCTATCTCAAAGCAGTAGCCACGGCAGCCACAACCGTAGCACCCATCATGATCCCAAACAGTCGGCCGGGATCGACTTCTCCAACGACGACTCGGACATGGTCCGTCGCAGCAGCATCGACTCGCTCGACTTAGACGCCATCCATCCCAACTCCGCCAGTGCCAAACGGTTGAGCTTTGGCGACTTTTTCCAAGTGCCCCCGCAGCTGTCGGCCTCCCGCTTGAGCGTCCACGAAGAGAGCAGCAGCATGGACCTGCTCAACGTATCGCGGGAAAATGTGGTCGTCCAATCAAAGAAGACGCGCAACCACCTCCGCCGATTGTCTCGCTTTGACGTGGTCCGGTCCACCGATCGCCGACTGTCGCTCTTTGTGGCTCCAAAAGTTGCTGCTACTATGCCTCAGGCGGACAAAGCGGACCATGTGGTCATGCCACGTCACGTCGCGTCCATCGTCCTCGCGTCGCAACTGGTCGAGATGGTGCCTGCCGTTTCGCTGGTGTGCAAACAATGGCATCAACTCTTCCACGAGTAAGTTTGCCAGACAATAGATATGTATATATATCTATTTGGATATATATATGTATCTGACTATGATATGTTGTGTAGGGTCTTGGCATGGAACCAAGCGGATTATCACCGGTACGTCTCATGTTCTGAATGCATATTGTTTCACAGATCTGTCACATATATATATATATATGTATACAATTGTTGTTTAATATAAAAAGTATTGTTATTGCAATGTGCGGAATTAGCAGGGTTTTTTAATATAAAGATCACGTATAACATGGTTCCATTGTCATATATATATATATATATATATATATATACAATTGTGGTTAGCAGGGTTTTTAATATAAAAATCAAGTATAACATGGTTCAATTGAATGAACAATGTATAGGCAACCCGTGGACGAAAACGCTGCGACACTGTACAAGAATCTGCCGTGGGGTCAATACTTGTCGGATGGCGCGTACAAGCAAGTGTTCAAGGTATACGTCGACCCTAGCATTACTCTACCTGTAGACACTATCTAGGACGACTGTATTTCTAACAGCTGCCCATGTATATTTTGCTTTCGAGTGAACTTTCGTGTTGTGGTTTCTCGTTGGAATTGAAATGGATTTGATTGGCTACCTCAGATGAGCTCAAAATTATTACCCAATCAAAGCCTTCTCAATGAAATTCAACAACCAATCAGATCGATGGTGGATCGGTTTGGTCGGCGCAACGATTCGATTGCACCCGCTCCCCAAATTTGTATATCAAATCGACAATATTATTTTTTAATTTTTTTAATTATATAAACAGCAATCATTGACCTGTACCATAAATCCAGAGTGTTGCCCGTGTATTTTGTTTGTTTGTTTATATGTATTATATAATTTTAAAATTGGATGTGGTGGTGGTAGGTATATTCCAAGCCGGACGACCGATATGAAGCCGTGAGTGTCATGGACGTGCATCACATCGAGTCCACGGGCAACGAGGTATGTACAATATATATATATATATATATATATATATATATATATATACTGTGAAATTGCATCGAAATAGTTGCTCACTATTGGGGAACGACCCCATCGTAGCACATCGTACGCCAAGAAATTGCGCACTCGTTGCTGTTTTCCCACTTGGCCACTACCCATCCAAACTTTCTGCGCATTTACTCTGTGTTTCTCATGTCAACTCCGCCGGACGAGGCAATATGGGGTTCGTCGGCTACCCCGACGCCCCAGGGGTTGACGTTTGACGCTGGAGTTGCTCCTCCGGTACCCAACAGTCTCAAACTCATTATTTTAACCAAGTAAAATGGATGGTTCGTAGAGCTGTCTGTTGGGCACCAAGAACCACAAAAAGACAAGGGGACTGTACCAGTACATTCGCATGGAGTTGTGCGACGGAGGGAATGTTGAAGATTACTTGCGACTTGACGGCACGACCAACCTCGTCCACGGCTGGTCCAGCTTGTTCTTTCAAATGGTGTACGCGTTGTACGCTGGTCGGGTACACCACCAACTCCGCCATTACGATGTCAAGGTATTTATATATATAGTTATAATGCGTGGGGAATACGCCAGGATTGACATTTGTAAATATGTTTATATGTTTATATATATATATATTATAGATAGATATTTACCATCCATGGTACATAATGTGCAGGGATCTTGGACATTTGTACTGTCTTGACTTTTGGGGATATGATGAAAATATTTATATGTAGCTGCTCAACTTTTTCTTGCAATCCACGACTGGACGACGGACGCAAGACGATCCGCCTCATACAATTGCTTACGCGTTGGAACACAAACTTGTCAAGTTGACGTCGCCATATTGGGTAAAGTTGGCAGACTTTGGCACGGCGGACACGGACGCGACGACGTTTGGACTGCCCATCGGCGTCGAACATGTACGTGGTTGATGGTGAAACATATATATATAAATATATATATATATATAAATATATATATATATAAATATAAATATATATATATATCTGTTGTGTTTTGTAGTTTACGACGTTGGAAAACACGCCGATGGATTTCTTTTTGCGTGGGGATGCAGCCGTCCAAGGCTACGCCGCCGACGCGTTTTCGTTGGGGTTGGCCCTCTTGCATTTAGTCACTGGACGGTAAAGAAGAATTCATTCAATGATATATTGGTGGCATTCATATATATACATATACATATATAATATTCCTTGGATATATATATATATGGATAATTGATAACGTTCTTCGTAGGGCACCGTACGAAGAGTTGCTGGAAGATGTCGTGTGTCCACCGGGGCTGAAACGTTCGTTGCTGGCCGTGTGGAAGGTACAAAGTCTGAAATATATATATATCCAATGTATATAGATATATGCAATGTATATAGATGTGGAATACAGTATAGCGTTTCATGGAAGGAATATTATTGTTCATACATATATATATTAATTATTATATCATGCATCAAAGACCAATGATGATAAATGTATGCTTATATCATCCGTACACTAGAAAAAGCATGGTCGAGGAACAACCGAGTCTTCGTTCTTGGTGCTGCAGCAGCAACTGTCTGTATCGAAAGAGAATGCAGCCGTGCTATGCGACACTGTGTACCGCTTGGTGGTATTGTTTGGGCTGGATCAGCTGGACAGCGCGTCGTCGGTTGTGAGTGCGCTGCTGCTGCAGCAGTTGGCCCCGTCTCCCAAGAAACGTCATGCGACGCCGGCCCAGCGGCAGTTTGAAGTGGACGTGAGCATGTACTCGGTGGCGTCGGGGGCGTCCGGCCCCATCGCCCTCGCCCGCCGCCGCCTCCAAGCCACCCCCGGCGCCATGGACGTGTTTCGAAGCCTCGTGCATTTTGACCCAGCGCAACGCCCGACCATGTCGTCGGTGCTCCAAAGTCGGATGTTTGACGCCCTATGTGAGGACAACTCGGATGGACGAGCTGTCGCCACCGTCGCCGCGTATGGAGGCGCCCGATTGCTTGATATTTAAGACCGCTCTGTGGTACCTACCTAGTGTAGTTACTAGGCTAAGTGTAAGTGTATATATACATCGAGAAACACGTGACTACTGTAGTACTCTGGTGCATGTGGTTGTTGCTAACGTTAGCTATACTAGTACTAGTAGTTCCCCGGTACAGTACTGGAGTGAGTTGTACTGTATGCCAAGGGGACCAATTATAATGGACTTCTTTTACTGTTAGTTTATTAACCCTACTATTATTCATAATACTATCTATTTTACTAGTACTACAGTAGGAATAGATAGTATTAATAGTAATATACTCCGGAGTAGTAAAAATACTACTTCGAAGTATTTAAATATTACCTCGAAGTAGCATTTTTATAGCGTTTTAATAAATAGTACTAGTAGTCATCGATATACAATTACTATTGTACTACGTAGTACTTCGAGGTATAAAGAATTCGCTATGGATTTAACGAAAGTACTAGTCAAGATACTAGTAGTACTAGAGGTCTGGGGGAACGTTCTGCGACTGTTGAAACGCTTGTAATGGCGTTGAAGTTGCCATGCCATTGGTTCAAATCAAACCAATGGCCTTTGAGGGATCTACCAACTCACACCCCCGTTTCATGCTCAAATTCCAATGACGACGGCAACCGCTTCGCTGCCACTTGTGCTACTACTCCTGGTATTGTTGATGGTCATGACTGCAGCATGGAGACGTCTATCCACTTCGTATGTGACTTCACCAGCAAAGTCTGTTGCAACTGATCGTGGGTGGATCATCCGCGACTTGGTCCAAGTCGAAGGCCATATCCAGCATATGCCTGGCATTAAGGACTTGCGCCGCCATCACCGCATCACGTCATGTGTATCGTCTGCCATCGTTGATGGCTTGTTGAACGGTGTGTTGTTGTGGCTGCGTTGGAGTGAATGTCGGCCGTGTGTGAGTGACGTGGTCGTGTCCAAGTTGCTCTGGGTATTGCAACGACCGACCAATGCACGTCATTCGACCAAATCAGCATAACGTTAGTTAGCAAGGCAACACACTCCAAGCACGGATTCAAAAAAGTAAAAGCAACCGAGTGCATGGGGACAAACGCCATCGTTCGACACACAAGAAATCCCAACCTAGAATGTCACGCCAACAGTATATGATAAACCATCCAAGTCACTGAGAAATGTTTCGATCAGTTCAACCAGTAGAATAGTCAAATATATAAGCCAGATAATCCTCAGATAATAATTCTACGTGATAGTATGAACTGGAATTCCTGGTGATCGTGTCTGCGCCACAGATACACTCGACGACGGCATAATCGGCGCGAGTTTAATGTGATCATTCGTGGACGCCGCGTTCAATACTATGTCGTAGGTACTAAACAGAGGCTTTCGAATGTCCACCGAGGACAGTGTGAATGTCATTGAGCGTAGTGCTCTTCACCTTGTAGTTGATTGGTTCATGGGAGTTGTGGTAGCGCAGGAGATTCGTTCACAATCCGACATCTTTGATCAATCTCCATTGGTTGGTGTTCACGTCTTGGCAGAAAAGTCAAGTGTCGGCAACGATGAGTGGGAGATGATTGAAGCTCAAGGAACACGAGGGATTTGCTCAAGTGACGCATGCCTCGCCCCGCATCATGGTGCCGAAATACTGTCGTCCGGCAGGGGGAAAGTCGCCACCGCCAAATTTGGCGTTGGCTAGGAGTCTAGAATATAATGTATACGAAATGTTTGCTGCTTCAATGGCCGACTACTTGAGAAGGACTTTGACAGACAAGTCAACGTTAAATGGTAAAATGGCCTGTCCAGCATCGCCAAAGAACTAATGTCAGCATACAGTAGTATGCCGCCCTAAACGAGATAGTACGATTGATCTCGTCGAGTGATTACCACTGGGAAGGGCTCGAAGACATGGTTGAGCCCAATGCCCTGAGGATATCGCGTTGGTTTGTCCGTTGCAAATTGCCACCACTTTTAACACGAATGTCTCTAGTATGCAATATGATTCCTCTCGATATGTACTAACTTACGGAGTAGTCATAGTATTGAATGGGTCGGCGACGACTACAGTACGTACCGATAGCATGAATATTCCGACAAGATACTCATTTCTGACACCCCATTCCGACAACGATTCAATTGGATACTCATAAGTAGTAGGAAGGGTACAGTGAAAGCGCAAGGGCTCACATATACACCTAGAATGAAGACCTACTGCGTTCGTCGGGTAACGTTAAGTCTTTCGTAGGTATGGTGAGGTAGCATGAACTAAGGTGCAATGCCACTTGCTCACGTGTAAACATAACTACAACGAACAGCGGCCTCCTTAACTATGACGGATATCGCATTCCTATATTTAGCAAACCTGATTAAGTTAGGAGTAACTGCTGAAATGTCGGAATATGTCGAACTATTTGGTGAACTACAGAGAACCGAGTAGGAACTCGCGCACAGTGGTATCGACACTATTTTTTTCCCATGGAGCATTCATAAATTCCGACGTCAACCAATAGTATTTTTTCATA